CTTTACATAAATTACAAAAAGAAAAACATTGTGCCCTGCTGTCAAATAGGGGCTCAGCATTAATCGGGGCATGCCCTCGAAGCAGATTTTCAGCGGGTCCCTTGACGTTGTGGCGCCCTACCGCCGAAGGAGAAACACTGCGTAACAGTAGGCGCACACCGTTGATTTTTAGTTGGCCGATAGTTGTGCCCTATTTTAAATTGTATGAAGAATCGGCCAAATCGAATCGGCGTAGTGTGCGCACTCCCATACATGCCCATACTGATCAACTGCCCGACTAAACTATCGGCCGACGAAAAATCAACGGTGTGCGCCTACTCTTAAGTGCCTGTCCGTCGGCGGGAACACGCAATAAGGGGGCAGCAAAATCAGATAAAAAAAAAGAAGGTTTTAACTAAACAAAGGCAAAAGATTTGCACAGTCTAGAAAAGTGATCGTAGGTAGTCGCACTTACCGAATCGATGCTGTCATCAGGCCATCCGAAGCATTCCAAAGTATCTTGATCGATCAATTGTGACAGCAACTTTTTCAAATTGTTCTCAAGCTGCTCTTCGGACATAAGCGGGAAAGGCTCCGACTGTAAGAAAATAATTAGTAGGTATTAATAATATTTTTGTATCAGTCTTTGTAAAGCAGGAGTTCCCAAACTTATTTTATCTACTGCCCACTTTGAGAATAAATTCTTTTTTAGCGCCCCCATTTTTTCACCTACTAAAAAACCACTATAATAGAATATTAAATTAAAAATCGCCCCTACACAAAGCTCCGATTTCTTTTCAGGGTCTCTTACCGCCTTTAGGCCTGCAGCGCCCACAAGGGGGCGGTACTACTTTGGGAAAGGCTGCTGTAAAGTATCCACTCAAAAAATTGTCTGTAAGTACAAAAATACCTGTTTGTATCATCATTATAAAGAGCTGTGGTTTCCTGAATAAAGAAAAATAAAAATAAAATAAAATAAACAAGGTTATCTTATAAAATAAAATATTCTAAATGGAACATTAATTAAATCTATATATATAAAAGAAAGTCGTGTTAGTTACTCCACTTATAACTCAAGAACGGCTGAACCGATTTAGCTGAAAATTGTCAGGGAGGTAGTTTAGAGCCAGGAGAAGGACATAGGATACTTTTTATCCCGTTCGAAATAAAAAAAAGTCTGCTTATTTATTTCCATTAAGGCGGAACAAAGTTCGCCGGGTCAGCTAGTTTACATTAAATATCCTGATACACCGACCACGGCTGCCGTCTGAAAATCAGCGTCATGTGGTATGCACTTGACACATGCTGAGACGGGGACCTTTTTGCTGCTGCAACGCCGCCTAAGTAACTGTCCCGATTAATTTTAATTTTAATTATCATTCTTTTGACTGGTTCTGTAATGTTGACCGTTTGTTTTATGTATGTACTAGCGGCCGCCCGCGACTTCGTACGCGTGGATCCCGTTTTACCCCCTTCATCTATCTTTCACACGGTTAAGATTTTTTCATACAAATGTTTTTTCCCGCTAACTCCCGTTCCCGTGGGAATTTTGCAATATCCTGTTGTAACTAAGCTTTAAGTTTACTAAGGTACTTGCATGCCAAATTTTAAGCGTCTAACTTAAGCAGTTTAGATTTTTCATACAAACATATTTTCCCGCTAATTCCCGGTCCCGTGGGAATTCCTAAGTATCCTATAACCTGCCCAGGAGTATGAAGAATAATTGTACCAAGTTTCGTTAAAATCCGTCGAGTAGTTTTTGTTTCTATAAGGAACATACAGACAGACAGACAGACAGACAGACAAAAATTTTACTGATTGCATTTTTGGCATCAGTATCGATCACTAATCACCCCCTGATAGTTATTTTGAAAATATATTTCATGTACAGAATTGACCTCTCTACAAATTTATTATAAGTATAAGATTTTTTCATACAAATGTTTTTTCCCGCTAACTCCCGTTCCCGTGGGAATTTTGCAATATCCTGTTGTAACTAAGCTTTAAGTTTACTAAGGTACTTGCATGCCAAATTTTAAGCGTCTAACTTAAGCAGTTTAGATTTTTCATACAAACATATTTTCCCGCTAATTCCCGGTCCCGTGGGAATTCCTAAGTATCCTATAACCTGCCCAGGAGTATGAAGAATAATTGTACCAAGTTTCGTTAAAATCCGTCGAGTAGTTTTTGTTTCTATAAGGAACATACAGACAGACAGACAGACAGACAGACAAAAATTTTACTGATTGCATTTTTGGCATCAGTATCGATCACTAATCACCCCCTGATAGTTATTTTGAAAATATATTTCATGTACAGAATTGACCTCTCTACAAATTTATTATAAGTATAGATGTGTATTCATGTGGCAGCAAAATAAACGTTATTCTATTCTATTCTAACATAGTGCACTTACTTTGACAGGTACCTCGCCAGCAGGCGCGGCGAGCGCGGGGTCCTCCTGCATGCCGCCGTACAGCACGTCGGAGCCGCCGTAGCCGTCCAGGATGCGCTCCGACTCCGCGTCCAGCAGGTTCAGGATCGACTCCAGCTCAGACTTCTTCACTCGGTCTATTGCCAAGTTCGTTCCCTGAGTGGTGGAAAAAAATACATGAATAATCGTCCGTGCTGCTTGTACAAAACAGGCGCCTCATGCCGGTTTTCACCATCAATCCCTAATTTTTAAATGACCCCTATAGTAACACATTATCAGGCATTTTGTTTGCATAGGAGTCACTTAAAAATTAGGAATTGATGGTGAAAACGGGCATTAGTCCAGCAATTCACGTCGATCGAGGCGCCACCACAACATTGGCGCCTGTCCAGGCTCAGCCACAGCATTCACGTCGATCGAGGCGCCGCCACAGTATTGAAGCCAGTGGGGGTGCCGGCGCAGCACTCACTCCGGTCGAAGTGCCGTTGCGGCACTACACACACATAATATAGGTAACGGTGACGCAGTACACGCGGCGGCTTGTGCACACTCACCATGACCTGGCGCACGTGCGCGAGGTGCGTGCTGAACAGGTCGGGGTGGTGCTGGCGCACGTGGCGCACCAGCTGCTCGCCGCGGATGTAGGCGCGCGCGGTGACGCAGTACACGCGGCGGCTTGTGCACACTCACCATGACCTGGCGCACGTGCGCGAGGTGCGTGCTGAACAGGTCGGGGTGGTGCTGGCGCACGTGGCGCACCAGCTGCTCGCCGCGGATGTAGGCGCGCGCGGTGACGCAGTACATGCAGCGGCGCGGCTTGTCCAGGCGGTGCGTGGACAGGTGGCGCCGCATGTTCACGTCCGAGAAGTACTCTTTGCCGCACACTTCGCATGGGAACTCTGCGCAGTGGAACATTGAATTATTTTCTGTACCACTCGTAAACACGTAATTTAACCAAGGTAACCAATACACATACTCTTTTTGTTCAAATGGCCCTGCACATGGTTATGAAGGCTGATTTCATTGGAGAACTCCTTTCTTGAATTCGGGCATGTATCGAATGGGCAAACGAGGCGATCCAATCCCATATGTACGCGCTGATGAATAAGTAATCTGAAAAGATAAATAAATATCTTATGGGTTTAATTTTTTTATGATAGTAAAACACATATTGTGAGATTCCTTGGTTTTGACGGGTAAGACGCCAACCAAAGAGTATTTAATATACAGAATTACAAAAGCCAACATAAAAAAATAAAGCCGGAGAACATACCTGGCTTTGGAGTTGAACTTGCGGCCGCAGGTGTTGCAGTGGCTGGAGACGTGGCGCTCCAGGTGGCGCATGAGCTGCTGGCGTTGGATGTAGGACTGGCCGCAGATCTCGCACTTGTGCGGCTTGTCGGCCACGTGCGTCAGCGAGTGCCGCTTCAGCACCTCCGCCGTGAACGTGCTGTAGCCGCACTGAGGCACGTATAATACAATCAGTACGGGCCCTCAAGCTCAGCGAGTCCTTAGGGGCCGTTCAAGTATTCCGTAAGCAGATTTCTTACCATTTTTAACCCACCCGCCCCCCTTGTCATCAAAAGTAAGCAAAGCACTTACCCCCTCCCCCTATGCTTACGTAAACATTTTTAGTTATAAATGTTTTTTATATTTTCATTTTTAAAATAGGAAAATTCATGAAAATATTAGGTTTAACTGATACACATAGAGTAAGGGATAAAAAAATATAATCAGAAATAAAGAACATAACAAACATCATAAACACAAACGATAACTTTCAATGCTTACAATACGTTTAGTATCCAAACAAAACACGCGCGCGGGAGGCCGGCCCTCGCGTATAATAATATGCGGACTACGACTCTCAAATTTCAATGGGCAGTTTCGGCACGAGAGTTAATTATTATTAGACAAGTGAATAGCGCACGGTAATTTCCCTAATGTGCGGTAATTCCCCTAATCAGTTCTCAAAGCGGGTGCCTACGCATACCTAATACCTATGTTTATTTGCGGGAATCCCCGAAAAAACGTAAATAACTAACGATGACGTAATCATCATCTAGACCCCCCTACCCCCATGTCATCCAAAATAAGCAAAACAGAGACCCCCCCACCCCCCCTTGGTGCTTACGTAATACTTGAACGGCCCCTTACCAGAAAATCTCAAATGAACTGAACTTATGAAAATTTCTCCTATTTTCAAAATAAATAGAGAAATTAGAAAGATATGCCCAGGAAATTCCCCTAAATTGCCCCAGGGCCCTTGGTTATCTAGCTACACCATTGGTTTGGTAGTAGACACCTTAGTCAACTGAAATACTTTTTATTAGCCGTCAAAATGTAACTCCCTCCTCTATCATTCGTATGGCACTGAGGACTATGAGATCACCAGACACAAACACACTGGAATGACAGAATGAATTGTAGGTATATAAGCTTCACTTACCCTTCTACAATATATTTTCCATGTTGGCAAAGAAAAGAGAATAAGATTTAACCATTAACATTTGTAAGATACACTATGCAAAACTCAGTTTTTTGAGTTTTAATCATAAGAAAACTATACAAGATCGAGAATATTAAAATATTATTTACCGTAGTACAGATATATTTCTTTTCTCCATGGATTTCCAAATGTTTAGCCATTGAGGTTCGGGAAGATGTGAACTTCCCACAAATGTCACATTCAAACTTCAGCGGATCTGAAATTACCAAGTGTAAAATCATAGAACCAAATTATAAACAGAAAATTATTACTGGGAAATTAGCAAAAATAGTTTGTGATAAAGAATTAATGAGTTTATAATATTTACCATTATGAGTGTAAATCCAATGCTTGACGAGTTTAGAGAAATTCTTGGATCCATATTCACATAGTTTACATGCATATCCATTATTTAAAATATGTTGATAGCGAAGGTGCACTATCAGGTTATCTTTTCTAGAAAATGTAGAATTGCATATCTGTAAGGAGTACACAAACAAAATGAATTATACTTAAAACACAAGGTAAAAATAACCAAAATAAAAGCTTGTAATTAATCATAATCTAAAATTTTATTAATCTCACAGTAATGTAAAGGAAACATATAACATTGATCCCATGTTTACCTCACACGGATATGACGCTGCTGGAGAACCATTACAGCCGCTCTGGGACAAGTGCCTCAACACATGAGCGTGTCTCACAAACTTCTTGGAGCACCGGGGACACTCAAATTCTTTGCGATTGTGGGTATGCTCGATGTGTTTAGCTAACACTTTCTTGTCAGGACAAGTGACGCTGCACTGCGCACAAGACACACTGCCAGGTGTTGTGGAATGTTCATTTAAACAATGCTGCAAATACCTCTTTTTAAACTTGTATATTTTAGGGCATTTCTGACATTTTATAATGGCCTGTAAAATAAACAATAAAAAAATTAATATTCAAAGCAAAAGTGCAAAAAAATACAATGTTATAATTAATAAATAATATGAATAGTGATGTTGTATTGTGAAAAATTAGTTACTATTACAAAATGACAATTTAACTGATAAGATAGTATCAATTTACTGCACCTTACTGTAGGTTGTTAATTTTTTAAGAAATTTACAATCATTTTAGAACCAAAACAACTTGTTATTTTGACGGTGCCACTCGCTATTCCAATAAGGAACGGCAATGATTCCGACCTACATAAGTCAATGTGTATTCAACAGGAGTTACTTTACAGAAACAGTTTTAATTACTTACCTTTCTTTTGGGTCCTATTTTGTCCAGAAGTCTTTGCTGACATTGGCAATATCTACCAGGACCGCTATTACACACAGTGCATACTGGAATATCTTCATTACCAAGAGCAATTTCTTCCTTCACCTCAGATTTAATAGGTCTCATTTTTTTCGTTACTTTACGATTATAATTTCTTGTAACTTTGATATTCTTTTTCCGTTTAGGTGGCATTTTTAAGCAACAGTGTTATTTCTTATTTACGTTTACTTAATAAATGGTTGTACTAAAACTTATTTACTCTAAACTTTGATATTACTTTCGCTCAGGCGTTTGCGTTTTCTTCACAGAGCCACCATCACAAACGCCACGTTGACAAAATGTCATTGTCAAGTCAACTGCTGTCAATTTTTTTTTGTTTTTTTTTTGTTTCGTTCTTTCCATGATAGATAAAAATGGAGGCCACACTCCGAATACCTACTTGAAGCACAAACTATGTATCACTATCTCGCTCGCTGTCGTTTATGCTCAAAATGCCAACTTCTCAAAATGCCAACCGATCGCAAAATGACAACTTCGCAGAATGCCAACTTCTCGAAATGCCAACTTCGCGAAATGCCAACTTCTCAGAATGCCAACTTCTCGAAATGACAACTTATAATTATAATGAATGGAGGAGCAGTGAATGCTACAACAAACAATAAAAATAATTAAAAAGTCCATAATATTTACAATATCTTTATTTGTTACTATACAGGGTGTTAGGTAAATGGGTATATGAGCCGACACTAGCCCATGTTAACATGGGCATATAAATAATATGGTTATAAAATTTATTTTGTATGAAAATTTAAAAAAATAAAATTATGATATCAAATTTCTGACTTCACCATACCATTTATATGCCCATGTTAACATGAGCTAGTGTCGGCTCATATACCCATTTACCTAACACCCTGTATAATCAATCAAAACACTAGGGTCGTATCGCATCAATGTCTTATCTCAAATGTCGATTGAATGACATATTATTATGTATACCTCTATACATATAATTGTTACAATCATTGTCCAAATCAGATAAACAAAAACAAGTGGGTCTAGACAAAGTGCAAATTGTAATCGCAAACCAGTCGAAAAGTGGTCGCAAAGCCCCTTTTTTGTATGGAGTTTTGACGGATTCGATTTTCGATTCGATCAAAAAGTGCGTTTTGTCTAAGGGGGCAGGTACGGTCACAGTTAGAGATGGGTTTCCACCCGGGTAAAAACCCACATGAGGGTAAAAACCCAATAAAACCCCGTTTCATTCCACCCGTGGGTGTTTACACCGGGTGAAAACAAATAATTTTATAATTATTTCAATTGGTATCTTTTCTTAATTTTTATTGAATTTTTCTCATTTATAGCCTGACCAGGAACATAAAAACCCTCGCCATGTTGCGGAAAACTAATGGTACTAATTTCTTTTAATGGCAACAGTAACTGAAAACTTCATTGACATGTCACCTTGCATGTCAGTCTATTGCTGTCAAAGTGTAAACAAACTTTATTTTAAATGTGCGCAATTGGTTTTATGAATTAAATTGCTAAAATCTTTTTATAGTCGTGAAAGAAAAGTGGTTCACAATTTGTTAAAGTATTTGTCGAAGAGAAATACTAAGGGTTCGGACAATATTTTCATTGAATAATGTTCCCGACAAAGGTTGTCAAATTGACTGACATGTTTATCGTATAGTACAGTCCACTATGAAAATTAGCTGTGGTTTGTTTCAACTACCTATTTTAAAAATTATGTCACTTTCTAAGTGTTGAATTTTATGGGATTGGGAAAGAAGTACCGAGTTTGAAGCGTTCATGAGCAGACATTGCAGTTTAATATTCAAGTTCTGAATTTGATTATTGATGAATAATAAAATAAATCTACTAGCTCGATTGATGGTTTCATTTAATTTATTTAAATCAGGTTACCTATAATAATATTGTTTCGTTAATTTATGAAAATATCAAATTAGCCCGTAATCCTGAATCCTGATACATAAAGTTAGCCTATTAATTTAACACAGGTACGACTGTACTCAGTGTTGCACTATCAAATGCAATTGAAGCGCCTCTTTGCCAGGGTTTTTATGTTCCTGGTCAGGCTATAAGTTTATTGATTAATAAGTAATAAATCAAATTACCACTAATATGCATTTATATCGTGGCCAAATCGTAAAATTGATCACGTTATGATGATGTGACCAATTATTTTATAAAATGGTGTTATTTCAAGAATAGTTGAACCGATTTAGAAGAAATTTAGTAGGAACACAATAATTTGTGATCATGGCAAGGACATGGAGGGGGGGAGGGCGGGGGATGCCAAAGATGTCAAACTCTCTCTTTGATGACATTACGGTATAAAGTTACAAATAACAACACCAACTACAAAGTACTTCTGCTTAAAAACTTGAAATTGAACCGCCCTTCCGCCACTGTAACGCATTGTAACGTTTTTCAAGACCTCCTCTCCCCCCAGATTGCATTACGTAACACTAGAACGGCCCCTTAGCAACAAATACCACTTCTCACTTAAATAAAACGCTTTTTTTGTTTTCACCCACCAGAATGGGTGATAATGGGTAAAAACCGGGTTTTTACCCAAATCACCCTGTTTTAACCCAATCGGGTGAAATGGGTTTNTTTTGATTTTTTGACCCACTACCCATCTCTAGTCACAGTACACTTTGAATCATAAAAAAACTATATCGCCCTTGTAATGTGTTAATTTATCTAGTAAAATAATTGTTTTGCTGTTCCAGACCGTACCTGGTTTTTGTTTATCTGATTTTGACAATGATTGTAACAATTATATAGGTGTATGTCATTCAATCGACATTTGAGATGAGAGATTGATGCGATACGACCCTAGTGTATTGATTGATTGTATAGTAACAAATAAATATATTGAGATATTGTAAATATAAGGACTTTTTAATTATTTTTATTATTTGTGGTAGCATTCACTGCTCCTGCAAGTTGTCATTATGAGAAGTTGTCATTTCGAGAAGTTGGCATTTTGAGAAGTTGGCATTTCGCGAAGTTGGCATTTCGAGAAGTTGGCATTCTGCGAAGTTGGCATTTTGCGAGCGGTTGGCATTTTGAGAAGTTTGCATTCTGAGCATAAACGCTCGCTGTGGGCAGACTCTCTCTTTCTAAATAAACAAAAAATATAAATTTGCTCAAAGTCAATGAAACTTAATGTTATTTCTTGACATAGGTATCATTAAAATAATGATAAGTGTAAATACTGGTAAAACGTTTTAGGAAGAAATTACTGTAAAAAATGTGAAAAATGTTTACAATGATCCAATGTCGGAAATCACGAAATAAACACTTACGCGTGGAATCTTATGTCACTTCTAGGACACCACGTACTACCGCAACCACGCACTACAAAATTTTGCACCATTTCTTGTGATAAAACAATGATTGTTTCCTGTAAACAATCTCAAACGAAATTAACTGCATAATAAACAAAATAGTAAACAACCACCATGATAGGCCGGATTGGGCCGATGTTGCCACATGGTACCGATTCCCCAGGAATTGAGATTGTAATTCCCTGATTCGCCAACACATTAAACCTAAACGGCCGACAATTTTGTGATTTTTAATTCAACTAGGTAATCGTAGTTCAAATATTTAATCATATTTTATTTGTTTAACTTCTGATTTGGTTAGTGAATTGGCTATTTCGAAGAATTTGCTAAGAGATTTAAATAAGGAGATAGCAATACTACAGTGCACACTAAAAAGAGAGGTCGGCCCACAGAGAGCGAGATAGAGATTATTAGTAGGTATTTGACTCAAGTTTTTGTTCCAAGTCTGGCCTCCATTTTTATCTTTAGCTTCATGACCAATCGTATCGCAGAATCGAGAAGCGTGTCTGGGATTGGAGACGTTAAAAATTACCGTAATCGGGGCTCAGGCTATTTTTCTTGAAACTGCTGGAACAAAACAATGCCGTTGACAGACTTGTGAAGATAGAGATAGAGCTAGCCAGGTGCACTTAAAACAAGCCCTACCAACCAAAATGAACAGGAAAATCTGCCTCCACTGGGAATCAAACCCGAAACCTCTGGGTCTTAAGCAATGGCTTGCACAGAAACATTACTTACTAACTCATTGTCCAAAGTCGTTAAAACTTTTTTAATCTGTAAATTTTGACATGTCTTTTGACTTTGACAACTTTGATAAGTTTGACATTAAGCACGCACCACATTTTATCTGTAGCTTCATGATCACAAAGTACTTTTTATTTCATGATTAACACCGACTTTTTATTTTATCATATTTAATGTTTTTGCTTGCTAATTTATGTATGGTACTACTGAAAAGCGAGTGATAAGCTCATGATATTATGGCTTGTAATTCCTGTTCAAAATCTTTTACTTTGTTTCGCAAGGAAGTAAGTTTTAGTTAGTTAACCAACCACCACTCTATCAATGGACAGTGACTCAACTTTTCACATTCTTTTGAATCACATTTTGATCACATTCTTTTGAAGTTAACAAAGACACCGAATATTATGAAATAGGTATCATTATACAAACATATCAGCTGATCCCAAAATGTTTTAATTAAAAAAACATGGTGCACAGCAGCTGATCTGTCCCAGTAGTAGTATTCCAAAATTCATATGAATTTGAGCAGAAGAATACAAAAGATGTAATTAATAATTATTAAGATAATATTAGGAATATAAACAACATACTTTTGTTCACAGAAAGGTTGCCCAGGCTGTGGGTTTAGCTATTGCTCTAAATGTCTCAACAACAAGTTATTTTTAAAGAAAATCAATTCTGTAGCTTTGGTAAGTTGATTTATGTAATAAGTGTATATGTATTAGAAAACAAAATGTTAAATAAATACTCCTTGACACAATAAGAATCTTGTTTTGTAGGTATGCACGAAATGTAAAAACACTTCTGGAATGGATAACAAAAATAAGATTGAACCACCAGAAGCATACTTTAAGTAAGTAAATTCCTTCCTTTTTTTCTTTAATATATTAACATATTGATATAATAAACATTTGTGATATTCCAATCATAGAAGAATTGGAGTTGATAACAGTTCACAGTCTACTAGCAGCCAGACTACTGAACAATCGAATAATGTAGAATGGGAAATTCAGCAGAGATTAAAAAAGTTAAAGGAAGATAGAAACAAAGATGCCATACAAACAACAGATGAAGAAATATTGAAACGCTTACAAAAAATAAAAGGAGAGCAACCAACTACTTCAGACGCAGAACTGCAGGCACGATTAGCTAACCTGAGAGGAGTGCCCATTATTGAAGGACAAAAAAAGGTATTCTCTTGAGTGTATACAAAAATTGCTGTTTTATGTATCCATTTGTTGTTCAAGTGGTTCTGATAAATGTGAGTAAACTTTTGATAATTTTATTTCAGACTGTGCTTTATACACCAGACTTGAGAACGGAACAAGAGCAGGCTGATGATTTAATGAAACAATATTTAGAGCATACCACTATTGATAAGCAATATCAAGAGGGGTTCAAGAAGCAACTTGATGATATTGAAGCAAGAATACAAAAATTAAAAGGAGGTGAAGGTGTTAACACTAAAACTAAAGATGATGCATCAAGTTCTGAAGATGAAGAAACTGTGATAAAAAAGATAATAGAAAAAGTAATTATTTTCCATTATTTTTAATTTCTTTCTTAATATGTTGTGACTATGATCCATTAATAGGTATTTTTGTTTTTAGGCAAAGGTTGAATCTAGTCAAGATGATGAGTTACCTGCTGCAACAAATGATGAGTTACCATTCTGTGAAATATGTAATGAAGATGCTAGAATGCGATGCTTAGGATGCCGCTATTTGTTCTGTAAACAATGCTTTGTAGAACATAAAGATGATGATGATGGATGCAATAGATATGAACTTTATGAAGCACCAAAAAATATAAATTAAAACTTAAGTTTAAAATAAAGCAAAATATTTAAGACATGATTTTACACATATTTTTTTATTTAATTTAAAATATCATTAAAGTAAGTGCACCTACAATAAAATAATATATTGCCTTGTTTGTGATGATATAATTTGCTTGAATATTATTACTCCTTTGAAAATGTTATAAAATAAAATTACTGACTAATCTATTTACTTTCATTTAATTTCTTTTGTTTGTTACACTCTTCTATTATACCTGGTATTAACTTAGCCAAGTCTTCTGAAGTTTGTTTGTATTCATTATTAATCCATATGTCTTTAAGTTTGGATATAATTGGTCCATACATTTTGCCAGGAGGTACACCATTTTGTTTGAGTATTTGACCATTCATGGGAAATCGTGGTATTTCCCAGTTCATAAATTTCTTTAATAGATCTTGTTCACCTTTATATTTGAGAAGTTCTTGAACATACTGAACTGCATTTTGTTGTTTTATTTTTGTATTCAGTACCAGTTTCTCATATATTCTGTAAAATATAAAAAAACTTCTTTCAGACTATATGAGTTAGAAAAACAAATTAATAATAATTAATATTATGCTTACAAAAGAGGCCTATCTTCAGAGTGAGCTTCTTCTCTATGCTCCACTATAAAATATGCTAAGTCTCTATCATATGCTGAGAACTTTAACCTGGCATAAAGAATAGTTACTTCATCCATATCTTTTAATAATGCTGCCAGGTAACTCATGGGGTGTAAACCTAGATGTTCCCCTCTTTTGAGCACTCTATCCAATTCCTCTTTGTTTGGATTAGATGGTAAACCTGCATTAGAAAAACTGTTTTGATACATTGTAATAAAAATGACACAATCACATCAATAACAATAATTGACAAACAAACCTATATACTGTTCAACTCCAATATCCAGCATTGTCTTGAACAAATGACCAGCAAATTTACCTTGTAATGTTTTCTTTAATTCTACCCAAATTCTTTCCCCAGATATATTTTGCAAACCATGTACATTATTTTTTAAAACTTTCAGTGTATCTCCTTCATGGTTGTCTGGCTTTTCAGCAATTTTTCCATAAAAACGAAAATACCGTAATATTCTCAGGTAGTCTTCTTTCACTCTTACATCAGGATCTCCAACAAATGCGACTCTTCTTTTTTGGAGATCTTCATAACCAAAGAAGTAATCATAAACACTTCCATCAAATCCTGTAAGATAAAATATGTATGTTTAATAATTAATATGGATGTATTGTTTTGGTTTTAATAATACTAAAATATTGGTGTATAATATGAGAAACATTACAATACCTAAGAACATTGAGTTTACTGTGAGATCTCTTCTATTAGCGTCTAATTTCCAATCAGTGGTGAATTCAACTTCTGCATGGCGTCCGTCAGTGACCATATCTACTCTTAGAGTGGTAACTTCGAAATTCTCCTTGTCATTGATTCTAGGGGTGATAGTTCCATGTTTCTCACCATTCATATTGATCATTCTAATGTTCTCAGAAGTAAACATATCTTTCATTTGTTGTGGTGTAGCTGTGGTGGCAAAATCCAAATCGGTTGGTTTTTGCCCTAAGAGCAGATCTCTGAAAAAGTTTTGAAAAGGTTTTTCTTAGTATTAAATATTTTGTTTGCCACCACATTACAGTGTTAATTAGTTTATAATTACCTTACTGCACCACCAGCAATTCTGATTTCATACTGGTATTTCTCAAATAATTCTTTAAGATTTTGCACCTCTGGGGTGAATATACTTTTGAACTCCGGTGAATCCAGTTTGGTTACTACAGGATTCTCTCGGGATTTCAATTCCATGTCCATTTTTGAACGCACTCGACGCCGGCTACTGCCAACTGCCCCACTGTAATTAGTCTGAAACCATATTGGCACAAACTTTAGTAGATAATAATATCTGTATAAATCAAGTTAAATTTATAATGTTAGCCTTAGACGTTAGCTATGCAACAAGCATGAAATTTAAGGTTATGGTACATTACCCTTATCTCATTCAGATTGGATAGTTTCAATATTCCTCGTAACCCCTTAAACATTACTCTGTAATAAATAGGAATTTGAAGGCGGAAACTTATCAAAACATTATTAAAATCCTCTAAATATTGCGATAAATTTATAAACACTGGCTGACAGCAAACGTCAAAATTAATATGACAACTGGTGGACAACTGATTAATGACCATGAAGCTAAAGATAAAAATGGAGGGCAAAGTTGGAACAAAAACTTGAGTCAAATACCTACTTATATCTATCTCGCTCTCTGTGGCCCTACCTCTCTTTTTAGTGTGAACTGTAGTATTGCTATCTTCTTATTTAAATCTCCTTGTAAATTCTTCGAAATAGCCAATTCACTAACCAAATCAGAAGTTCAACAAATAAATAATTAATATTTGAAACTAAGATTATCTAGTTAAATAAAAAATCACAAAATTGTCGGCCATTTAGGCTTAATGTGTTGGCGAATCAGGGAATTACAATCCCAATTTCTGGGTAATCAGTACCATGTGGCAACATCGGCCCAATCCGGCCCATCATGGCGGTTGTTTACTATTTTGTTTATTAAGCAGTTAATTTCGTTTGAGATTGTTTACAGGAAATAATCATTGTTTTATCACAAGAATTGGTGCAAAATTTTGTAGTGCGTGGTTGCGGTAGTACGTGGTGTCCTGGAAGTGACATAAGATTCCACGCGTAAGTGTTTATTTCGTGATTTCCGACATTGGATCATTGTAAACATTTTTCACATTTTTTACAATAATTTCTTCCTAAAACGTTTTACCAGTAATTACACTTATCATTTTTAATGATACCTATGTCAAGAAATAAAGATTTTACATTGAGTTTCACTGAATTTAGCAATTTTATATTTATTGTTTATTTAGAAAGAGCGAGTCTGCCCACAGAGAGCGAGATAGTGATACATAGTTTGTGCTTCAAGTAGGTATTCGGAGCGTGGCCTCCATTTTTATCTGTAGCTTCATGTTAATGACAACTCACCGCTGTCAGAAGTTTTTTTTTTAAATATCAAACAGAACCTTAGAGCATGTAGTAAAATACATATTATACCTACCGAATTGCCAGATGGAGTCGTATTAGGTTCGTGTCGTTGTTTTTGTTTCTAGTATTTAGTCATTTTCTCGCGCTTTGTACTTCGCACTGTTACCTAACAAGGATTCTTCCAAAATGCATATTTAATAGCCTTCAAGCAAGCCAACTTTTAATTATTAGGGTGACAAGACGATGACGAGTTCTTAGGAAAATCTGGGATTACTACCTTTCATGAAACCACATTTGCCACATTGCTGTATTGATTAGCATTGTAGTCTACTCGACTCAAGCGAAGTGGGTTTAGATTTTAGATAGATGCCCCTTTGTCATTACCATACAAAAAGGCGCGTCAGTCTAAAAATAGGGACAGCATACATTTTGACGGTCTTTTCCCGATCTAAAAAGGGGAATGACTTATGATAGACTGTAATCGATCGAAAGAACGATCCATGTGTAGTAAATAAAAATAAGATTTGAAACAAACAAAATGGGGATACAGTTTATTAAGATATATTTTACTTTACAAAAAATGCTTCCTTAAATCCAGTATATTTTATTTAAGACAGCTTCACATAATAGATGTTTATTTTGACTTATTTCTTTGATTAACATTAAAACTAGATAGGATGAAATAATAGCAGTTAACAGGTTAGCTAGTATGTGTAGCTTCTTTGCACACAGAGTACAAAGGTCACATATTTTCCAGTGAAGTGAGGAGATATCCCATCAAGTGTATTGTTAATCTTAGTATGTCATTGTATTAAATTTTCTGTCATTTGCCACCCATTAAGCTGTTCATTCCACTTGAGCCTTGTTGCAGCTGTCTCATCATGTTATGAAGACCAGACATACCTCCCATCTGCTGGAGTATACGGGGATCCATCATCTTGGCCATTTGTTGATTGAGTTTAGCCATTTGTGTCTGATTAACGTTTTTAGCCATATCACCTCCTTTAAATAGGCCTTTGATGCCACCCATCTTTTTAACTACCGCAGCAAATTTAGTGTATTGGGCAATCAAATCCTTGACATCTTTTTCTGTCACTCCTGCACCCTGGGCAACTCTAGTGACGCGTGTTGGCTGCTTTGAAAATAATTTCGCACCATCACGGTGGTCCAATTCACCTTCATTCATGGAGTCCATTATAGTCATAAGACGTTTCAATCTAGCCATGGACTCCTGCTCACTGCCTTTTGACATCAAATCTTGTGAAAAGCCAGGTATCATTCCCTGTAAAAAATATAAACTACATTTAGTTTCAATTCACATAAAGTTAAAACTGGTTAGATTCCAGCCAGAGACAACTTTTGTGCAATGAATGTACCAATGAATATAATGCAGTAAACTTTAATTAGTGATAAAGCATGTGAAAGTGAGTTCAAAAAGCATACATTTGAATAAATAAGAGTTTTACCATAATCTGTGAAAATGGCCCCATTTTCATGATATTCTGGAATTGCTCATACATAGCTCGTAATGTGAATTGGCCATGTTTCAATTTTTCTAACAGTTCATCATTGTCGTCTAATTTAAGCTCATTCACTTTGTCTAGCAGGCCTTCTATGTCACCCATTCCCAGCAGTTTGTTGATAAAGGGTTTTGTTTTGAATGGCTCTAAATCATCTATGTGCTCTCCAGTACCAATGAAAATTATGGGACTTTGTGTTGCTGCCACTCTGTAAAAAGTAACTTTTTATAATAAACATGACCTTTTCTAATTTATGTATGTAACAGTTTGAGATGTACATAATGTACTTACGCTGACAATGCACCTCCACCTTTTGCATGTCCATCTAATTTAGTGATTATGACTGAACCAATGTCAACTTTTTCCTTGAAAGCTCTTGCTTGAGCCTCACAAGCTTGACCAATAGTGGCATCCATCACGAATATAATATTGTCTGGTTTCTGTATTAGGAATAAACATTATTAAAATTAATCAGGGAAATAAATAATTATAAAGTAATTTTTAATTTCATCATATCAGTTATATTTATATAATTACTTACAATAGCATTAGCAACTGCCAACATCTCCTCAAATAGTGATTCTTCCTGCTTGTGGCGACCACTTGTGTCAACAATAATCATTTCAAAGCCTTCCTTTTTAAACATTTCTACACCAGTAGTTGCTATTACCACGGGGTCCACTTCTGTGTAGCTGCAATAACACATTTAATTTTATTTTATAAAAAACTAGCTTTCCGCCCGCGGCTTCGCGCGCGTGGACTACATTATCTACATATTTTACGAAACCCTATTTTTTTTCCAAAATAAAATTTAGCCTATGTTACTCGTGGATAATGTAGCTTTCGAATGGTGAAAGATTTTTTAAAAATGGTCCAGTAGTTTTTGAGCCTATTCATTACAACCAAACAAACAAACAAAGTATTCCTCTTTATAATATTAGTGTAGATAAGAAAAGGAAAAGACAGAAATGTAATAAGATCCTGTAAACTTATTTCAAGGAATGAAGAATGTTATACATTTGTCAATTTACATAAAAATACACCAAATATTTACCTTCCATAAAAAGGTATTCTGGCTTTAGTACAATTCTGCTTGACTTGATCATAAGCACCAGCTCGGAAGGTGTCAGCACACACGAGACATGATTTCCAGTTTTTTCTCAAATAATGATAAGCCAGCTTTGTGCAGGTTGTTGTTTTACCAGAACCTTGAAGGCCTACGAACATTATGACGTTGGGTTTGCCTTTGACTGGCTGGTAGGGTTTTACTCCAGGATCAACCAACTGAAATGTATAATTAGAAAATTAAGATTCAGTAAAAAAATCACTAGTTTTTGCATTAACTTTATGTCTTCAAAGTTTCAATACCTTGACCAATTCTTTGAAAACAGCAGACTGTATCATCCGCCGCTTATTAAGCCCTCCAGCCATTTCATCAAAATCAATGACAGCCCGTACATTTTCTCTAAGGTTCTTCACTAAACGAATATTTACATCAGCTTCCAAGAGCGCAGCACATATTTGTTTTAGCATAGAATTCAAGACCTGTAAGTCAAGGTAACATATTAATAACCAATCATAAGGATAAATGCTCAAAAATATATGTTGGATACATTTTTGTACTTACATCTTCGTTAATAATTGTAGCTCTACTTAGAGACTGCAAAGCGGTGGTAATTTTACGACCCAAATCTGCTAAAACCATTGTGGAAAACTTATGATACTATGGCGAAATAAAATCTTCCTATCCACAGACACGTACGAGATTAATTTGTACAACAAACACAAGTAGGGGTTTTAAGCTTTTGTGACATCTTAAATCGTTATATTTACTAAAAATTAGAATGATCAACACTTTCTATTTCAATATTTTCGAAAGAAAATAGCAGTGAAAAAGTGACAGGATTAGTACACGACGTACACGTCTATCAGTCACAGATAAAAAAAATAGATCTGTCCACAGATTAGAGAGTATGATCTGTCAAATTACATCAACTTTTTTAAGCAAAAAGGGACAAAGGTACGTTCAGCAGGGTTATTGTAGATTTTGTAGGAAACAGTGGGTAACTTAAAATCTATGTATACTGTCTTAATTATCTATGGTGTGAACCAGAAAAAAAAACAATTGAACGAATGACTTAACAGATGAATGAATGAATGGTAGATAAATCAAAAATCCGCTTTGTAATCATCACGAAGTAGGTGAATTTATTTGCTAAATTTTAATAATTTTGTGCTGAAAAGGTATCCTGAAATGGTAAGTAACGAATAAATCGGTGATACATAAGATTATCTTTAAGAATAAAGTAAAGGTAAGCAGTAACAACTAAAATTTTAGGGACAAAATCAATCTGGAGGTGGCAGCGGGGGAGACAAGAAAGATGACAAAGACAAAAAGAAGAAATATGAACCCCCAATTCCTACGAGAGTCGGCAAAAAGAAGCGTAAGGCTAAGGGTCCAGATGCTGCTCTGAAATTGCCACAAGTCACGCCCCATACAAGATGTCGGTTGAAGTTGCTAAAGTTGGAAAGAATCAAAGACTACCTATTGATGGAGGAAGAGTTCATTCGCAATCAGGAGAGGCTCAAGCCACAGGAGGAGAAAATCGAAGAAGAAAGGTCGAAGGTACCATAACATTTCCTATTTGTAATAAGTTTCATTATGAAGTGAACCCAACTATGAAACTAATCATTCTCTTTCTCAGGTTGATGATCTAAGAGGAACCCCAATGTCTGTGGGTAACCTGGAGGAGATCATTGATGACAATCATGCCATAGTGTCCACTTCAGTGGGAAGTGAGCACTATGTGAGCATTCTATCCTTTGTGGATAAGGATCAACTGGAGCCTGGTTGTTCCGTGTTACTGAACCATAAGGTGTGTATTATTACTAACTCCAATTTTGGGAGGCAAATTGAATCCTTCCCTTGTCTTGCATACTAACCAACTCATAATGTGTTGTGTTATAAAAGAGTAGTCATCCTAAGATATTGTTTTTATATAAAAATGTAGCATAAACTTGAGTAATTTCAAAAACCTTTGTTTAGCTGTAGTTTCCTATAAAATCTTTAGTAATTTTGTTGTTTCTCTAGGTCCATGCTGTTGTGGGCGTGCTAGGAGATGACACAGACCCCATGGTATCTGTGATGAAACTGGAAAAAGCTCCACAGGAAACCTATGCTGATATTGGTGGTCTGGATACACAAATTCAAGAAATAAAGGTACATGCTTAATAATTATTATTATGAATCAATAAGATAAGTGTATCTTTTTACAACTTTTTTAAAAGAAAATCAAAAGTATTTATTTGTATTGTATTAATATCACAATAATGTTGAATTACAGGAATCAGTGGAGCTACCTCTTACCCACCCGGAATATTATGAGGAAATGGGTATAAAACCACCCAAGGGAGTTATTCTATATGGCCCACCAGGAACTGGGAAGACTCTGCTTGCAAAGGCTGTTGCCAACCAGACTTCAGCCACATTCCTGCGTGTTGTAGGCTCTGAACTTATTCAAAAATACCTGGTAATCATTTTTTACAAGTACACACCTCATAAATCGAAATGCAGTTGGAAAATGTTCATTCTTTACCAATAAGTTCTATGTTGTTTTAGGGAGACGGTCCTAAATTAGTTCGGGAGTTGTTCAGAGTTGCAGAGGAACATGCGCCGTCTATTGTATTTATTGATGAAATTGATGCAGTGGGCACTAAACGGTAATTTATTTATTCTTGCGTATCAAGTACTACAAACATTGATTAATGAAATGAACCAAATATTTATTTTGATGCTTTTTTTAGTTATGACTCTAACTCTGGTGGAGAAAGAGAAATTCAAAGAACTATGTTGGAGTTACTTAATCAGCTAGATGGGTTTGATTCTCGGGGAGATGTTAAGGTATGTATTACAAAACTAGCTTTTTCAATCAAAAATATTTTACATTTCACAGTTATTTTTATCTCTTGTCTCTAAGGTTTAAATTTAGGATGATTAGCAGAATGTTTATACATACATAATGTAATTTTTAACAATTCATTGTTATTCTTTTACAGGTGATTATGGCCACGAACCGTATAGAGACATTAGATCCGGCACTCATTCGTCCAGGGCGTATTGATCGAAAGATCGAATTCCCATTGCCTGATGAAAAAACTAAGAGGAGGATCTTTACCATACATACATCAAGAATGACACTAGCTGATGATGTCAATTTGTCTGAACTCATTATGTCTAAGGATGATCTCTCTGGTGCTGACATTAAGGTACAGTTTTACATCCCTTAATGCTTGTGTACTTTTTTAAAAATAAGTAAAAAGAATAATATTTAGTTCGTAAAGTACCTATTAAACATATTTGTATGTACTTTTCAGGCAATATGCACAGAAGCAGGCTTGATGGCTTTAAGAGAGCGACGTATGAAGGTTACTAATGAAGATTTTAAGAAATCTAAAGAAAGTGTTCTTTACAGGAAGAAGGAAGGAACACCTGAAGGACTATATCTCTAATGTCTTATGTGTCCTGCTAATATGTTAAGAATTCCATGTGTGGTCATGACCTTGAAAGGATTATAAAGAGAAAATTTGAATTTAGTATTGTATTGCAATTAAATCATTTTACTTTGTATGGTTTGTGTAACTCACATGCAAATTACTGCAGGATACAGAACATTGCATTAAAAATAAATAAATTAAAACATAATAAAATAATCCATCAGTTTTTATTTTATACCATGGAACATTAATTAAACCACCTTCATCATTACCATGTTACATTTTTATTCAAATTACTTGATGTCCTCCTCCCTTATGCTTGGGAAAGATAGAATCGCAACAAACAATGCTTGATTGTGATCATCACTCGCAAAGGGACTCGAACCCGCAACGACATATTCTGTTCCTCTCATGTGCTTTTGTCAGAGAGCAGAAATAACAGGAGTGGAACTGACAGGCAATCCCCTCTAGCAATGTAAGTAGACCAGTGGTTCACTCAGTTTATAAAAACTAGTTGCAGCGCCACCAATGACATATTCCAAATGTCACTATTGAAGAGTAACGTGCTGCGATAAAAATGGTGAATTGCAGTGTTTTTAATTGTAAGAAGAGATCTGAAACATCAAATCTTGAAAAGGACAACATTACATTCCATCGGTAAATATTATTTTATTTATTTCACATTAATTAATACACTAAATTTGCAAAAAACTAAATTTCTAGAAGTGTTGCCACTGGAATGACTGGAAAGCAAAAATTCCTAATTGTGTAATATTTTAAGGATAGTGTACTTATAACAATATAATCGAAATTCTATGCAAACAATTTGATACTGCCAATAGGTGTTCTCTTTTATGATATTTGTTAGTATTAATACATTATTAATAATCACTGATAAATGTAAATTCATTTATTACTTTTACCTCGACTGTCGGGAATTATTCATAATAACCGGCGATTATTAATAATTTTCAATTTATCACATTTACCCTGACATAATAAACGTGTTAAGTAAGTTCCCGCTATTTTACAGATTTTGCGTATTTTCCTTTAAATAGAGATCTGAAATGTTGAATCTCCCATAGGATAATAAATTAATTCATATCATTTTTTTAAACGAGCCATAGACTATGAACCATAGAGCAATGATTCTCATCGACAAAAATATCGATAGTGTCTCAGCGCCATCAGCTGTTACACAAATGTCATTACCTCGTCCCCCTCAGGAAATGGCGAAATTTTTTTGTATGGAAATAAACGCGCGCTGCTACTCCTGTTATTTCTGCTCTCTGGCTTTTGTATAGCGGGTCTAGCTGAGCTAGCCAGATAGGCATATTCTCTCCAACTCTAACCAAACAGTAGTCCAACTCTGGGTAAGAACTGGATAGCCACTCTTTTTAAACTTACCATCCTGCGATACGATTATGTTACGATTAGAACCACTATATACGAATTCTAGCACCATACTCGGCTTATATTATCTTTGTCTCACGATTTGACATTATTTTGACGTTTCACGTCATCTGTGTTTTCTTTGGAGAACGGAGAGCTCGTCTTGTAATCGATTTATTTCACAGATTTATTTAATTATTTGCTTTGTTTGATACAGCAAACTAAAGCTTTGTTAAAATACGAAAACAAACACTGCGTATACGATAGTTACTGGTATTGCAAAAATGATAGTGAATCAAAAGTTTCATGAATGAGTAACACCTGCAGTGACACCGAAGAAGTGACCGAGCACACAGCACTGATGGACGGGCACATCGCAGAAGCTCGCCCGGACAGGGAGATCGCTGAACGTATAGCAAGGAAAAGGAAAACCAAATCTGAACATCAGCAGCGATCATATGGGGTAAACAGAACTGCAACTGTTTTGTATGGCTAATGTTAAGACCTATTGTTTTGATGTAGGTTCTATCTATGGTTCTTAGTACTGCTTAGCTAGCTATGCATACAGTTGGTGAAATTTCTACAGATTTACCTTCGAGTTCGTAATTCCTCGTACTGACTGAATAGTTTCACTGACAGTTATATTGAATGTTTTGTACATATAGATGTTTATTATCTTATCTGTGAAGAAAATATTATTCATAAAGATAAGATCAATCATTGATAACTTAAAATTCAATGACTAAAGTGACAGTGGAAGAGTCAAACTTTTTATTCAGTTTGTCTTGCTTTATTGCTACTTTTTGCCAGATCAACAAACCGATGGAAGTGAGAATCAGTATTTATGCAAAATTTAGGCAGTCTCCACATTGTTATCAATAAATTTTAGTCATTTTTATATTTCAAATGTGTTTATTGCTTGGCAGAGTGTGGAACAAACTGAAGGCGGAAGCTCAAATGTTCCGAACCCATCGGGGCCCAGTGCAGCCCCAGCAGCCCCTTCTGTGGAGTCTCAAATTGAAGAACTAGAACTGAAATATGGTGCACGCCATGTCATCAAACTGTTTGTGCCGGTCACTTTATGCATGATTGTTGTTGTTGCTACAATATCATCAATTAACTTTTACACAGTTAAAGATGTGTATTTGTAAGTATAAAAGAAATATTTTTACATTACATTTCACTTCACATTTATATTTCCATAGGGCATAGAATTCTGATAAATGTGTGATTTTGTTTCTAATCAAAAACTAGCTTCAATATCTACTTATTATTTTAGGGCATACACTCCGTTCCATGAGGAGAGTCCATATGCGGTGACGAAGGTGTGGAATGCTCTGGCCAACTCCATGATCCTGCTGAGTGTGATAGCTCTCATGACGGTGCTGCTCATCGTGCTGTACAAGAAGAGATGCTACAACATCATACATGGCTGGCTGATACTCTCATCACTGATGTTGTTGTTCTTATTCTCCTATCTATACATTGAGTGAGTATTTGTGTTTTGTTGGATTGTTATTTTTTAGAAAATGTGCATCTACTAATTTTGTACTACCAGCCCTCTAGATGATGTAACATTGAGAGTAAGACATTTTAAGAACAACGGAAGCAAATCTAATAAGAAGTTGAATCTTTTATAAACAATACTTTTTTATGAGCAGACAGTATGACCCAAATATTGTTACAATCTTGGCACTTTGAATTTATTATTCCCCTTTCTTCAGCCATTAAATTACAAAATCTATTCATAGTCAATTTCTCAGAGACAGTTATTTTATATGCTAGAATTCCAGAGAGGCACTAAGGTTAAGCACTACGAGTTTTTCCCGCAAGTGGTAAACCGCCAAACCGTGAGACCGCCCGAAAGGTACGTAAAAATCAGTCGCGGGAAAAAACACTCCATTAGTTTTACTTGTTTAAAAGCCGTACCCGGACTCTGCTCTGGCTTACAACATACTCATGGACTACATCACGTGATGTCGAACATCGGCGTAGTGGAAAATTGTTTATTTTATATTTACACTTCCAGGGAGGCACTAAGGGCTTACAACATCCCCATGGACTACATAACGCTGATGTTTGTGATGTGGAACTTCGGCGTGGTGGGCATGATCGTGATCCACTGGAAGGGCCCGCTGCGCTTGCAGCAGGCGTACCTGATCTTCATCGCCGCGCTCATGGCGCTCGTCTTCATCAAGTACCTGCCCGAGTGGACCACGTGGGCTGTGCTCGCGGTTATATCTATATGGGGTAAGGCAACCATTTATTCGTAACCCTTTGGTAACTTTGCTAGTGTTGGAGATCAGTCTGTTTTATTGTACACTGTCATTTTACATGACGTTTTATTGGACATAGTGTATGTGGTTATAGCACTGATTTCTCTATAAGCTTATGGTGTTTTTGATCGTTACTTTATTTAAGGCACAAAGTCGTAATTTTATTTATTTTGTTTTATTGCAGATTTGGTGGCAGTGTTAACACCTAAAGGCCCACTCAGAATATTAGTCGAGACTGCTCAAGAGAGGAACGAACCGATATTTCCAGCTCTAATTTATTCATGTAAGTGCATTTTTTTTTTGTTTTATCATCCCTTCCATGAACTCTTACTATACATGAAAAGCGAGGCTACTATTTTTACATAACCATATTTTTGGTAGCAAAATAGCAGCCTGTCCTGAGCGCCAAAATGTGTATTATTCTGATGCAGTAAGTTTAAAAATCTAATGAACTGCTATAGTCTGGTCGCCGAGCACGTGGAATTTTGTCTAATGACCCCAAGCTACCCATCCTTATCGCTCGCGCGTAATTATATTGTCGCGACTGTGCGACGGGCGCCCGCAGTGAGTGCGAGCGCAAATCAAATCAAATCAAATCATTTATTGCATTGCATTACATGTGGTTTGATAGTTATAGTAGCGCAACAGCAACATAATTACGCGCGAACGACAAAGATGGGTAGCTTGGGGTCATTGGACAAAATTCTACGTGCTCGGAGACCGGGCTTTATAAAACGTTGATTCGAATTGTATATTTGTTTGTCCGCAGCGACGGTGATGTATTGCCTGGCGGCGACGGGCCCCGGCGCGGCGGGCGAAGGTGAGCCGCGAGAACTCCGCCCCCTCAACCCCTACGGTCCGTTCGTAGCCCGAGCCTTTCAGCCCAACTTGTCTGTCCGCTTGCCTAACTTTCACCGGCTTTGTATTCCAACATTTGTCCCGTAGTGTCCGAGGCTTGAAACATCCGAAAATTAAATACTGGGCTTGGTGAGGCTTCAAAACTGTATCCATCTTCTCTGTTGTGAAGTCTGAATAGTCGATTTCAGAAACTGTTATCAAGGTAGGATAGGTAGGGTGGTGGGCGGAATGTAGAAGTCATTTTAATATTATTTTACTTCAAAGTTGTATGTTGTATTTTTGCTTTCTGGTATTTAGTTAAGAAATAAAGACTTATTTTATTTAGTTACTTGATTTTTTTAACGGTTCGATGGATTTTATTACATCATCACCAACATGGGCTTGCTGTGTGTGTGTTTTTGTTTTTACTTTTTCACAATTAACATTGTCATGCACATTTATTTACAATCGACGCATTCTACCATCAGGAAACCGCCAACCCGAGCCCGAGAACCGGCGGCTATCAGGCGGCGACGCGGGCTTCGACGCGGAGTGGCGCGCGCGCGCAGACTCGCACGCGCCCTCCACCGCCACCGCCGCCACCGTCACCGCCACCGCAGCCACCGCCACCGCCACCGCGCCCGTCCCGCAGCGACTGCGCGTCGACGGCACCGCGCCCGCGCACTACACCACGCGCCTCGAGCGCCCGCCGCCGCCCGCGCCCGACCAGGACGAGGAGAGTGAGTATAGCTCGCTCGACGAGAGTTGAGGCCGCGTGGACGGCACCGCGCCCGCTACACCACGCGCCTCGAGCGCCCGCCGCCGCCCGCGCCCGACCAGGACGAGGAGAGTGAGTATAGCTCGCTCGACGAGAGTTGAGGCCGCGTGGACGGCACCGCGCCCGCTACACCACGCGCCTCGAGCGCCCGCCGCCGCCCGCGCCCGACCAGGACGAGGAGAGTGAGTATAGCTCGCTCGACGAGAGTTGAGGCCGCGTGGACGGCACCGCGCCCGCTACACCACGCGCCTCGAGCGCCCGCCGCCGCCCGCGCCCGACCAGGACGAGGAGAGTGAGTATAGCTCGCTCGACGAGAGTTGAGGCCGCGTGGACGGCACCGCGCCCGCTACACCACGCGCCTCGAGCGCCCGCCGCCGCCCGCGCCCGACCAGGACGAGGAGAGTGAGTATAGCTCGCTCGACGAGAGTTGAGGCCGCGTGGACGGCACCGCGCCCGCTACACCACGCGCCTCGAGCGCCCGCCGCCGCCCGCGCCCGACCAGGACGAGGAGAGTGAGTATAGCTCGCTCGACGAGAGTTGAGGCCGCGTGGACGGCACCGCGCCCGCTACACCACGCGCCTCGAGCGCCCGCCGCCGCCCGCGCCCGACCAGGACGAGGAGAGTGAGTATAGCTCGCTCGACGAGAGTTGAGGCCGCGTGGACGGCACCGCGCCCGCTACACCACGCGCCTCGAGCGCCCGCCGCCGCCCGCGCCCGACCAGGACGAGGAGAGTGAGTATAGCTCGCTCGACGAGAGTTGAGGCCGCGTGGACGGCACCGCGCCCGCTACACCACGCGCCTCGAGCGCCCGCCGCCGCCCGCGCCCGACCAGGACGAGGAGAGTGAGTATAGCTCGCTCGACGAGAGTTGAGGCCGCGTGGACGGCACCGCGCCCGCTACACCACGCGCCTCGAGCGCCCGCCGCCGCCCGCGCCCGACCAGGACGAGGAGAGTGAGTATAGCTCGCTCGACGAGAGTTGAGGCCGCGTGGACGGCACCGCGCCCGCTACACCACGCGCCTCGAGCGCCCGCCGCCGCCCGCGCCCGACCAGGACGAGGAGAGTGAGTATAGCTCGCTCGACTAGAGTTGATGTCGTCAACTTTAGCAATCAGGCGGCGACGCGGCCTTCAAAAAGATTATCGTACCTGTGTCGCCGTAGTATTAGATAACTTTGAGGCTGTACTGTATAACGAAGCATAAATATATACCGTATATTCCTTGTTCCAGAGGGTGTCAAACTCGGTCTTGGCGATTTCATATTCTACAGCGTCCTTGTGGGCAAAGCGAGTTCCTACGGTGATTGGAATACGACACTCGCTTGTTTTGTGGCTATTTTGATTGTAAGTAAATGTTACTTTTTACACGCTAATGAAACCTTAGCATTCCAACGTGTTGTAGTTACTTTAATTAAATTAATATGACATTAGAAGCAGCCATATATTAATTTCAAAAATTGCCCATTTGTTTCTTAGGAAAAACAAACAACAATGCTTTCTAAACGAGGTCGTCTTCAAGTAACAATTTGTTCCAGGGATTGTGCCTTACTCTGCTTCTGCTGGCGATCCTCAAGAAGGCATTACCAGCGCTGCCCATCTCCATCACATTCGGGCTTATCTTCTACTTCGCGACACGCTGCGTCGTCAAGCCCTTCGCCGACGCGCTCGCAGCAGAACAGGTGTTCATTTAGCCACCCCCATCTTTTACCTACTTGGACAAAGTATTACGAGTCGAATACAATTAGGAAAACCCTACAGAACCAATTGTCTCTATGTTCAAAATAATTTTACCCTGAATGTCCCAAGCTATGACGGAATTAAGTAACTTTTTACTCAACTATGCTTTCTGAAAGAACTTATTATTTACGAATGTAAAACTTAACAATTTTAACTAAATTCGATTCATATTCAGTGAGAAATGCAGTTTGTAACAATAAAAATAAGTTCGAGTTGTAAATTATTATTACACGTAATTGAAAGTATGCTTGACTGATTTTGTGTTATTGAAAGTAAGATCTCTGAGGTTAGCCAATTAATTTAACTACTATACTAATATTAAGGATCTATGTAGATTATAGACATTTTCATTTCCAATGCAATCCATTTGGTTAGAAACATGACAAAAATACATAAAGCGTGTCATGTCAACATGGTAATGTATTGTGTAGGTAGAAGTAAAATATCAAAATAGGTCACAATAATTACTTGTCTTTCGATTGTCGACTCTGCAAATACGGCAAACTGCGGCGATAAGCTGTCGAAATCTACTTTTACTAACTAGTATGCCTTTCGTTCGATCTTCTTACGTAATAATCGATTTATTACAAAAAGTAGTAGCCGATTCGCAGCTCAGTCCGTAGACAATAATAATAATACAGCCAACTTGTAAGACAAGCCTTATAATGTTAAATTAACTAGTAACGTATTAACAACCAATGTGTTGTTAACACAAAAATAAATTATACCTAGACATTCCGTATTCTGTAAGGTCTTGTTTAGGATTGTAATTTTGTAAACTGCTAAGCGTAAATAGTGAAAATTGCAATAGCTGTGTAAACAAAAGCATGAGAGTTTTGTAACTTCAAATATTTTTTTTTACTATTCAAAATATTACCTAAATGACACAATATTTCTTTAAATGTGTTCTTAAACAAGGTCTTATTGCTTAGTTAGTTAATAATCAGATTACCTGTTTATGTATTTTGTCTTAATATATTTTTAATAAATAATAATTTTTAAACCTATTTGCATTTTAATTATTTTATCAAATGAAACAGTTGTGTAGTAAAAATCATATTTATTGCTTAATATATGTGAACCAAATAGCTCAGTTGGTAAATGAACAATTTAAAATATTGAAACATACAACAATAAGTTAACAACCTTTACAGCCCTTGATCTTTCTACAATAGTTTCTTATTTATAATAAAAAAAATAATTGTAGTGGTTAGTCATGGATCGAGTATCTTGACAGTACTATACTGTTTATCGAACTAGGTTCTTTGATAAGTTGAGAATTTATTGCACTATAATGAGACTGATAACAACGGTAACTTATAAAGGTACTAAATAATTCAGTTATCTTTTCGTTAAAATTTTAATAGGTACTTAGATTTAGGTCCAAAAAAGACATTTCAAAGGTATAGCAAAGGAAAATGTTAATAAACTAATTTAAGTTAAAGACTACGCCCATTGGTCCTAGCGTGGAATGCTAATGGAATGTGAGAGATAAGGAATAAAGAATTGACATTGGAGATTTACATAGTATCAGCCATTCCGAATATGATAAATACAATACAAATATTAAACATAATAGGTACCTATAAATGCATTAGCCCACCAATACCAAACCCACGAACTTAAAATCTAATTTATGCGATTTTAGTTATTCCCATGAAAATTTAAAGTTCAAAATTAAAATAAAGTTGTTACTGAAGAGATCAAAATAGCGAAATTATAACAAAAGCATCGCGATCTTCAAACATTTGACTTATCATTTCCGTGATTGTCTGTTGTAAATGCAGACATGAGATTTAACTTCCATCAATCTGAGATAGTTTCTAAAATATCGGTCTTACTTTATGTACAATTACAACACTGAAATGAATTCGCTCACTCGTCTAATATGTTTACAATGTCCTACAAAAATATAACCAATTTTGCTTAAAATATGAATATTTTCACTCTCAATAGTTAATAAATAATTTAATATAATTTAAACTCGACTTTAAAATTGATCTGATTTGTTGTTGGCTTACCTTTTTGCATTTTTTTTTACTTACACATAGTATGTGTCAAATGAATTTATTTAGGTAGGTATTTACAAATTTGGATTTGGGATTTCTGTTGGTCCCTCTTTCTTAATTACTTTCAATGTTTCTTTATTTGGTTTAATTGTGTCCGAGGGAATTTCTTCTATAATCGGAGTCGGCTTTGTTTTAGTTTCAACCTTTGCTTTAGGGCTGTCGGGTTTAGCTTGATTCTTCTCCACCGGTTTCGCCGCGGGCGGTTCAGTCGCGGTCTTTCCCGGGGCAGGTTTGGATGGAGGTTTTGTTTCAGTTTTTTGCGCAACATTCGGTTTCGGTTTAGCTTCTTGCGCGGGTTTGGCCGGAGCAGCCGAAGGTGGAGGCGCTTTCGTCGTCTTCTCCACCGGTTTCGGTGTCGTAGTTGGAACGGTCTCGGTCTTAGTGGCAGGTTTAGGTGTGGTGCGAGGCGGTGCAGCCGTTGTCGGTTTCGGAGCCTCTTTATTAACTTCTACTTTTGGCTGGGCAGGTGTTTCTTTCTTTTCAACCTTGACTGGAGCCGCAGTCGGCTTAGGAGGCGGCGGCGTCGGCTTGGGCGTCACCACCTGAGGTTTAGCTTCGGCCGGTTTCGGCGTCGCAATTTTAACAGGGTCGACCTGTTTGGGTTTCGGCGCGGCTTTAGGCGGTTCGGCTTTCGGCACTTCTTTTTTCTCCTGAGCCTTCTGCTGAACATTCGCCGCGAAGGCCTTTTTCAGCTGGGGCGGCGCGGGGACGGAACCCACATAGTTTTGTGAATGCGGCTGGCCGAGGTACAATCGGTCCCCGAACACTACCGCATCGCTCACATGTATCTGTCCCTGGGTGTGGTAGTACGAGGCGACGATGTTGCCATCCCAGTCAATTTGTAACAAACCAGAGGTCTTCGGCAGGAACGCGTTCGTCGTCTTGAAGTGTCCAATCTGGAACAGAAGTTGACATTAAAAAAATATGCTCTCAAATAAAGGTTCTGTATTTTACCCTTAAATGAAAAGGAACCACTGAATACTGACATTGTAGATGATGTCCTCGAACAGCACATGCGGGTAGAGGTTGTGAAGCGATTCTGCGGCGAGCTCGACGAGGCGCTGCGCGCGCGCCAGCAGCTTGCGCGCGGCGGGCACGGGCGCGAGCGCGCGCGTCAGCAGCGGGTCGTGCGGCGCGTGCACCGCGTACAGCCCCACCAGCACGCCCGACCCGTCCGGCAGCGCGCGCACGTTGTCCGGCGTGCCTGGGAAGGAACACTAATGAGCGATGCGCCTGACTATAGGGATGTTTCCTGGGTCAAAAAGCAAGAGTTTTAATTAGTCCGTCAGTTAACTTATCAAAAAATACTCTACAGGTATTTTTCACTTTTTCAAACTAATGAAAATTTAAAGAGATAAAGCGCGCCAAAGTTCATAAGAAGAGGCCCGTGACGTCAATGCGTGCATAAAAGTGCCGCACGTTGTGACGTCGTGCGGAACTTCAACACACCATAACTATATAGCTAATTATTTGTTAGATTGACTAATAAAAATATATGTGTCCAATATTTTTTGATATTAAACATTACGGACTAAAAAAATTTTTTTAGGAAACTAGCCTATTGTCCCTTACGCTGTTTATGAATTAACGAATCTATTCGTCTCTGTTGCTCATCTGGCATCTGACATCTCACTTTGTGTGAGGACGAGGAGGACCATGGCAAACGTGGAAACAATAGCCATAGAAGAGATGACATGTTGAGGGTGGATACGTCCAAAACTTCAGATTCAACTTCAGATAAAACGTGACCACATGCTTAAGGCAACTCTTATGTAGTCTCACATATTTCCTGACACCAGTCAAGTTCTACCTGTATTACCCAAATGAAAATTTTTAACATAAAATTAAAAATTCTGCCTTACTACTTATCTATAAGTAACCATTTTTATTGAAAAATAAATATGAAACGCCATAACCAGCAAGCTGTTTGTTGTTGACGTTAATGAACAATGAATTAAAGACACCTGTTTAAACAGTGGAGCATTTTGGAAGTAAATTTAAATTACTGTTGCAACATTCAGATCAACTTGATAACCAGATCAAGTTAAGCCTTTTGAAAGATTGACTTGTTATTTTTTATTACAAAAATGATTCTTTTAATTTTCATAGCCGCCCAATTACTTTTTATACAACAGAGTGCCTCACAAACAATTCACGAGAGTGATATCAACTTCAGAGTGGAAGCTGGGTCAAGAACATGTTTTTTCGAAAAAGGAAAAGCTGGTCAAATGATGGAAGCTTATTACCAAGTATTGGACGGCCAACACGGGGATTTGGACATCATTTTCGAAATCATGGACCCTAACGGCGTTCAGCTGTTATCGGATTACAAGAAGTCGCAGAATTCAATTATTATGGATTTGACGGCGGACGGAGATTACGTGTTCTGTTTGGATAACACGTACAGCATGATGAATTCCAAGCTCGTGTTCGTGTATGTGGTGATCGAAGACAAAGTGACGGAGGAGAATGCTGAAGGGAGTGGGGCGCCAGACGGTGAGGAGAATAAGGATTTGGAGGTGTTGGAGTGGAGCGGCGTGGACGCGGACGGCCAGCCATACTACATCGAGGTCGACCGCATCGCCAATTCGCTCACCACCACACTCCGGCACGTCGTCAAGGCCCGGCAGCTGCTCGATATGTACGGCGCGATGAAGTCACGCGACAGTTACCTCGCCTTCGAGGACACTTTCATTGTCGACATGTGGTCAGGATTCCAAATAAGCTTCATGCTCATAGTCGGAACGCTCCAAGTTTACATGATTAAGAAATTGTTTAACAAATCTGCAGGCGCTAAAGATAGCTACTATTAATTTTTTAAACCTTAAAATACAATTTATTTACCTGGTAGGCCAACAACGAAGTCTTCTGTCTTTCCTTTCTTGGGCCCATTGATGTAATATTTCTGAAGCTTGAAGCTGCACGTAGAGGCCACAACTACAAATTGGTTGTCTGGGGAAACTGCCAATCCGTTTGCAAACCATATGTTGTCTACAAGTACTGTGCTATGATTTGTAGCAGCATTGTATTGGAGTAATCTGGTACAAAAGCATAAATCTTTGTAATATTTAAAATAAAGTTATAATCAAAGGTACATTATTTATCCTCCACATAGTTGTTCAATCATTGAGTTAGCAACTATTAATCAAATATTTACTTGCCACATTAATTAGTATTAAGGGAAAGTTAATGATGTTTTATTGACATGCTAATTAATCTATTTTTGTTTCTTGAACAAGTAAATAAGAGATAAATTGCTGTTGCTTGAGCACGTAAATAAGAGATAAGTAACTTATTTCTCTGGGATTGAGACAAGTGCTTATGTTCTGTCTAAATGATCTGCAAATAAATAACTTACCTCCCAGTGGGGTCGGTCAGCATTGAATATGCTCCATCCTTCAGATCAAAGTCAGTGGTAGAATGTGTCCAGTATAGGTTACCATTGCCATCAAGTGCTACAGAGTTGAACAGCTTAGGATATTGTCCCTTGATGGCAGTGCGAGGAGAGACCAGCAACTCCTTTTTGTCTGTGTTCAAATCCACCTTCCAAATACCAAGATAAGCATCAGCCACATACATCTGGTTTTTCTTTTCATCTATCACAAAGCCTAGAATGCGGCCGCAAATGTGCTCCTCCTTAATACCAGCTGTAAATATAAAATATGTCAAAATTAGTACTGAACCATTTTTATTTTAAAATATTTGTAATACACCTAGAATCACAAACTACTCTTTTGAATTTAAAATTCGCTGTTGACATCATCCTTTCTGAAAGTATAATGTGCAAAGTACATTTATTGTAATAACACATTGAATGTAAATTACTTACTGCAAGGTTGTCCGATTTTGGTAACAAATGTGACATGGCCTCCGGGAGAGAGTTTAACAATTTCTCCAGTCGCAACGCTGGTGTAAACTTCCCCTTTATAAATCTGGAACGCCTCGGGGCCCAGCACCTTGTCTAAGTACAGCTTCTCAGGATTGTTCAAAATTTCATTGGGGGCCAATGCCCCTACAAAAGGTTGCAGCGGTTCAAGACTAAGGATAAACGAATATGTTAGGTGGATTTAACACTAGTAGATTATTAATAGTCATTAATTTGGTTAAAAATACTTACTCTATTTTCGTAAATGTAGTATAGGGTGGTAAATTCGGAATTAATACAATTAAGCTTGCGAATATAGCGAAAAAAATAAATATTTTTAATATTTTTCTTATTAATCCGAATATAAACCCCATATTGAACGAGGACCTGAAATAAATATAAAAAATATAGTACATAATCAAGAGCAAAGTCCAAGAATATAAAACATCTAGGATACATAGAGTTCGAAATTAAAACTTAATAGTTATATGAAAACCTGATATTGTTATAAATGAGACCATTTGATTTTAAATATTTTTAGAGAATAGTGTAAATAATTAACAGTAAAAGTTCGGCAGAGTTTGTAGGACATTACAATGTGTTTAATCGACTTCACTTGTCTGTAAATAAATCACACCTTGGTTGTAGATCTCTGTAGCAAATCTTTTATTGATTAAATATTTATATGAAACAATTTCCACCTTTCTCACCTGTTTACGCGAGTGAAATAAAATAGAAAGAAAGAAGGCTAATTCGGCTGTTTGATTTGATTGACATATCACACTGAATGTCAAATTAGGTGTATAGTGAAGGTCCAAATTAAATATCGATTATATCGACAAATTATATAAACAACAAAAAAATGTTTTTATTAATTAAATGTGACTCGAATAATTGATAAACATGCCTGTTTTGTTTATGATAATTTAGTTGAATACCAGTATAATGCTTGAAGCATGAAAAAGTTTAAAATCATGTTAAGAAATTACTATTATCCCTGTTTACCAATCAGAGAAAAAATAAGGTTTCTCAATAAATCTGAAATCGGCAATTGCTTGCTGAGCCCCGATTACGGTAATTTTTAACGTCTCCAATCCAGACGCGTTTCTGATTCTGCAATACGATTGGTCAAAACAGCTGACGTACGCCAGTCTAAACAGCGTACGTCTGCACTGGTTATTCTGCAGTATTTTAGATCCATCGTACGTTTTATCGATAATAAAAAACGTCTTGGAGACAGCACAATACATTAAAGGTGACTTGTCAATTTGGCAGACGTCACACAGATGACGTCGCCATCGCGGCATGTCCAAAAGAAGTCATTGACCTCAAAACAATCTTCGTAAATTTTTTTAAAGTGGGTTATTACATAACTTTTATAAAATCGTGTCTATCACTTTTTGGTGCTTAACTAAAGATTTCATAGAGAAGGAAGAGTCCAAACAAAAATCATTCATTCATTGTTTCTATCTAGTCTATGCCATATTTAATATCATTCGTTCTTTTAGAACTGTCAAGAGGCCATTTCGGTCGTGTGTTTTGTCGCTGGAGTGAATTATTTCTAATTCTAAAACATGGGTCACGCCAATATCTGGTATTCTCACCCCCGGAGATACGGGCAGGGATCCCGTTCATGGTACGTAAATTCTTAAACTTGATCATTTAGACCTGAATACGTGCTACTGTGTTTAGGTTATGGCACGTGTTGATGGCTTACATCAAAATTATAGGTACTCATCCAGTGTTTCTCTCGTTTCAGTCGTGCTTGCTCCAACAGACATGGACTTATCCGTAAATATGGATTAAACATCTGCCGGCAATGTTTCCGCGAATACGCGAATGACATCGGATTCAAGAAGGTAAGAGCATTTAGCATTATTGGATCATTGGTCTGTTTCTCATAATTTATTTTGTCTACAAATCCCGTAGTTGCATTAATTTAAGATCACTTGTGTCGTGTTTTTGGGGCAGATCTCAAATCATCAATACAAAATAAGTTATAAAACACTGTGTGTCTGATTCATTACATTTTTGGTTGTAATGATGACAGCCGCCTAGGCTGGTGGTTCCTATAACTGACTTTGATCTTGGATGTAGTTGTGGGGTAATACCTATCTGTTTAATGACAAGCATTTTGCTCAATTTAGTGTATTCATATATGAACTAGGTATACATGCCATTTTTATAAATGACTAATTATAATAAATTGATAACTCCTTTGTTACTTTTGTTTTGAAATCTAGCTCCAGACATTATAAATAACTACAACTTTTTTTCTTTTGTTTCAGCTGGACTAAATGGTTAGTTTAATAAATTTTTAAGTAACACTTATTTTGTTTTTATTAATATCTCCCTTCTTCCATGGACAAGCTTAATTATCTACAGAATGGTCAGTGAGTTAATATTCAAAGCTAAAATCAAGGTGTACATTTCCAAATCATCCCCATCAATGTATTTTCTATGATTTTGCTTTAGTTTATGAGATGGACTTAATTTTGTGTCAACTGCCTGGCCACAATGTTTATTATACGTAATAATACACAAAAAAACAAAACACATAATACCTATGATAATAATTTTATCTGTACAAAAGTATAAAAAATACAAAACATCTAGTATCAAAACTAACAAATTAACAATCACTTAGAGTTTATTCACAATTACACTTTATTATTTGATCCTTGCCGTAGACTCACTAAAGAAGATCCAACTCTCTGCAACAGAAAAAAGTAAAGATAATACACATTAATACTTTTAAAATAATCAAAAGAAAAAATTCATATCACTAGGTACTACTAATTTAAAAACTTGAAATATGTTCAGATGTGAAACTACCTAATTTACTAAAATATTTTCATACTGTAGAAAATGTAGAGCTATATTAGTTACTGACTTAATAAATAGAGTGTAATAAGTAAGAGTTCACAGTCAAAAACAGTTATAATTTTTATAGTTGATCATAAGAAAAGCACTGAATTCTACTTCTGAAATACATCTACTTTTCCTAAAAGACCAATATCAAATTCTGAAAAAAAAGCACCCCAATACTAAATGACTGATTGGTGATGTTAATTTATATGGAGCCTTTTTAAAATATTTGAACTCAATATTTTGGGGAATATGCACCAACCTATTTCTTATTTAATAATACAACTGCAGTTTTCTGGGACATGTGTCGAATGGCATACCTACACTTGCACTCACACATTATCCCAACTAATATTATAAATGCGAAAGTAACTCTGTCTGTCTGTCTGTCTGTTACGCTTTCCCGCTTAAACCTCGCAACCGATTTTGATGAAATCTGGCATAGAGATAGTTTGAGTCCCGGGAAAGAACATAGGATAGTTTTTATCCCGGTTTTTGAAACAGGGACGCGCGCGATAAGGTTTTTCTGTGACAGACAAAATTCCACGCGGGCGAAGCCGCGGGCGGAAAGCTAGTTTTATTATAAATATCTGAGAGATGGTGGCCATACATACCACTTGAAAACTGTCCAATCCATGGGCACATAGTAAACACTTGAATAAATACCTGGGTGACTCCAGCAAGCAGTGCTAGTAGACTGCGCTGGGGCGGGCGGCAGTGCTTCTTGCCGCCCTCGGCGCAGCACAGGTTGGGGAAGCAGTCCACGCTTGAGCTGCAGCGCTGCGGGAACAGCTCTTGTTTGGGCGGCGGAGTGCACTGCAGATATTGCTCCAGCATCCTCACGGCTGAAATCACATAAATTCAAGGTTTGAAATCATTATAGTAAGTTTTTGAGGCGATAAAATAGTGACAGTGTCAGAGTCGAACTGCCGATTTGAGGGTTGGTAGTTCGACAAACTCTGGACTATTGTGGTGAACACAGCTCAGNGGGGGGGCTGGTGAGCCCACCCCGAATGGTCTGTTGACGCCAATGTGCGAGGATTTGTTCTCCTGAATAAACGTGATTGCGTTATTACATTGTCAGTTACAATTTAGGCAGAACCTCCTAATCTGATTGCGTACCTTTATGTCCCAGGTTCGATTCCAGTGGGACAAAATGTCATGTTGTAATAGGAATCATGTTAGTACATTTTGCGCCAGCAAAAATATTATAGTCGGTGCCCTAAGCACGAATATACGATAGTACTGATGTAAGGCATCTTGTGGAGTGCATACTCATATCACAAACAAGAGAAAAAGGAAATTAGGGATAAGTACATACTCGTACATCGAGTTATAAAATAAAATTGACTGATAGCTGTTAAGAAATGGAAACTTGTAACCAACCACACGCTGCAGTGTTGCAACGTTTTACGTGAAACTTGTCCGTTTTCCTTATACGAGTTATGAAGTAACACGTTAAGCTCTTATAAAGTTTAACGACGAACAGGATATACCTACCTAGTGATCTTAATTAAATCCAGATTTTAAAGTTCAAAGAGTAGACAGTTTTTTTTTTCAAAGTTAACGACATGGTTTAATTTTAATTATTAATTCGACAGGAAATGTAAAGAAAATATTAGTAGCTCAGGATTCTAGGTACCACTGAATGTCTCAATTTTTCATTACACAATTTATAAAATACTAATAAATAAGTATCTAGACTGGCGCATTGCGTTACTCAGCTTTCGTAATTTTGCAATAAGAACTTTCATTTGCAGTCAAAAGTCTGCGACGTTTTGTAGCATGCGACTTCCAGAGCAACGTCACGCACTCGTATTTCTAGGGTAACTACGGTGCTATTCCTAGTACCATATTAATTATAGTACCTACCTACTCACGTTTACCTACATTACCAGAAAAATCATGTTTGGCAGCAGTCGGCGTTAGTCGTGGCAACTGCACCTCGAGTATGTCTAGTACTTACGGCCATCAATCTGGTTGGCGACAGGCAGCAGGTCGAGGCGCGCTCTAGCGGTGCGGCAGTAGGAGCGCGTGCCATCGGGTACAGCAAATGCGCGGCCAGCAGTCGGCGTCAGTCTGACAACTGCACCTCGAGCATGTCTAGAGTACTCACGGCCGTCAATCTGGTTGGCGACAGGCACCAGGTCGAGGAGCGCCTTGGCGGTGCGGTAGGAGCGAGTGCCATCGGGGCAGCAGATGCGCGGCCAGCAGCCAGCGTCATCAGTCTGACAACTGCACCTCGAGTATGTCTAGTACTCACGGCCGTTAATCTGGTTGGCGACAGGCACCAAGTCGAAGAGCGCCTTGGCGGTGCGGCAGGAGCGAGTGCCATCGGGGCAGCAAATGCGCGGCCAGCAGTCGGCGTCAGTCTGACAACTGCACCACGAGTAAGTCTAGTACTCACGGCCGTCAATCTGGTTGGCGACAGGCACCAGGTCCAAGCGCGCTTTAGCGGTGCGGCAGTAGGAGCGCGTGCCATCGGGGCAGCAGATGCGCGGCCAGCAGTCGGCGTCAGTCTTACACGACTGCACTTCGAATAGCAGCTCGCCCAGAGGCGTCGTCGGGCACTCGCGGGGTATCACGCCCAGCAGTGCTGCAAGAAAAGGCACAGAGATGTTGGAAACAATAAAATTTGAACCTTTTGGCGGCCAGAGTGGACGCTGTAGTAATGGTACAGTTTAAGTAAGTACAGTACTTAATAGGGCCGCTATCATTGTGGGTAGGCACACAACCAACCTACAACTCTATGAATTGATGTTTCTATGTTCATGGGTGATTAGTAGCAATATTAGCTTTGTCTTAAGCGTAGCGTCATGTCAGTTAGTAAAATGGTAAGAAGCATCATACGTTGATGTGACTTGGGCTTGGGCGCAGGGCGAGGCGCCGACACGCCCTTGACGCAGCGCTTCTCGCAGCAGACCTGCCCCGGCGCACTGCGGCACTGCGCGTTGCTCTCGCACGGGATCGGGAACAACTCCAGAGGCAGTTGCTTCGGGCACGCCAGCTTCTGCGCCTTGCCTGCGCTCGAGTAATCCACATTATACTCGTAAACACTCGCGGTGTTGCGTGTATGAGAATAAGTTACGTCAGCCGTTATGTCAGAGCCTACAAACAACGGGCTAGTTCAATATCAAAATGTCAATTGACCTTATCATTGTAACAGTTGCGTTTTATGTAGTGCAATTTTGTAATGTGCTCGCATTACTTAATGATTTAAGTTTATAAGTCCTAGTTTTCAACAGAATACTTATATGATGCATCTACATTTATATTATGTTTATTATGTATTGCTGAAACATTTCAAATCTTAAGCAAAGTGTTGAATAACTTTAGAGTTTCAATAGTAAGATAAAATTAGAATGTGTGCTAACTGCTTCTTTCTAATTTGTGACTCTTATTATGCATAGAAGTTTTATCAAAGATTTTGTGCTGCTTTGTATGAGGTAAAATGGCCATACCTGACTTAGAAGACTTTGTTTTCACAGGCGGCGTAGTCTGTACTATGGGCAGCAGCTGCAGGAAGGGCCGCGGCGCCGCGGTCGTGGTCGGAGCCGGCGTGGTCGTGGTCGTGGTGGTAGTGGTCGAGCTGGTGGTACTTGGAGTTGTAGTTGTTGTTGTTGTTGTCGTGGTTGTAGTGGTGCTTGTTGTGCTGGTGGTGGACGTGCTTGTGCTTGGCTCGACTACTCTACCCTTCGTGTCGTTGGCTCTAAAAATTACCGTGTTATGTTCAAAAGGTTTGCTTTTACATGATTGGTGATTACCTAAGCTTTATGTAAGTGATAGGAATCATAATAATTCTATGAATTTATGAACCCTACTTGGCAGTAGGCAGTGCTTTGTGAATATTCATGTGAAAGGTGCATTGAAGTGTAACTAGGCAGTGTCCATTGCTTATCTGAATTAATCATTTAAGTAAGCTCAATTTTACAATAAATAAACGAAGCTCATAACATAATCCTTTCCAATCGCATGTTTCCGCATTGTACAATCATGCACAAATTAGTTTATTTATATCATTTTGTTGTTACTAAATTAAGAATTTATATAAGCTATTCAGGTTATTTACTTATCTATCGAGTGTCATTATGTATAAGTATCGCTACATCTACTTATCTAGTTTAGTCCACACGCCAATAGAAATTGGCAATCAATAACTAATTTTTTTCAGCCCAGAAAGATTCACCATAGCCTACCTAGGTACTTATTCGGGTCTCTATTTTGATTGTGATTACTACTGAGGCTTTAGGTATAGTGTAACTTGCGTTTTTATTAATTTGACATTTACAAAGTTACGAAACTTTAATGGCGTGGCATGGACTGTACGAATGCAGATTTAAAAACACTAAAAAAACTATTCAAGGACTTAAAGTGCATTAAGCACTGCGCGGTACCTATGCATTTAGGATAGAAACCGCAGTAATTACCGCGTGCATTAACGAATTATTGAATAAATTACGCTTTGGCACACCCGGCGGCCTTAACCCGCACATTTACCGTTCACTTTTACAATTACAGGAATCGGAAAGAACATGACATGACAACCAGTTGGTTATATCACAATAACAAGGGCACGAATTTAAAAGTAAGGCAAACACTAAGTCCGCGTAGCCTGCTAACTAGAGCACCTTCTATATTGCTCAAATTATTATTAAACTTAGTCATCATCAACGGCGAAAACGTACCGGCTCCACCCAACTCTTACTGACGTCTTTTTAGCCATGTTCCTCTGAGCTCTGAGTCTATCTAAGGAAAACACAATATGAAAGACATCCGGTTGAACTCAGTGAGGACCATGAAACGATTCCAATACTTTAAATATTTATTCAGAAACCACAGCTCTTATGCAAAGAAAGTAAATAAGCGCTCCAAAACGGGAATCGAACACACAACCTCTAGGCTGTAGCTCTACTTCGACAACGCGAACGCACGCATGTTTAGGCTTTATTATGTAGGTACCTACTTATAATCTATACAGTGTGTCCGGGCTTGTAGTGATCAAACTTTAAGGGCGTAATCTATGGACAATTTTATCGATGAAAAGACTTCAAATTTGGAGCTTGACCCGTTTCTCGCAAAATTACGAGGATTTAAGTTTTTAATTTTTAGTTTTCACCTCTTCCTTCAAAAACAGGTGAAAGCGTGGGTAGCTTAACACTAATAAGCAAAAATTTTATATCATGCAATAGCCAATAAAATTATCTATTAGCAGAAGTAGAAAACAGATACAAGTTTGATACATTTTAAAGGAGTAAGAATGGATTTAATTAGAAAAAAACATGACTTTTTTCACTTCTTTTTCAGTTATTTTCCAACACAAGAAAAACCAGGTCGTTAAGGTATGTTTTATTTGCATTTTATTATTAGTATTTGAGCTATTCTACAAAACGAATGTAAATTTATAAATCTACGTCTATTAGTTTCGACGTAATTGTTGAACAAAGATACCCCTTCCCAGCGGTTTCCATAGTAATCGGAATAGGTTGTGTGATTCTTTCAGGCAGTGCATTTTCGCATGTCGCGTGCGCTATGGAAACCGCTGGGAAGGGGTATCTTTGTTCAACAATTATGTCGAAACTAATAGACGTAGACTAATAAATTTACATTCGTTTTGTAGAATAGCTCAAATACTAATAATAAAATGCAAATAAAACATACCTTAACGACCTGGTTTTTCTTGTGTTGGAAAATAACTGAAAAAGAAGTGAAAAAAGTCATGTTTTTTTCTAATTTAATCCATTCTTACTCCCTTAAAATGTATTAAACTTGTATCTGTTTTTTACTTCTGCTAATAGATAATTTTATTGGCTATCGCATGATATAAAATTTTTGCTTATTAGCGTTAAGCTACCCACGCTTTCACTTGTTTTTGAAGGAAGAGGTGAAAACTAAAAATTAAAAACTTAAATCCTCGTAATTTTGCGAGAAACGGTTCAAGCCCCATTCATCGATAAAATTGTCCATAGATTACGCCCTTAAAGTTTGATCACTACAAGCCCGGACACACTGTATATATAAAAATGAAACCCGTTTCGCGTTGTCACGGCATCACGTGTGAACGGCTGAACCGATTTCGATAATTCTTTTTTTTAAATGTTTGTGGAAGTCCAAGGATGGTTCTTACGGAAAAAAATATTAAGAAAATCTCTACGCTAAGGCGGTACGAAGTTCGCCGGGTCAGCTAGTATTACGATAAAAACGAATACAAAAAGTTAATCTGGATTTTATTTTACTTTACTTAAATTGCATTCATTAGACAAACATCTAGTAAGTAAAAGGTCTTAAGACCGGAGAGCCGGTTACGATTACAACACAAAAAAGAGCCTGCCAAGTGCCAATCGCGTAAGTAGATAATAATATGCACTTGGTTACACTTATTACGCTCCGACTATTTTACTTCACTTTGCGCCACTTATACTTAGTTAAAAAACCTAGCGTAATCATTAACAAGCTAACTTCAATATTATATGTTAACATTTGGATAAACTTAAATTTATATGTTTAATTGTATAAATGGATAATTTTGTTCTGGTTGAGTGAAGTAAAATAACAATATTCGTAACATTTAGGTAGGAACGTAAACAGCATTCCGCCTAGCTCTACGAGTAGTACAAGTAAAGATGGATAGGTTTTATTTTTATTAATAAATCTCTTGATTAGCCAATCACTCTGACCAACGATATTAAACGCACTCGTGCATCATTGACCACGAAGTCAACCCAAACGCGGCGAATCAAATTACAACGCGTGAAATTTTAAGTTTAACAACTTAGTTAGACTTAGGTACTAGGTAGAGTTACTTATTTTTAACTACTAAATCAAAGTAAATTTTAAATTATTTTCAGAGCAGTCGTTATTTCTCTTGGGACGAGATGTGCAATTAGCTATAATAATTATAAAAACACGTATCTTATCAATAATAATACAAAATTGCTGAGCATGGATGCAAAGGAGAGCGCGGCGACCACTTACTTTTTACGCTAGCGACCTACTAAAGAAATAATTAAGGTCTTTGTCGGTATGCATGATTGTTACATGATATTGACCATTTAATAAGGCGTTTATTTGTTTTGCCTCGTCTGCGGAATACTTAGGCAAATTAAAGTAGATCTAATCTCATTAATAACGTAACCTACCTAACATAATTTAATTCGATTAATTGTTACCTACATCTATTTTCTTTCGTCATTTTAACCTAATGTCGTCCCGCCACTGCTGGACAAATTAAAAGGTATCCACTCCATTCCATCCGCCCATGGATTTCCCGCCCAGACGCTCCCGCGACCTCATAGACAATCGGTCCAACATTTGGGACGACTGCCTGCACTACGTTTTCTGGTCTGTGGTCGCCTCTGGAGAGCTTTTCTGCCCCAACGGCGATTCTGCGGGTTGTGTCAATTACTTTGGTTCTCCTATGGATCTCGTCAATAGCGCAAGCAATTTACAGCGGTGCAACTTACCGTTGTGCAGCGGAGGCGGCGACGCCCTTGGTGCAGAAGCCCTTGCAGCAGAGGTGCTGCGGACCCATGACGCTGCGGCACTCCGCGTGCTTCTTGCACGGCAGCGGGAACAGGTCCAGCCAGCCGCTGCTGGTGCGCACCGCTGGGCATGCTAGTGATTGACCTTCGGCTGTTAACAAAATAATTTGATAGTAAGTTAAATGCTGTTGTAACTGGGTGTTCCGTCCTATTTATTTCTTGCTTGATTCATGGTCTAGGATGGGGTCTAGCTAACGCGGCATGCATGCATGGTTTACCTAGTAGGTACCAACCGTAGCCTACTTGGTAACATTATAATCAACGCAACGACAGCTAGAATCTACCAAAGTAAACGAGTGCAAGTTGCACCGTGCAACATAATGTAACTCGTCGACGTAAAATAAATTAGGTAATGACTGTTTTATTTTTGTATGTTTAAAGTTCAAATCGTAAAGTTTATTTTAATTACCTGAGCGAGATAACTAAAATGAGCTGCGACTGACTGCCACTTTAGTGTTTCCAGTTTCAGCAAGTTTCAGACAGTGGTTTCAGGGAGTTCATACACGCACCGTTTACTTACTTAGTTAAAACCTCAATGATTACAAATATTTTACTAAAACCTTATTTCAAATGGTTTATTTATGGGTTTACTATGATAGTAAAACCACTGATTGACAGTTTAGCTATACCTATTTTCCTGTCATTATTATTTTGTAAATTCTTGAATATCTTGTAAAAACTAGCTGTAATCATGGTGCTAACCAAAGAAGTGGAATTACCACAGTATACCGAACTAAACTCTCGCGAGGTGAACGTGTCGATGGCCACGTTGATGTCTGCGGCGCCCTACCTCGGGAAGGTCTGCGAGAACGTCAACAACGAGTTCATGCTGTGCAGGCAGGAGACGAACGACCCGCGCCCCTGCATCGAGCTCGGGAAACGAGTTACGGAGTGCGCGATTCAAGTCTTTCAGCGCATCAAGAAGGAGTGTTTGGAGGAGTTCAAGCAGTACGCCAACTGCATCGATAAGAGCTCCGGGGATTTCTCGTATACTTATTGCCGTAAGACGCAGTGTGCGTTCGACGATTGCATGGCGACGAAGTGTTGCCTGTACCGGCCGGAGTTCGGGTACTTCTGCCGGGCACGTGTGCACTCTAGCACGAGCAGCGCGCCGCAGCCGCCGCCGTGCCCGTGCCACCCGCCCGTGACCGACCCCACGCCCTCGCTGCCCGACTGCAAGCTGCGCACCAGCCCGCGCTTCGGAGGCCGTAATCATTGGATCACGGAGTAAATCTTCTAACGAACTAATTCTAGCTCGCATTAAATTTGTTGTTATTATTTAATTATGGTTTTTAATTTTAACCCTATTGTATTAACGTCACCTGTAAGTAAGACAACTTTTTACATAAGCTCCAGTCCCAGGTTTCATGCAGCAAACTCTCATGAAACTTAAACACGAAGGTACCTACCTTGTGTTTAAAAATCGCACTTAAATTACAACTGTCTACAGCATTTTTGCGCACGGGTTATGCATAGCTTATTTTTATTGCTTTATGACCTAGAAATAAGAATAACAACAAAAAATTGTTCTAAATTTGCTTTTATGTGTAAAAAAATGAAAAATTCATATCAATGAATGTATGAAACGTGAACATAGAGATGATTCAATTGGTTGCCAAATAAAATTTTTTCTTTCTTTCTTTCATTCTTTCTAATTATTAAAACATTCCAAACATCCATTTAAGATTAATTCTCACAAGAGAAAATTTAAAATAGAGTCCAAATATTTATTAAAAATGAAAAGTTCCATTTTCCTGTCATGTTCCATAGAAGATTTTTCGCATAAAAATCTAACCCTATCATGCTTTCAGTATACTGGCCTTAGTAACGTCGTCTCTCAAATCTCACTATATTTTGATGAAAGCGTGCCCCTTGTTCTTGCGAATAAGCCCCCATAATTATTTATAAATATATCCCAATGAGAATGGGCCGTGCATCTTTAGAGACATTCTACTATGAAGATGGAAAATTCAAATCGCTATAACTTCTTAAAAAGCAAATATTTTCGATTTGTAATCGCACTTTTTTATATAAATTTGCTTATATAATCAGAATATAATAAGTAAAATCCATGCGCAAAAAAAAAATTTTTTTTTGTTGACCGGTGTTATAGGTACGAAGCTATTAAAATTTAATGTTAGCTTTCACAAAGCAAACAAAATTATGATAATAATGTGTGTGTTGCAACTGGATGAGCCCATCTTTACGTACTTAGTAGGTAGCTCCGGTAGGTACGAATCGATGTCGGGTCAACGATTTTCGTCACATCCTTTTTAAATCCTTCGCGAATATTTTAAATAAGTAAAAACAATATTAAAAGCAACGATAATTAAGAAATTCTCGATCGCAAGATAAATGTACTTAGTCCTAATTGTTAACAACAAAAAGTTTTTTACAATTGGCCATCTGATGAACAGAACCTAGAGTTAACCCCAGGTCACCACTTCTAATTCAATGAGATCAAATTAATCTTTTTAGATTTCACTTAAAACCTTGTACAAATGGCTTATTTACCTACTTACAGATTCAATGTCATCGTTCTATTATTGATAACTACGACTAATTATTAAATTAAGTATTCACTTGAATCAAAGGTTTTCGAGTAGGTCATAGGAGAACCTGGGGTTGGGGGGTCCTGGTTTTTACATGTCATTTAACGTATTCCAAAATTTACTTTAGCAGCTACATACCTTGCTTACCTTACGTCATGTAATATTCTGAAGTTGAAATGTTAAATCGAACCCTTAGATCGAACCCAGGACTTTCTGCTCTAGTGTCTAACTAAGGAATCACCAGCTGCATTCTTTAAGTTTGATGATCTCTTGCGATCCTACTAATATTATAAACGCGAAAGTTTGTGTGGATGTTTGTTACTCTTTCACGCAAAAACTACTGAACTTGATGAAACTTTACAGTAAGTAGCTATTATAGTTTATAACCCACAGTAACATATAGGCTGTGACAAACTAAATTTCACGCGAGTGAAGCCGTGGGTAAAAAAAAGCTAGTAAATTACTAAATGTAGGGTAGGTACTGTTTTGATAGATATAATTAACTTAGTTACTTAAATAAATAGCTATCTATAATTAGCAATTAGTATTTTAATAACGTTTTATATTACTTGGTATGGTATTTCCTCGGGGGTCTCTACAATTACTGAAGTAAGTCAGGTTTTTTTTATTGCGGCGGCGTGCTCGATCATATTATTATTACTCAGACCGAAATGCATGCAGGCAGTCGCCGGCAGAAGTTTGTTTTAAATGAAGGCATATCTATGAGAAATGGACAAACAACTCTTGAATTCGATTTGTTTGCTCGTAAGAGCAGAGACGTAAAGTCCATAGTTTATTATGTAACGTTAATATGCTCCCCGCAATGCGACCCGTAAGTATCGCCGTTACTGCAGTTACCTTTAGCGAATGTGTTGCAGACACTACATAAGTTTTTCGCGGAATAGTAAGTACATATAATATTTATGTAACGTTGTCGGTGCGAATGCGGTACCTTGAATGGGACTGGTTATTTTATTTGGTATTGTTTGGGAATTGCAAAATGTACAGTCAAACTTTATCTATAGGACACATGAGACGCAGAGGAACTTGCATAATTATGTGCAACAAGTGACAGGGGATGTTGTTTCCCAGAACACTCAGGCGCGAATCACTAGTAGTGGTTTTCCTAGTTTTTCTCGCCGGAAATGAACTTTGACTTTATAAACACATACATTTCATTATGAAATTGTGGAAAAACATTAATTAATCTTTGGGAAGAAAGAAACTCTATTTGGTTCCGTTCAGATGATATAGCTAAGTTTTTCCCAACTTTTCCTTCTTGTACTTATAAACTCTCCCGGTCGTTTATTTACGGTACACTTATGTGTTTATTTTACTTTACACTCAAGTGTAAAACGGCAAATATTTAGTAGCTATGTATCGTTTTTATTTCAAACATATCACATAAACAAAAGTATACAATATGCGTAATGGAAATCTAGAGATAAAATAAACTTTCTAAATGCATTTAAGTATTAATTATGTAGCAAAAGTAAATTAGATATTCATATCCAGGCAGTGAAGCTTAGATAATTACATGGCAGCACAATAATTAAAATCAGTTGTGTCATTTTATAAGTAATACCTATTTCAAAATAAGTCTTACCTGAACTTAAAAGTCCGATTGTGAACACCAACATCGACAGAACTTCCCGGGAATGCATGTCGTCTGTTTATGTAAACACTCCAATGTTATAAATAAAAATAATATCACATTAAATCACAATGAGTTTTCGAATGGCACTTGAGTCGTGGATAAAATAAATAACTAGTTGTAGATCGTTGCAGCCGGGAGCGCAGCGGCCACTGATGCTGCGGCGCTCGCCGCGTTGCGTCACCCCGCCGCGCCGCTGATACAGATTATCATTTTGGGGGACACCGGCACTTTCGCCACACTTTATTGCTTCAGTGATTATGATCGCAGCGATTGTTCTCCTTGCCAATCCCATCTGGGTCCGTATGTTCAAAATGTTGCTAACACTACTCTTAGGTCACTAACCACTGTCCTAGTCTAGCTCACGTCCTCAGCCGAAACTAATGCATTCATTACGGCCAGCTGCCTCTGGCAGAGATAATCTATTAAAACAAACCCTGACCTTAAAACTGAAATTGGTAAAAGTGGGTAATTAAAAATTAGCAAGGGCTCTCAAACTAAGTGTAGCCTGTTCTTTGACACAAGGAAATTCTCCAATATTACGAGAAATTTTGTACATAATTGAATCTAATTAACTTTTAATTACAACAGTATAGCACTTTTTTACAAAAGAATATGAATTACAAAATGATGTTAAATTATTCAATGTAATTGCGTGCGTGCTAATAATTTTTCGCACGCGTAAAGTACGTACCAACCGAGGCAACGATATAGGATGGAGTATAGTTGACAGCATATTAAAGTATACATTTTCGTTGTATATCGCACTTATTACAACAAAAACGTATGGTTCACTCGTTACGCCGACACCCGTACTTGTTATTTTTAACTTAAAATTAACAAAATTAAAACAAGTAAGTACTTATCATTTTATAAAGTGTTTAATTCGTCTAATAAAGACTTGCACTTATCTCTTAAAATTTTAACAGCTTCAACAAATATTACATTAGGTGGCATTGCTCCCACGGACTCCACATTAACTGAAAGAGAATGAGACATATTATTGAATGAAAATCGCTTTCAAAATGTAAATAATTATTAGTAGCAAAAATATTTTTATACATACATATAAAATGATCCCTTATCCTGCTTAGTATGACAGAATCCTTGATTTCATCATATCTGTATACGTTTCTGCTGCATGTGTCATAGCGTGCCTCCTGCACAAATGCTCGACCGTCCGAATCAATTCCAATAACACCAGGGGAGAAGCAGGTTTGTAGCAGAGTCGCCTCACCACCGGTCACCTCTCGGGTGAGTGTGATTTCAGGCAATAAACGGTATGAAGCAGTTGCTGGAAGTAAAATTATTATTGTTATCAGTAATAAGAACACAAGATTTTAATTTTAAATGTTTTTAATTATGTTATTGTTAGGAAAACAAACAGCATTCTATAACACACATAGAGTTACCTATTGTTGTTAATCCTAATAACTTATGCTTGAGAACATTTTGTTAATGTTAGAATCATTATAGGTGGTTTTGTTATAGCAAGCAACACACAAGCTAGTGAATGAAAGCACTTTGAAAAAATTTATTTCGATAATTTAGGCTGTGCTTATCTTATTTATTTCATAAACCATGTACTTGTTCGTTCTTTTAAATGGACCCAATAATTTATTAACAAAAGAGCATTTCTTACCAACTGGTGAAAATTTGGCATGGTCCTTTCCAATGCCTTTTACTGCTACTAATTGCAAATCAAGTTCATGGCCTGGCCTCATTTTTGATATGAGAATGTCTCCGTGAACCGGGCCCACCTCTGCCTCCTTGTGGACCGACGCTTGGTTGCCAAGGGGGCACCACTTCATTTGTGATGAATATACTGAAAATACGTAATTTATAAATAGTACAAATTATAAAACCTTTAATATAAAAACTTAAATATTTAACCAAATCTTTTAAATAACATTCCTTAAAGTAATATTGATATGTTTTTCTGTATATTTTTTTATACTCACCACTATGATTTTCATATAAATCTTCTGGTCTAAAAGAGTCTTTTGGTTGTGATTTATTGTTTGAACACCTTACTTTTAGAGAAAACTCCAATGTGTCAAATTCAGTGCCAACTGTTGCACCTGTAAAATATTTAAAATTATTAAAATAAGCTTAATAAAATACCTACAGGATAAAATAGTTTAAACCAGTGAAAGAGTAGACTATAAAAATATGCTACCCAACATTACATTATAAAAATAGTAATATATCAACTATTCACCTTCAGGTCTATACTCAAATAACCTAGGGTCTGCTTTCAGGGGTATTAGCCCAAGTCGGTGAGCCAGAACTTCATCTTGTATTATAGAAGTGTTATTTTTAATCATAACTTTTTCAATTGCCATGCTTGGCACTTCACTTAGCATTAATCTTCTAAATGCATTGGCGAACGCAGGTTGAACACCAATTAAATCAAATTCCATTGTAAAATTATCCATCCGCACAACCACTATGCGCATATTTTTTGCAAATTTTTTGAAATTCCATTTTTCATCAGCCATTCCATAATCGTTGGGAGCATTCTGAAAAACAAAAGTTAGTTTTCGCCTGTAAAACCGAGTTCATTCAGCAAAAAATAATCCTAGAATAATAATATATTTTGAGGTTATACTATAACCTATAGTAGTCACATTCAAATTTATTTAGGATCATTAAAATATACATTTATGCATGTTTTTTAAATCTTAAATTTACTGTGTTTGGTAATTAATACAGCAAAGCTTTGTGTAGATTTGCAAAACGACTAGACACCAAGGTGCAGTTTGATGCGGTTTGGACCATTACCTTTAAAATTTTAAAAGGAAACCCTCTGTAAAAATCTATACCTATGCCATTTTATATTATGCACAGAAAATCAAATCACAAAAAGGCAGGTAACTTTTAGATGTAGGTAAGGGTAAGTAGGTAAAACAGATTTCTGATCATCACCTTCACTCGGAACTCCTCCAATATAACTTTGGGTCTCTGATCTAATTTGGGCATTGTAGATATTTGTGTATGCACGGACAAACACTGTTCTAGTCAGGTTTTAGTTCTAAATCGTTCTTTTTTTACCAAAAAATAAGCCAAAAAAGCAAAGCATGTTGTTTTTGCGATGATCACACACAAATCAACGTCAAAAAAGTTCGACTGCTGCGAGTGACACTGACAATGTGGGCCACTGACGTATATACCATGGACTTGGCGTAACTTAAAAAAAAACGTGCACGGTACATACATGATTTGGGAAAACAACATGGCCGCAATATAGGCAATCAGCTGACAGATGTTTGTTTGTGTAGTTGTCAGCTAATTGTTTATAGATGACCCACGCTGAACTGTCCCACCAAACTCAATGACAGGGGGGCGCTACCATCGTTCAACTATATGGTTTCCAACATGGCAAAAATCGGAACCAGCGATCCGGTATAGACGGTGGCGCCCCGCTGTCAATGTCATGGACAGGACAGTTCAGTATTTTGGAACTATAGTTCCAAATGAAAAGAAAAATGTAGGTGACATTTTTGACAGCTAACTTCAGAGAGATCTTAAAGTTTGTACTGTGCTCGGCGGAATTTTTTATTTGGTGCGTTTTTTTTTTCAAACTGTACATGCGCGGGCCACTTAAAATTATTTTGGGGGCCACACTGTGGCCCGCGGGCCTGGAGTTGAGCAGCCTTGCTATAAGCAGTCTCCAGCGTGTTTTGCCCTACACAATCAAGAAAAACATATTTGTCAACATTTTTCGTAGGCAATATTGTTGAATGTTGACGTTTTTGTTTGGAGAAGACCCGGCTTTAAATAGAGCCTTAAAGAGCGGCTTCAAATATTTATATAATCTTTGGCCTTAATTACGACATTACGATCTGTCATGTCTGACCTGTCAATATTTTGACTTTTTTTTCTGACGTAAAATGTATTTACGCGAGTGATTTTGTTTGTAAAAGTCGAAATTTTAAGGTTTTTGTGAACTTTCGCTAATTAATTGCAACCATCATGGGAAGTCTAGACAGAGGAGTACTCACTGGATTTATATGCAGGCTTTGTTCGGAAATGCATCGAGTCGTACTTCATATCTACGGAGAAGAGGGTATACGTTTATGTATCTCCGAGAAGATCAATAGATATCTCTCAATAAATGTTTGTATTTCAATTTCAATATTATTGTTTACTTTTTTAACTTTCATAGTTAGTCATAGGTGTAACTTTAATTCTATTTATTACAGGTGTCCCGTTCGGATCCATTGCCCAAAACAATCTGCAAAAATTGCCTGGAAAGATTGGAAAATCAGCACAGATTGGTAATGCGCATTGAACAAGCAGCAAATCTCTTGAAAGGACAACGGCGGGCACGATTCAATAATAATTATCAATTAACCAGTTAATTATGTAAACCATTATGTATTAGTTATAGTTCTCTTTAATTAAGCCTTTAATTTAGATTGAAATGTTTGTAAAACCAGACAGACAGGTATGATTATGATATATTTTTTAATGAGATGTTAATTACCTGAACATCATTCAATGAACAACCATTGGTTGAATGATTACTTTACTATGACTATGACTTGGTTTACAATTATTTTCAATGAATCTTGCATTAAATTGCTATTATTTTATACATAATATAATTTTAAACCATAAGTTTTTATTTTTAATATATCTAATGAAATGTGATCTCTTTATCTGTTGGTTTTATTAATTTGTGATTACCCATTTTCTATTACATTATTAATTTCTTTTGGAAAATGTTAAGAATTAGGTACCTATTATGCAGTTGCTGCTCCGTCATATATAAATAGGTATTATACTTTGTTACAAAAGTACCTACACTTGTGGTGTGGTGCAATGTAGGTTCAGTAAAATGCTAGTAAAATTGTGTTTCTCTTGTCAGTTACATACCTACTCTGTTATAATATTATAGATATGTTACATTTGGTTGGTATATAATTATAATAGAGTGGTTGCTCCCACTGGGGACAACTGGGAATTTATTTACTAAAATGGCCCCAATCTCTGATATTAAAAACTGTCAAGTGGGGAGATCGTTTATCCGTTTATTCCTAACTCACATTCCCAGCTGCCCATAATGTAGTGCAAGGGTGTCACGAACTATTTGACACTGACTGTAGAAGTGACGCCAACGAGGGCAACTAGCTGGGACCCACCAAAACGGTGTTTTGGCTTGCAAACAAAAATAATATAGGTAAAGTAATATTAGATTTAATGGTTTTACACAATTTGTAAAAAATACATTCTAGATCTAGATATTATTGCACATTTCCATTTTCTAAAAGTTTTTCTACTCTTAGTGAATTTTTATGTATGATTATTTTTAAATCATTGATCTTATCATGTTTTTCTGTTATGTCTGCGTCTAGCTGCTTCACTTTTGCATACAGGGGGAAAAGAGATTCTTCATTTAATCTGAAACATAAAAAAGTAATCATCCGTTATAAAAAAAAAACAAAAGAAATGTGCGTAAATGTCTATAGATACTTACATGCTTAGGAGACTGTCCAGTGGCCGAGCAGAGCCCCGATTACGGTAACTTTTAAAGTCTACAATCCAGACGCGCTTCATCGATTCTGCGATACGATTGGTCAAAACAGCTGACGTACGCAGTTGAACGACCAATCGTATCGCAGAATCGAGAAGCGTGTCTGGATTGGAAACGTTAAAAGTTACCGTAATCGGGGCTCAGATAGAATTTCGTAATTACGTATAGCTAATAGGGCTAATAATAGTAGCTTGGGGTTGGGGTCATTGTACGAAATTATATCTACTCGGCGACCGGACTTTTAGAGTCGTGGATTATACCAACTAATTTATATTGTGTACAGTATGCATTTTATTTAGAAGTACCTAGCTATAGGAGAACATAGTAATTAAGTAAATGTTTTACTCCACATCCCCATTGACTTGCCCCATCAAAGGGTTTAGGGTTGCCATCTCAAAAATTTGACAACCAGGATAAGATGCGTGAAATCTCCGGATTTTGAAGCCCAGAACCCGGATAAGTTAACGGGATTTTTATAAATTAACCTTAGTTGCACCCAGAATTGGCCGAAGACTTAAGGTTTTTATACCCAGACAACAAATAAAACCCCCCGCCCGGACGCTCTCTAAACTAGGATAAATCCTGGGAAAGAAGTGTTAATAAGCTTCCGATTCCATTTATCAAACAAGTTACCAAAAGAATAAAGAAACGAAATTATTTCAATTATAATGTAGTAGGCATCATGGTAAGGTACTAACGCTTTCTGTACAGATAATTCTTTCGAAGTTTCTTCGTATGTTTTAGTCCACTGATGCAGTTCCTGTCGCATTACTTCAACATCCTCCTGTATGTGGTCCAAAAGTTTACCTAACGGGTTAGCAACTCTGGACAAGGCTTGAATATCAAACCTTAGCTGCTCTATTTCCTTGTTCAAAGCATCTCTAGCTTTCTTTGCCCCAAACTGCCATTCCTATTAAAATAAGATTAAAATGAGATTCGATCATATTCTTAATAAAATACTATTCTATTTTTGAGGCTACCTAAGCCACGATGATTACTTTGAAGGCGGGTTTGAAAACAACTGTTAAACAATAAGTTTTACATACGATTTCTGTTTTCCCACTCATTTGCGAATATTCTTTTTGTGAATCTAGTATTTGCTGCACTAGACGACCATGCTCATTCAATGAAGATTGCATTTGTTCCTGTTCATCTTGTGCTATTTCTGAGGGATTTTCCTGTTCCACAATAATGATACTGTTGTCTTCTTCCTGTAATGATTAAAGTAGGTATTACACAGACTTAAATTTTCTAAAATAAATTGTTTCTTTTTTGGGAAATCATCTAGGCTTAGGGTACCTACCTCTTCATTTGGCGCGTTTTCTGCTATTATGTTTACTTTCCCCACCATAATATTTTCAGCTTCGACTAAAATGTTCTCATGTTTATCTCTTGGCCGAGGGGCGCCAGGCCTTGAAGACGATGGCCGGACACTTAATGGCCTAGCAACATTTTTAATTTTACTAGGAGACTTAGTTATTGGATAATTATCATGACTTTCATTTTCCTTAATAAAATTTGCCTTGTTTCCATTTCCGGAATTTTCAGTTTTGTTTTGTTTCTCATCCTCATAGCTTATCGGTTTTATTATGGTATTAATTGCTGTATCTTCACTGATTATTTGTGGTTCTTCATTAACAGATATGATATTTTCGCCATTCAAATTTTCTTCCTGGTTCTGGGACTTCATATTTTCGGTATCCATTAAATCTTGAGAAGACAGTGAAGAGTTTAAACCATTATCGACGATCGTATATGAGCTATTAAGGTTGGGCTCTTCACGCTCAGAAAGAAGGTCAATGTGTGTTGTGTTTTGATCTGTATTAGATAGTGTTTCATTACTTAATTCACCGTCTTTTAAAATTCGAGGTATTTCATTTCTAGCTACAGATTCATTGTCTGCAACCACCACCAATTTTGTTGGTTCTGGTTTCACATCGATATCATTATTTTCCGAATGTCTTTTCTCTAAAGAAGCTCTCTTAGATAAATTCTGTTTTGATTGTTGCGACGTCTTTCTTGGGGGCGATTCATTTTTTAGTATAATCCTTTCTTTTCCTTTTATTTTATTACTTGTTTTGTCATTTTCAAGTTTAGTTGTAGATCGACTATTTGACTCCTTTTTTTGGCTCGTTAATTTCTCGTTACTTTTCGAAGTCAATTTATTAGTATCTGTAGATTTTTTCACAGATCTTGTAGAATCTTTCGATTTCTTCTCGTCAGCTTTAGCTGTTTTCGTGCCTTCTTTAAACTTTTTTACTGCTTCATTAGACGTCAATTTTTTATCAAGTGCAAGTGCTATGCATTGCAGCAATTCATTCGTTTTTTCTGCTTCTTGACCTGCTACAATTTTTGAGGGTTTTACTGACAGAGGTTTTCCTGTAGTCCAACCTAAAATATTTTTTTTTTTCGTTAATTTAAAAAAATGTAGAGTAGGTAGGTACTTTAGGTGGTAAACGTTTATATCTGTTTGTACTCACTCACTACAGTAATTACTTTGTTAAGGAACACAATTTTATGTTCCCTGTCTTTTACATTTTCGGATACCAACTCCTCTTCATCGAATAGACCTTCAAAGAATCCTGTTGTTTTCAAAACCTGGCGAGCAAAAATTCGTATAACTAAAATTATTGTTGGGCAATAATGACCCAGTAAATTATAGCCTAGCTAGGTAGGTTTTTAGTTATAGTAATTAATAAGTACATTCACTTAATAAGATAAGAACAGCAGTGAAATGAGATAATAAAATCAATACTTACGCATGTTACAATATCATGCAAAAATCTAAACGGTGGTTTTCTTAAAAGTTTTTCCGTTAAAGGAGGACGCTTCACATATTTGCCAAGGGCACTTTGTGTAGTTTTTATCACCACCGGGTCTAATTCTTTTTCCATTGCACATATTTTTGAATTAATATCCCAAGACACAATATTTTAGGTACTTTGGGCTCGTGAAATTGACATTCATCATTGTTTATACACAAACGTTGCCATGGTAATCATCACAGTAATCATAGAGTAAGTAGGCAGAAACAAGTAGGCCCTACAGAACCGGGCCCACCCCAATGTTGGGCTGCCGATATTCGAAGACAATAGTTTAAGGATAATAGTTAGGTAGGTATTATAGTATATGAAATGTATTATAATAGTACAATGGTGTACCAACTTTGTTGAGCGCAACACTGGGGAAATTGGATTAAACGATCTTGATACTGTTTAATTTTTATTTATGACTTTAATATTAATGAACATAAATACGAATAAGTAGTATTACCTATACTACTTACATTTTAGATATGTGTATGAAAAATGATATTCTGGTACACCTATAGTCCTAGATAAGGTATAAATCGTTTTCGTTTCCAGAAATTTTTAAATCGCACTATATTTCGTGTTATCAGCCGCGTGGAAAATTAGTAAAAGCATAGTTAAATAAACTTCAAATTGAAAACTTGTGAAAATGTTGACTTTTTGGATCTTAAGAAAAGGTGAGATTTATGTTCCTTCCTTCCTAAAGTGGTAAAACATTAAAAAAATACCATTTCTTTCTTTCATATAATTAGCTAAGATAATTAGGTATTATTATTACCTAAATGTGATTTAAAAACAAATTACAAGTTATCCGAAAATCAAATCCGTCATACTCATAACTTCATACAAAAAAAGGCTTTTCGACTAAGGCTTTGCGATTATAATGTGCACTTTATCTAGACCCACTGGTAGCTGGTAGGTCGCCCAACGAAAGTTGAGGTAAACACACTAAGCTGATGTTATCTTTAGCTTCATGGTTGTTCCTGACAAATTTAGGGTTGCCGTATTCTAATTCTAAAATTGCCGGATTTTTAAGGAAAACTTAGAAAAATTGTACAACATGTTTACTTGGAAGGTTAAAATTAAAAAAAATGTTGATGTATTATGTACTATAAGTACGTAAACTACTTTTAAACTTACTTATTTTATTCTTCACTTTTAAAGGTTTTGAATAGTCCTAGAACCTACCCGATTAAAAGTGAAAAATCTACCAAAATGAGGAACTAACGATTTTAGACATTAATATCTCGGGATAAGGTTGCATTTGGTTGAATTCTGTTGACGTTTCTTTTCATGGCGCTTCTATAGTTCCAAAATACTGGACTGTCCTGTCGATGACATTGACAGTGGGGCGCCACCGTCAATACCGGATCGCTGGTTCAGATTTTTGCCATGTTGGAAACCATATAGTTGAACGATGGTAGCGCCCCCCTGTCATTGAGTTTGGTGGGACAGTTCAGCGTGGGTCATCTATACTTCATCTATGATTTACAATTTGGTGCGTTCCATTAGACGAAATATTTTTTTGGTTGGAATTTGATATTGTAAAACTCATGAAAAACTCATAAAACATATTTTGATACGGTAATGAAAGAGCTGCCGTATACCGTATTTCTATGGCTCCTACGTATAAGGGCGAAACTGCCGCTTACGCCTTTTTCCAATTATTTAAGCAATGATTTCACTTTGCTCTAATCTATAACATCAGTAAGAAAAAAAAAATTTTTTTCCATTAGATACAAAATAAAATTATAGGCAAATAGGCGTATGTGCAAAACTACGCCACGTATAAAGCCCAATCATACGATTCGTCAATCTATACGAGTAGTTGCTTACATAAACATATATTTTTTATAATCCAAATCTTAAACAAAGCCATGAAAATATTTAGCAAATTNAGGTGTATGAAGAATAATTGTACCAAGTTTCGTTAAAATCCGTCGAGTAGTTTTTGTTTCTATAAGGAACATACAGACGGACAGAATTCTATACATGAAATATATTTTCAAAATAACTATCAGGGGGTGATTAGTGATCGATACTGATGCCAAAAATGCAATCAGTAAAATTTTTGTCTGTCTGTCTGTCCGTCTGTATGTTCCTTATAGAAACAAAAACTACTCGACGGATTTTAACGAAACTTGGTACAATTATTCTTCATACACCTGGGCAGGTTATAGTTTACTTAGGAATTCCCACGGGAACAGGAATTAGCGGGAAAATCCTTTTGTATGAAAAATCTAAACGCTTAACGGAAGTTAGACGCTTGAAATTTGGCATGTAGGTACCTTAGTAAACTTAAAGCTTATTTACAACAAGTAATTACCGAAATTCCCACGGGAATTAGCGGGAAAATCCTTTTGTATGAAAAACCTAAACCGCTTAAGTTGACCTGAACTGATGCAGTGACCGCGCGCTCTCCGCCCTCTATCTCGAAAACGGTTCACCTTATAAAAAAAATTTTTAAACATTTGTAGAGAATTTAGTATTCTACAATATTGATAATAAATACAAATAGCAAAAAACCCATAGGAAATGAGATATTTCCAAAAAAAGCGCAAAAAACCGATTTTTGTGACCTTTGACCTTAAAATTTAATAGTTGCTTACACCCTACCATAATATGTAGGTTTTGAGACGACTTTTAGGGTGTCAATATACAAGTATTTACAGACTTACAGCTGGGTATCTCTAATTCCGAGATTCTTACCTAATTTAAGCTTAAATGACTGGACTATGACAAAAAAGGAACAACAGATTTATGCACTTCCATTAAAAGTTTGAACACCTTATTTTAGAAACTAAAATTACTAAAACACAGCAAATGTTCGTAATGCGTTTGACTTGCGTTTGAGAAAAAGTAGCTTTCTGTCGGCTTTTACGTAAAGGCGTAGTTCCGAATACGTTTCAGCTTCGATTGAACCTTTGAACTAACTAATCTGTTAAAACGATTCCGCGATACGGATTTGTCAAAAAGCTGATTTTCGTTTCGTGCGTCGTCCAATCGCGACGTAGATGAAAATTTTTAGGGCAATCGGGGCCTAGGTCGAGTTCACTGCGCATCTGGCGACCGTGACGTCACATCGATCAGGTACGAATTGCGATCGCGGGGAGATGTGCAGGTAAGGGGGCGTCCATTAATTACGTGAGACATTTTTTGCAATTTTTCAACCCCCCCGCCCCCCTTGGTGAGATTTTTCTAGACCCCCTCCCCCTCCCCACAATCTCACGTGAGATTCCTTAAAATACATATTTGCAATGTAAATGGGTAATATTTAAGCTTCGATTAGGATTTGATATTAAAATAAACTAATAATAATAATAATATCCTTAGACATTTTACACTGCGCCGCTAGCCCTAACTGTTTCTTTTAAGTTATTTATTGTTAGACGGTTTAGAATGAAAAATTTAATAATTTATCATAAACATCTTAATTTTTTTTTAATTTATTTAATAACCCAGTTTTCTTGCTGAAAAAAATTACGTGATATTTGTCGACCCCCCCCCCTCTCTCCCCTACGTGAGATTTAGTGAGATTTTTCTTGACCCCCTCACCCCCCTAAACGTCTCACGTAATTAATGGACGCCCCCTATATGCGGTACATATGCAGATAAATAAAAATGATTTTTAATTAAATTAGTCAATGAAAGACTACATTTTAATATGTTTACTTTATATTAATTAACAAAATTTTTAATATGATATTTTAAAAGCTAACAGATTAAAATTTCCATCGCGGGTGCAACTTTACCCTAGGGATATAATTATATACCGTAACATAGTTATACGGAAAAGCAATTTATTACTATCTCACTAGGAATATATGTATGTATAGTAATATATTTTTAAAATCTTAACTGGATTCATGAATACCCTTTTGCGTTATAATAACTCTTGCCATAGAACATGGCAAATCAGGCGCAAAGTCTACAGATAGTTCACGAAGGTAACTCTCACCAATTACAGATGCTTCTTCAGTGGATTTTACATTGGTTGTTGTCTTCTTTAACCATAATCTAGAATTTATCATGTTTGACCAAGCTAGCCCCAATGATGGCATCACATCAAAATCTTCTTTAAATGCTGCAGTCACTTGATTAATACAAAGAATGGCTAAATTATGTTCTTGTGCCAAATTTGTCAATAAAATGGCTAATTCTCTCAATTCATTAGCTCTGTGAATATAGTTACTATATTCAACTCGAAACGGAGCAGCAACGGAATCTATGACAATCAAACATATTTTATTTCTGGACAGCAAGGTTGGAAGGCGTACTCTAATGCATGATAATAAGTCTTGTGGTTCAGTAATATGTTCAACAAATATATGTTTCCCATAATCTACAGTGGGATCATAGTTAGGAAGGTTATTCTTTATTTGTTCAAATCTTTTAATGGGAAATAAGTCTTCAGTACAGATATACACACACCCTTCATGCCAATTATAGGCAGCAGTCTGAATTCCAATTTGTGTTTTTCCGGAACTACTTTCCCCATAAATCTCTGTGATAGTGCCCCTGCGGAAACCACCTTTCAAAATTTTATCTATTGCCAGACATCCTGTTGTAACTTTTTTATCATACTTTTCTTGAATTATTAATTTATCGCATGTTGTACATTTAGGCATTAAATATTCACTTACAATATTTTTTAATAGTTTTATATCTTCTGTGGGTAAATTTGTAAATTTTTTGATATCCCAAATAGAAAGCAGAATTATTTGTTTTATTGAACAAATCCCGTTTCTATCTAATATTTCAAACAATCTCGAGGGTAATATTTCTTCCAGTGAGTTCATGTTAATTATTTTGTTTTTATTAAAGTTGCAATTATCTAACTACATTAAATAACAAAAGTTTAAAAACAACTGCTTGAAAACAAACAAGTTGATGAAAAAGTGACATTGACGTTTTGTTTGAGTGATGAACAAAAAAAAAATGGGACAGTCCATCCAAAAAAAAAACAAAATGGGACAGTTCATAATATCAATCGTAGTGATTAGATTTAGCGAAGAACATATTTTTTTTGACGAGAAAACTAAATCAAGTAAAGACCGAGTCTCCAGCGCGCGTGTTTTGCCCTACACAATTATCAAAAACATGTCAATATTCAACATAATTGCCTACAAAAAAATGTTGACATGTCGAGAGCATGGAGGTTCTACTAATATTATAAATCCTTGATACTACCTATTAATCTATATATATAAAAGAAAGTCGTGTTAGTTACTTCGCTTATAACTCAAGAACGGCTGAACCGATTTAGCTGAAAATTGTCAGGGAGGTAGTTTAGAGCCAGGAGAAGGACATAGGATACTTTTTATCCCGTTCGAAATTAAAAAAAAAGTCTGCTTATTTATTGCCATTAAGGCGGAACAAAGTTCGCCGGGTCAGCTAGTATTATAATAAATGCGAAAGTTTGGATGTCTGGATATTTGTTACTTTTTCACGCAAAAACTACTGAACGGATTTTGTAGAAACTTTACAGTGTTATTATTTATAACCCAGAATAACATATAGGCTATAATTTATGACGATCTGTGATAAATTAAATTTCACGCGGGTGAAACCGCGGGCAAAAGCTATATAGTTATAATATTATCTTTGCCATTATGTTTGACACAATTTGTCATTTTTGCTATTGATTGTCTGTCTGTGGTCAGTAGAGGTTTGCACCGGAGCGAGATTTTAACAACCGATTGAATTCACCGGTGATCGGGCAATCTCCGGTGAAAAACCGGAGATCACCGGAGAATAAAGAAATTTTGTTTCTATTTTTTAATTATACATTCAGAATGATGAAATAAGAATAAGCGATTGATATACTTTATTTAATCATTTATTAAGAAAAAAAAAACGTTTTATATTGTAAGCAAATGCTGATTTTGATTTAAGAAACACAACATGTCAACAGCATCATAGCGTAACATGTTTCTTCTATCGTTTAGTATTTATTTATTTTTATTTTACTTATTTTATTTTATTATTTATTTATTTAATTTATTTTATTTACGTATTTTTTATTCTATTTAGATTTATTTGAAGAATATGCGCAAAGGATGACATTTTCTGACGAAGAACCAGAAGGTGATTGTGCTAGAAATATACCAAAAAAGCAACCCATAGTAATGAGCAATGAAAAAGGAATGCAAACAGAAAATTACAAAAATAATCACGAACATTGCAACAAATTATTTGGCCAGTTAGTTGCTAGTGAAATGAATCACATAAACGGACAAGATCGTTTTGAATTAATGACTGAAAAAATAATATAATTAGAAAGAAACAAGGTTGTAAATAAGTGGCATGTTAAATAATTGTATAAAACAAAATATTGTTGAATGTGTCTTTTAATTTTGTTACTTTATTATATAAAAAAATAGATGCGACGATCACCGGAGATCAATCGGTTAAATACCGATTATTTCAATCGATTACTTTTACCGGTAAATCACCGGTTATTCTCCGGTACTCACTGCTCCGGTGCAAACCTCTAGCTGGTCAGTCAGCAGGTCAACAATTTAGGTCAAGGTCATTAGTTTTCCGACTTTGCTTTATATATTTTAAAATTGCTGACTCCAATCCAAAGTATCTTACGATAAACTCTTTTAATCTAATACAATATATTTTTTTTAAAGGTATTTACTGTGGTATTTACAGTACCTACAGTTCTTATAAAATGTATGGTTTCAAAAGGAAAATATGCCATTCCGCAAATAAACAATAACAACTTTGAATTTATATTATAGCTCCTTTAATATCATAGCCTGAAGTACTTTTCGATACTATTCAATAATGGCACTATACAGAAATTTGTACAAGGCGGGTTCTGTAGCGATACACTTTCACCCCGCGGGGTCGGTGAAGTGCGCGCGGCCGCCGATCAATGCCATTCCATTCGTCGGTTTAGCCAGTGCGTCGACGGTATCGTCCAGTAAGAGGAAAATGGTAATGATATTGTATACTTTTTATTCAGTGACGATTGTAACACATTTGTCTATGTAAAACAAGCTTGGTTAACCTCATTTAATTTGTTGTATAGGCTGACAAACTAACTCAAGCAGAGCGAGACACACAGCTTCAGGCCCTCCTCCAGGCTGGCTGGAAGCTGCAAAGTAACAGAGATGCCATAGAAAAGGAGTACCAATTCAAGAACTTCAATGAAGCCTTTGGGTTTATGACAAGAGTGGCTTTGCTGGCTGAGAAAATGGATCACCACCCTGAGTGGTTCAATGTTTACAATAAGTTGCAAGTATGTACTTTAATTTATTATTTGATAATGGTCACAACAACAAGTCCCTTAAGGAAAATTATGAATTAACCTTTTAAATTGTGGACATTGTATTCAATTTAGTAAATGTGTATTCCAGAACCAAATATAAAATATTAAAAATAATTATTATAAAAACATTTAGTTTAATAAATTCATAGGCAATTTTGTATTTTTGCAGGTAACTTTGTCTTCCCACGATGTGAACGGATTGAGCAAACGGGATCTCAAGATGGCCAGTTTTATGGATAAGAACTTCAGTTAAGGTACTTATGAAGACAATACAATGTTTATGTGATTGAAAGTATAATAATATTGCATATTTTAAAATATTTTGTGTAAGCATTTAACCAAAACAAAGTTTTTTTTGTTAATAATGTATTTTATTGATGTATTACAAAGTTTCATAATTTCAAAACCTATTTCTGTTTTATAATTTACTCTTATAATGTTTGCATGTTCTGTTTCCAATTTCTATAAAGCATTTCTTATAATGTTTATGAGATTGATTTTCTGACATAGCAAAGGCAGGTTCTCTTGTCATTGAAGGGTTCGGTCTCAAAAACTGATGTGCAGGGGTAGGCTCGTTCAATTATTCTCTTCAGCTCCAAGGCATGGTCCATGCCTTTAGTCTCACAGACAAGTTTAACCTGTTGATAAACAAGTATAAACATTAGGTACCTGTTATCCATTCATAATTTGACCTTATATTCAAGGCTGTGTTAATGATAATTGCACTTTTTGGTGTAGTATTATTTATCTGAATCTGTGAGTGAAGGAATTTTGTTATTTCTTCGTTCTCACTAGTTCCAGTGGAAGTACAACATATTAACCATAAAATCGTAATAATAGTTCAACAAGTGTCCAGCATGTTCCTGTGACATCATTGATCAAATAGGTAGATACTTTATTACAATGTGGTATTGTTAGATATAGGGTGTTGCGCGGCGCGTACAGATACATGACATAATGTTATTGATATAGGTATAGGGTGTTGCGTAGCGCGTACAGTATTCTATGAACTACCTACCTACCTATACCATATTGAACAGTCGGTCTGTCGTCACTCACAGTCGCAGGGTCCCTTGTGACCTTGAATATTCGTTCGCGCATGGATGGTTTTATAATATGATCTATCTAAGTAGAACGACAATTAAATTAGTTCGAACCTCAATATTGTAGACTTCGTCCTCCATCCACCAGCCGTCTCTAAACTGGCGCACCACGTTGTAGCCTCCGTTCGCGAGAAGTCTTAGCAACTGGGCGTTAGCTGTTAGGGTGTTCTTTATACCCACCTGTAAAAATAACTATGTATAGGAGGAGGAATCTAGACTATATAACTACTTCCTTACTTCTCGTTAGTGTGAGTGATTTTTGCGAAGAGATTAGCATTATGCATTTGTTTTAAAACAACGCGGTTGTTGTTTTCCGTAGCAATAAACAACAAACAGCATTGGAGATGAGGAAAGTTACAAAAAAGACAGCGTAAACAAAGTGAAATGTTACTAAATGTTGATTATTATGTAGGTACCTACCTACGCCGTTTGTGTAATGAATGACTAATCAATCATGCAATTAGCGAAGAAATGTACCTAATTAAGCCAATGCAACGCGATAACGTCATAATACGAGTGAATTTTAAACGTGATATCTTGATTGGATTAAAAAAATAAATAAATAATGGTAATTACTCCAAACTTCACCAATCGTCCTTCAGCGGAAAGTCCTCTTTCTAGACACCTATTTAGTGATATATGGTCAATGTTGCCGCCGCTCAGAATACACACGACGCTAAAAACGTGAGAAAGTTATTATGTAGAAGCCATTCAATTATAAATTCCTAAACGGACAATTAACATAATGAAGAATGTTCACTATTTTTGTTTTTTAGCTTTCTGTATTATCTGTTAAAAATAAAAAATACACGTGAAAGAATTATTTCGATACGTTAATTAGTTTCCAAGATATTGAATTTTAAAAGTGCGGGCGGCGGCCGGCCCGCCATTTTATGCGCGTGACGTCATATTACAACGACTGGCTCATATTTGTATGGGTGGAATCTTGCAAACTGAATTAAGACCCACTTCCAGGCAACCGATTAAGCTGAAATTTCGCAAACACATGTGATTTGGATGACCATGCAATATTATGATGACATGGAGCTGATCTGATGATGGAGCTGGAAGGTGGCCATAGGAACTCTATAATAAAACGACTTAAATGCATCGAGTTTGGGCTCGTTCGTTTTGTATTGATGAGTATTTTAATTCTATATAGTAATCGGGGTCTAATGATGGAGCTGGAAGGTAATTCGCAATAAAACCTAACTGATTAATTATTGATATAGCACATGATAACAATTAAAATAATTACATGCATAAATAAAGAGAGTAATCGCTTAAAATATTATATTTACGTTGTCATTTAAGTCTCTTTACGTTGAACAATATACATGAAATTATAGAAATATGCCGACGTAAAAGGGCAATGCGTAAAATCTCAAAATATATAAGAAAAATATAAAAATTGATAACAGCAGTAGCAAAAGCATTACATGTTAAGGCTAAATGTGAAATTTCATTAACTTCGTTTTAGTAGGTCAGAAGATATGACCCAAAAATATGGTTCTGGCCACTAAAATGGCTCTCCTGTAAAATTTACTTTTTTCACTTACGCCAGTATACGTAGGAGCCATCGATTTATGGTGCCTAAGATGCCTGAACTTACGTATATTACGGCAATTGCCGTATCAAGAACATCACTGGTACCTACCTACAACGCGTTAACAAAAACTGTAGTCCAGTCATTATAGTAAGTTCACCTCGGAATTCGAGATACCCAGCTGTAAGCTGTAAATACGTGTATATTGACACCCTAAAAGTTGTCTCAAAACCTACATATGGTAGGGTGTAAGCAACTATTAAATTTCAAGGTCAACGGTCACAAAAATCGTTTTTTTGCGCTTTTTTTAGAAATATCTCATTTCCTGTGGGTTTTTTGCTATTTGTATTTATTATCAATATCGTAGAATACTAAATTCTCTACAAATTTTAAAATTTTTTTTATACGGTGAACCGTTTTCGAGATAGAGGGCGGAGAGCGCGCGGTCACTGCATCACTTCAGGTCTACTTAAGCGGTTTAGATTTTTCATACAAAAGGATTTTCCCGCTAATTCCTGTGGGAATTTCGGGAATTCCTTGTTGTAACTAAGCTTTGAGTTTACTAAGGTACCTNATCCGTTTCATCTCTAATAATAAGTTTGTATTTACAAAAAAAAATATATTTAAGTATGTTTATATCCGTTTTCTAGTGAGCGGACGCTGTGAATGTACGTCACACGGGGTCACGTGACCGTCGGCGGGACTCAATATTTAAGCGAACTTTGAATGCCTATAAAATCATAACTACTGGGTATTTTTGAATGAAATAAAAACTAATGTATTTGTAAATGTAAAAGCTTAACTGTAACATAGGTTTCAAGTGATTTTGCCTACCTAGTAACATTCTCAATTCTAATGAAATTAATAAGCAACTCATGTTTAATGTAATATTTCAAAGTAACGACCTCATGATTAGAACAAGTACCTATTATTTGCTTTAACTTACTTTTTTAATTTGAATTCTGGCACTAAATTGCCGACAATCGCAGCCAGTGGGCACGCGCCAGCCCCTTCAACGACGTATCGCTCTTTTTCGACTAAATGCAGAATTGCACGCGCTATCCAGTCTTCCTTGACCAGCAACTACAACAAAACTTATCTGAGTAATATACATACTTACATGTTTTAACATCGGTTACGGATTCGAAATGGTTACCATTTTATCAAGAAGCTGTTGGGCATTGCCGAAGGAGTTGACGCCGACATTAGGCGAGGCAACGGCGTCAGCAATCGTCGATTGTACCGGAATAGTCACAGGGTCGCCATTCTCTAGTGACTTGAAAAACGTTGGCATTACTTCGGGCTGCACACCCTAAGACAGAATCCCAACTAATATTATAAATGCGAAAGTAACTCTGTCTGTCTGTCTGTCTGTCTGTCTGTCTGTCTGTCTGTCTGTCTGTCTGTTACGCTTTCCCGCTTAAACCTCGCAACCGATTTTGATGAAATTTGGCATAGAGATAGTTTGAGTCCCGGGAAAGAACATAAGATAGTTTTTATCCCGGTTTTTGAAACAGGGACGCGCGCGATAAAGTTTTTCTGTGACAGACAAAATTCCACGCGGGCGAAGCCGCTGGCGGAGAGCTAGTTTATCATAATATTAAAACAGGGTGTTTTTGTAAGGTGTCAAGCCGAAGCCAGGTGATAGGTGAGGGAGGACCATACCTATCGATTTAACCTCCATGTATGTTTACCTGGCTTCGGCTTGACACCTTACAGGCATGAAAAAGTAGCCTAGATACGCCAATGCTTACAGGAAACACCCTGTAGTACAGGTACTTCAGTTAGTATAGCTCTATCGCGTTTCGATTGTACTCTTGAACTTTAAAAGCTCACACGTGCATTAGAACAGACTAGATGGAATGATGGAAGAAGAAGGTAATAGAATAATCAATTATATCTCATCTAAGGGAACTGAAACATGAGTGCTCTATAACAAAAGATTTTGGCTGCGTAAAGTGCGATAAAGAATAAAAACTATAAACCGAACGTGAATAAGGCAGAAGGGCCTTTTTAAAAAGGGAAAACGTACGTAAACAAGACAGTTCGGTTTAAGGGCCTTGATCATCGCGCAGGTCGCGGCCGCCAGCCCTCCGCTTCCAACTGGCACGAGCACAGCATCCACGTTAGGCACTTGCTCCACGATCTCCAGCGCTATAGTTCCATAGCCAGCGAGCACGTGCGGGTGATCTCGTCTAGATAAAGAGTACAATATTATTTGTGAGAATACGATTTGTGTAAAGAATATAAATCGAATGAAAACGCTTGTTGCTGAAATCAACTGTACTGCTGCACGTAACTGTTGAAAATAATAAGGGCCGAAACTCGAATAACTACACTATGCAAACGAAAAGCTTAAGACAATTATGCAAATGAAAAACTTCATGAAGCTTGCATTTGGTGTTAAGAAATATTATAGGGGAGTTATTGTTTAATAAAACCGCAGTAACAGTAAATATTTGTAAATAACAGCTATTTATTTGGCCAGAAATATTTATATCAAAATATACATTAGGTATATTTTAATTGGTAAAGTCAAATGGCTGTACCGACACCGAAAACATTATGGTTTTTATAATAAGTTGGCTCTAAAAACTAGTCAAATAAATGTGGACCACATTTTTTGACATTACACACACGTCGAAATAACCGAAACCAGTTTGGTCACACAAATTGGCCTACAGTTGATATGAGCAATATGTTTTAATAACTCGAACCCGTTAATGTAGGTTAAGCCTTTGTCGCGCGCGATGGCCCGCGCATATCGCTGCGCTTCCATCAGATTGCCTCCTTGCACGACCACCTTGGCTCCGAGGCTGTGGCATTTCTGCAGTTTGGCTATGGGAGTGGTGCTCGGCATCACCACGATGACCGGGATGCCCATCTTAGAAGCGTGGCAGCAGAGCCCCGCCCCATCGTTCCCTATTGATGCCACGACCACGCCGAGCTTTTTCTTATCCAATGGCAATAGCTGAAGCGCATTTAGAGTCCCCCTTTCTTTGAAACTGAAACAGAATTAGAATAGATAGAATACTTAAACTTTCTTTAAATATAACTACATAATAATGAACCGTAATATTTACCTTCCCGACTTTTGTAAGTTTTCACACTTGTAATACAAGTTCATCACAAATTCCCGTTGATGATGCGACGGCTGAAAACAAATTATTGTTATGAAAAATATTTTTAAGTCGGGTTTAAGTTATACTGCATGTAACTCACAACACATGGCGTGTTCAATATGTGGGGCCTCAAACGATTGGCTGCATCCATCACATCCGCATATTTTATGGGACGTGGGTTTTCGGGATCACAAAATTCATCAAAATCTTCCTAAAAATAAAATATTGTTTATGCTTTTTATGTTTTGCATATTTCACCACCATTCGCAGTGGTGGTGAGATCATTTCATTCAATGATATTAAAATTGAATGAAATGATCTCATAACTTACGTTACGGCGAGACATGTTCTATTGTGTTAAAAAGTTAACGAATAAATAGGGCAGAAAATGTAGAGCAGATTCCTTGTTTTGTATCTCTATGTTACTTCATTTTAGTGCGTTGTTTAAAGTTCAATGTAAATTTTTAATGTGATTTATATCATTTTTACCAAAGATTTTTACTAATAATATACAGGATTGATTATTTTGACTGACTGCTTTTGACGTGGATTTCTTATTTCATTAGTGTCATAAATGAAAGAAGGTGGTTTTCATATTCTAATGTCACCTCTTAAGAGGATCTAACCGACTGAATTAACAAGGAACTCATCTCATCATCTTCACATCATCACCAACCCTCAAAACCTCATTTTCGCTTTTTTCTCTGCTACCCGGCCATCATAAGGTGGCGAACTGCCATAGGCTTTCTTCCTCATTTGATATTGCATGGTTCATCATTTATGCACAGTTCCTATGATATTATGTTTTGACCTGCTTACGAGTATGTTAGCCATTCTCAGGATATTTGGGGAAATGTTAAGATAAGCTTTTTCAAGTGATACAATTTGTAAAAAATTAACAAATAAAAATCAAACTAAGTCCGTAATTTTATTATTATATTTTTTTTGTAGAATATTGCATTGTTTATGGAAATCTTTTCGGGAAACATGCACATATCGGTATGGGACTAAAAGGCTCTTCCAGGAAGTCGCATATGTTTGGGAACAAACGTTCCATGACTCGTTTCAGCGTACAAGAGTGCTCCAAGCTGAAGGTTTCTATGATGAGATTGAACTGAAATAGATTTCTACGTTAATTCGGATCCAAATATAAACAATCATAGCAAATTTTACACAGTAATAAAAGCCGTCTCTTACATAGATAGTCCTGAAATCGTTTTCCAAAAGCCAGGCATGCTCCACGTCACACCATAGCACGTTACAGCCAACGTTCGCGATCATGCTTAAAACTTTCAGCTGTAAATTCATGCTGTCTGCTGGAAGTGTTACCTGAAAAGTATTCATTATAAAAGCAGTATTATAAATATTTAGACGGCATAGAATCGACATTAATTAATGATTTACCGTTAGTTTTATCAATCGACCTTCAACAGCTTTCGCTCGTTCTAAACATCTGGGTAGTATTATTTGGTCAATATTGCCCCCGGTGATTACACATACAATGCTGTAATGGTAAAAACAATAAAATTGTATAGTATGTTCAAAGCTATAGCATAATACCAAATACGGAGAAGAGCATAATCTACTATGTAATAGCATATTTCAGAAAAGAACCAGCTCTCAAGGCTTTTGCCCACGGTATAATTTGAAATATTGAATACCTTTTCCCTTTGAGTTCTGGTAGAACGTCAGGGACTGCCAAAAGAGCGCTTAGGCTAGTGGCACCTGCACCCTCGGCTACCATTTTTTCGTTTTCGACTAAATGCAATATGGCTCTCGCAATCCAGTCATCATCAACCAAGACCTTTAATTTTAAATGTATAACTTGAATTAATAACAACTGTAGCATTCAATTGAATTTAAACGAGTTTTAAAATATTAACCATTTTATCGATTAAAGATTTTGCCGTGTGAAAGGCATTACAGCCTGCAGTAGGAACACCTAAAGTTTCTGCTACACTTCTCCCTATAGCCGTTTGGTAAGGTTCTTCATTTTCCATGGCTTTGAAGAAACTGCAGCATTTATCTGGTTCTATGCCCTGATGAACAAATATTGTACGCGTTAATAGAAAGAATCTAGTCTTTTACATACCTACTTAAAATGAATCATCAATATGTATTTATAATGACCATACGTAAATAAGGCTTTGAGGATTAAGGTGCTTCACGACTGCAGCGATGCCAGCGATCAGTCCTCCACCGCCCACAGGCACGAGAATAGCATCCGCTTGCGGCAATTGCTCTAATATTTCTAATCCAATAGTTCCCGATGCCGCGATCACATGGGGATGATCATAGCTAAGAAAAGACAGAATGTTTTATCCCATGTAAAATGATGTAATAAATTACCAAGGTGTAGTTCCATTTACCCATTAATGTAGGTCCTGCCATTTTGTTCAGCCATTACAAAGGCGTGTCTCTTAGATTCGGCCAGGTTAACCCCATTCAAAACGACCGTTGCCCCAAAATCTTCGCATTTCTCAACAGTGCTGAGTAAAGTATGGACCGGCAATACCACCATAATAGGAATGTTTAGTTTATAACCTTGGTACGCTAGAGCCTGCAAGATTTAAACTTATACGATTCTTATGAAAAACAGGTTCATGATTATTTATTTATACCTTCTTTTATACGGACCATTGCCCAATTACCTAACGATGCTGTAATGACACCATTCTTTTTTTGCTCGTCACTAAGCATCATTAACGAATATAGAGCACCTCGTTCATTAAAACTGCAAATACATAGCAATGTTACACTTTGTATGATTTTTTACTACTAATTTATAAAAAATGGTATGATTACGAATGTATCACCTTCCTGTTCGGTGAAATATTTCAAATTTGTAATGCAAATCTAACCCAAATTGTTTACAGTAACGCGATTTCTGCAATATAACAAAATCTTGTTAGTACACCGAGAGAACAGTTAAGTAGGTACATAGTACTAGGATAAAACATTTATTTTGTAAAATTGTGTGTACCACAAGGGGGGTATAAGGATATTCTTCTTTGATAGCGGATGCTGCTTTCAGAACATCTTTGTATATTATTGTTTTAGGATTGAGAGGATCGCACCACTGATCGAATTCGATGTCTGGCTTCTGAAATAAAAGTAGTAGGTAGTTACGTTAGATTTTTCCTTCAACTATCCTACCATTGCCAGTGCAACACTTTGGATTATTTTCTCAATTCCTTATGAAAATACTTTGAAGAAAACTTTGATCTACATAGGGTATATGAACTCACAGGATTTGGACACCAAGTACTTGTTTTGACGATGTCACGCTTAGCTAGTACACCCGGAGCGATACCTAGAGGTTCTTTTACATCCAAAGATGGCATCACTGCTTCGTTATGTTTAGGCATTTTGCAATTTTAGGAAATCTGCGGGGTGTTAGCCATTATATTACAACTTTATTGCAATTTCTGTCCATCTTTGGCCAATTTTAAGACAACAATATTGAGCTATTATCTCGTGGGGTTATCAAACTAAAGGTTGTTATCAATCAATGTCAAGTAAGTACATCAGTCATAGACGATAGGCTTAAATAGATGACCCACGCTGAACTGTCCCGCCAAACTCAATGACAGGGGGGCGCTACGATCGTTCAACTATATGGTTTCCAACATGGCAAAAATCTGAACCAGCGATCCGGTATTGACGGTGGCGCCCCACTGTCAATGTCATCGACAGGACAGTCCAGTATTTTGGAACTATAGTTATTTTGTTAGTCAAGAGTGAAGTAGTCAGTCATAGACGATAGGCTTATAGTTATTTTGTTAGTCAAAAGTGTTTAAAAATATTCTTCCCACAGGACAGGACCTTAAAGGGGCAAGGGTAGGGATATTGTGCCGTCTGCATAAGCACGGTAATACTATCTATATATATGATAGTATTACCGTGGCATAAGTTTTCAAAGGTGACCAGAGAGATGTGCGAGTGCTGTGCCAAGTCCCTGGTGCAAAAAAAAGGTGGGTCCCACCCAGACCCAGTTAAGGTCCCAGCCCACGTAGTTATTTTATTCTGTGGGTGGTGGCCCGAACTAAATCATCACCATCAATCACATCAGCTATTCCTTTCCTAGAAGTTTTATAGCCTAGTTTAAATAAAAGTATAGTACTCAGTAATAGGTATTTTTATTCCGGTATCTGAAGTTATTTTAATTTAAAGTTTACGCTTGTGTATTGGTTGACACGATAACAACATATTGTTGCGTTGAATTGTACGATAGGGTTCATTTCTGCATGCAGACGGGGTTGGGCGCGAGGCAGGGCCCGCGGCGCGTTCCGGCATTTTTGTCTGTTCTTTCACTCATGTCTTGGAAGAAGTATTCCTTGAAGTGCTTCTTTACCTGCTCCATCAATTCCTTAGTGTGATCCCATCCTCTGGTTTCGCATATCACTCTTAACTGAAAACAAAAAAACGAGTTTTAATCGCAAAAAAAGCAATTAATTTGTTGGAGATACGTCTATCATAAACTTCTTTTGTGTTTATTCACATAACGTTGTAGAGGTAAGGTAGATCAAATGATAAACATACGCACAACGGCCTAACCAAGAGACTTAGTGCAAAAAAATAAAACAGTTATAGCATATCTACCTCCACGCTGAACACGTCTCCTTTGACCCACGCCCGCTCCGGGATGCAGTCGCGCACCGTGACGCCGATGCCGGCCAGCAGCGCGCACAGGTCGGCCATGCCGCCGGGCCGGTCGTTGACGGTCACCTTGAACTTCACCAGCCGGCCCTCGGCCGCCATGCCGCGCTCCAGCGCGCGCGACAGCACCGTGGTGCCGATGTTGCCGCCAGACAACACGCACACCACTCTGAAATGACATTAGTCGGGTGCAGAGAGCAGGCAGACACCCCCTTATCTTTAGAATTGTGGGTAAATTTTACTTAGAAGGGGAGTGACACAGATCATACTTCTTTCCCTTGAGGTTTGGGAATAAGCCAGCCATAATAGCTGCTACTGGAACCGCCCCCGCGCCTTCCACCACGTATCGCTCGTCTTCAATGAGATGCATGATAGCACGAGCCACCCAATCTTCTTTGACCACGATCTAGATAAAATTTATGGAACTTTAAATTTTTTGTACCTATTCCAAGAATATTGAAAAATTTTGTAACTTTCATTACCATTTTATCTACTACTCCTTTTAGACTGTGAAAAGTATTTACGCCGACCATATTAACCGCCAGTCCATCTGCTATTGTGGTATCTATTTCTAACTTGATTCTTTCATTCTTACGGAGTGCTTCCACCATTGAGCATGTCTTGTCTGTTGTAATACCCTGTGTAAGAATATTAGCTTCAATATGATTATGTTAGTGTAATGTAACAACTAAGATTCCAATCCAACTTACGTAAACTTCTGTATCTGGTTTCAAATGCTTTGCTGCTATAGCGATACCAGTGACGAGACTTCCGCCGCCCACTGGGACCAATATGGCATCTACCGATGGGAGCTGTTCTACTATCTCTATTCCAATAGAGCCCTGCCCTTCGATTACATTTGGGTGATCGTAACTGAAAAAAATTGTTACATATTGATAAAAATTAAACTGCAATAAAGATGTAATAAAATCAAAATCTAAGTAGGTATAACTTTTTAAAAAAATAAAACCGACTTCAAATGCGTGAACACAAAAAAAAACTAAAAATTGAAAATATTGGGTATNAAATCAAAATCTAAGTAGGTATAACTTTTTAAAAAAATAAAACCGACTTCAAATGCGTGAACACAAAAAAAAACTAAAAATTGAAAATATTGGGTATAAAAAAGTTCATCCCCAATTTTCCACCCTTGGGGGTGAAATATTTTCTTCAAATTCGCATGAAACCACCCTTTTGATAATACCTATTCAACAAAAAAATAATCGTTCAAATTGATTTATAATCGGCGGAGATATTGCGTATAAAAAAGTTCATCCCCAATTTTCCACACTTGGGGGTTGTTTTTTCTATTATTAAATTTAAATGGGACCACCCTTGAGGTATTACCTATACGCAGAAAAAAGATTTGTTCAAATCGGTTCATAATTGACGGAGTTATCGCGTAACAAACATAGAAAAAAAAATATACGGGTCGAATTGAGAACCTCCTCCTTTTTTGAAGTCGGTTGAAAAATGGACCATACCCATTAACGTATAGCATCTTTTTCTCTTTGCTTATTCCCATAGCATGTAACCGGGCTTCGAATATGTTTGCTCCATGCATGATGACTTTAGCGCCGAGTTTTTCACATTTGTTGATTTTGTTGACGGCCGCATTGATCGGCATCACGACTATGCAGGGCACGCCAAGCTGCGTGGTGTGGTAGCTCATCGCAATAGCGTGGTTGCCGAGGGAGGCGGCTATCACGCCATACTTTTTTTGCTCCTCAGTCAGCAACATCAAAGTATTCCGGACACCACGTTCCTTGAAACTAAAATATTATTGTGTAGAAACAACAAGCGAAAACACATTCAATATGACGCACATTCCAAAAGCTTACCATCCGGTGTATTGTAAAAATTCCTGTTTCAGGTATATTTCCATTCCAAGTTTTTCGGACATGTGAGCTTTCTAAAATTTAAAAAATACGGAATATTTTAGTCTTAAAATTCTAAGACCAGGATGAATACGAGGTCTAATTATTGATACCCTCTTCTGACCGATATAAGAATTGTTTCTAAATTGTTATAGAAAGATTAGATATGCTTGCAGCAGCCGTGTGCCGTAACTCTCACCGTGCAGGGTGTGCGAATGACAGAGCCCACGATGCGGCGCGACGCGGCCAAGATGTCGTCATATCTGATTCTTCGGGGGTTGTTGGGATCACAGTTCTCGTCGAAGTCTATATCCTACAAAATGAGATTTTTAGATCGGCGATCAATGCAATTTTCAAGTCGAAATACTTAAAATGTATAGGTACTTACGTCATGCATGTTGGTGGATATTTTATACAGTCACTATTAATTTATCATAATGGTTCGTCTGAATTTGATATTATTTATTGAAGATTTTCTGTATTAGTAAGCCATGAGTGATTTTGGAGATGCGGAGATGATTTAAAATGTCCTGTCAAATTTTGACAGTAAGTATTTTTTAATATACAAATTTAATAGACTGCAGATTGGAGGTTTTACATCTGGAACAACATACCTATTTGCCTTTGCCTAGGTGGAGAGAGGAAAAACGCTGAAACGGGACGTGCAAGCTCAGAATACGGAACAAACCAGAAACCGTCAACGGGCGTAAATGTGTATTCATATAAAGTACTCCAAATCGCACTACTTTGACTTTAGAGCAATCAGTCAATGGCCGGCGCGCGCATTGTTTACATATCCGTCAGATTGACACTTTATAATTAAATTATGCCGTCTTGTGCCGTTCCAACATGTAAGAATGCTACTGGAATTACGAAGAAAGTGCATGGGATCATGTTTTATCCGTAAGTAGCACATTTCCAATTCATTTTAATTAAATAATAATTTTCAAAAAAAATCACGGTTGTATTTTGTAAGTGTTGCCACAGGTCAACGGAATATTTTACCCTACTTTTTTATATTGAATTACATTTGTCTACTTATAAAAAATTCACGCGTTAATTTTGTTAGCGTTACCACAGAATAATGGAATATTTTCCCCATCCTTTTTGTTTTAATTAGTTTTTAGTGTAATTTCATCCATGACATGACAACCTGATTAATTAAATTATAAGTGCCACTTGTGGTCTAAACTGAATAAATATTTTTGATTTTGATTTGATTTCAATATATTGAATTAATTTATAATATTACTCCCTAATAATGAGGAGATAATAAATTACTATCGTGAATTTCATACTTTCCCATTTATTCAAAAGTAAGGCATTGGTATCAACAGATCAGCAGCAGCAATATTTGTATATTTAATAATAATTTTAAGTAAAAAAAAACTACACTTTATAAATAACAAATTATTTTGAAATACTTATGACAAAAAACTATAGCAAAAAAATTATTTTAGCTAATAAAAACATTAACTTTACTTCACCGTGTCTATTTTCCGACACTACACCTTTTAAAACTGTTTGTTTAATTTCGAATTATCGCAACACTGAAGTTTATTAATAGGTACTTTAGAGATGGTACGATCATACAAACTCCACTAGATTAAAGTTTTCTAATCGTAAATACAATAAATGCTTCTTAAAATTTAGTTTTTATTATTTTACTTTGCTCATACAACCCTGACGCTTGAGCGGTGACGTAGATCAATTCTAAACACAAAAAAAAATGCGCTCTTGTGGGCGTAGTAGTAAGGTGCGATTTCGAATGCACCATGTGCGTTGGATATTTTGCATTATTATTATTACCGTTAAAATGTCGGCATCTGATCCTACACAAAGGAGTGCAATTTCTGTTGCTACTATTATGTATTCTGTGGTAGAGGGGCGCGGGAGGGGAAGTATTTTGGACACAAGTTGCCGCGTAGAAATGTTATCGAACACTCCTTCTGGTTTGTTCTGTATTCTGAGCGTGCAAGTAAATTCTCAGATTGATATAGGATATTCACGTTTATTGGTGAACATGACTTTTAGGGTATGGTATATCACTACAAAAATTGCTCATTTTCTTTTTCAAACGAATCTGCGATGCCACTGGGTCAGCCGCTCACCGCACTTTGAATTTCGCCAGCTGCTGTTTCGCTCCAGTTAGCCGCCCAGGATCTTCAGACGTAGTGTTGATGTTGAGGATGCACACCACTATGTGATAGAGCGAACTTGGCGCTGCCGCTACAGCTATTAAACCGTCCTAATATTGCTTGTTGTATTAAACCACGTATCTAAACTACATTAGGGTTCATTTCTGCATGCAGACGGGGTTGGGCGCGAGGCAGGGCCCGCGACGCGTGCCGGCGTTTTTGTCTGTTCTTTCACTCATGTCTTGGAAGAAGTATTCCTTGAAGTGCTTCTTTATCTGCTCCATTATCTCCTTAGTGTGATCCCAGCCTCTGGTTTCGCATATCACTCTTATCTGGAAAGGGAAAAAACGAGGTTTTAAATCACAAAATGAAGCTAAAGAGCTATAATTTGCTGGAGATCTTAAGATATGTTTATCCTAAAGTACTTGTGTGTTTATTCATAATATATAGATAATATAAACGTTATAGAGCTAAAAGAAGATCAATAAATTTTAATAACCCACACACGGTTCAATAATGAGATTTAGTGTAAAAAAATCCCAGTCAAATTATATCTAAGTACCTCCACGCTGAACACGTCTCCTTTGACCCACGCCCGCTCCGGGATGCAGTCGCGCACCGTGACGCCGATGCCGGCCAGCAGCGCGCACAGGTCGGCCATGCCGCCGGGCCGGTCGTTGACGGTCACCTTGAACTTCACCAGCCGGCCCTCGGCCGCCATGCCGCGCTCCAGCGCGCGCGACAGCACCGTGGTGCCGATGTTGCCCCCAGACAACACGCACACCACTCTGAAATGACGTTAGTCGGGTGCAGAGAGCAGGCAGACACCCCCTCATCTTTAGAATTGTGGGGAAATTTTACTTAGAAGGGGAGTAACACAGATCATACTTCTTTCCCTTGAGGTTTGGGAATAAGCCGGCCATAATAGCTGCTACTGGAACCGCCCCCGCGCCTTCCACCAAGTATCGCTCGTCTTCAATGAGATGCAAGATAGCACGAGCCACCCAGTCTTCTTTGACCACGATCTAGATAAAATTTATGGAACTTGAAATCTTTTGTATTCCAAGAATATTGAAAATTTTTGTATCTTTTATTACCATTTTATCTACTACTCCTTTTAGATTGTAGAAAGTATTTACTCCGACCATATTAACCGCCAGTCCATCTGCTATTGTAGTATCTATTTCCAACTTGATTCTTTCATTCTTACGGAGTGCTTCCACCATTGAGCATGTCTTGTCTGTTGTAATACCCTGTGTAAGAATGTTAGCTTCAATATGGCTATGTTAGTGTAATGTAACAACTAAGATTCCAATCCAACTTACGTAAACTTCTGTATCTGGTTTCAAATGCTTTGCTGCTATGGCAATGCCAGTGACGAGACTTCCGCCGCCCACTGGGACCAATATGGCGTCTACCGATGGGAGCTGTTCTATTATCTCTATGCCAATAGAGCCCTGCCCTTCGATTACATTTGGGTGATCGTAACTGAAAAAAGTAACATATTCATAAAAATTAAACTGCATTAAAGATATAATAAAATGAAAATATAAGTAGGTAGGTAAAAAAGCACCATACCCATTAACATATAGCATCTTTTTCTCTTTGCTTATTCCCATAGCATGTAAGCGGGCTTCGAATATGTTTGCTCCATGCATGATGACCTTAGCGCCGAGTTTTTCACATTTGTTGATTTTGTTGATGGCCGCATTGGCCGGTATCACGACGACGAAGGGCACGCCGAGCTGCGTGGCGTGGTAGCTCATCGCAATGGCGTGGTTCCCACTTGAGGCGGCTATCACGCCATATTTTTTTTGTTCCTCAGTCAGCAACATCAAAGTATTCCGGACACCACGTTCCTTGAAACTAAAATATTATTGTGTAGAAACAAAAAGCGAATACCTACACATTCAATATGACACACATTCCAAAAGCTTACCATCCGGTATATTGTAAAAATTCCTGTTTCAGGTATATTTCCATTCCAAGTTTTTCGGACATGTGAGCTTTCTAAAATATAATCAAAACATAGTCTTAAAATTTAAATTTTACCATATTATGAATATGGTACAGGGAGATTTCTTTCTTTCAAATAATAAGCTTGCAGCTAAGACAGTGACGAACATCTCACCGTGCAGGGTGTGCGTATGACGGAGCCCATGATGCGACGCGACGCGGCCAGGATGTCGTCATATCTGATTTTTCGAGGGTTGTTGGGATCACAGTTCTCGTCGAAGTCTATATCCTAAAAAATGAGGATTTAGAAGCGATTAATGCAAATTTTCGGTAAACTTCGATACAGAAACACATGCGCGAGATTTAGCGGAGGCCCGGAAATTAAAGGTATTACTTACGTCATGCATGTTGGTAGCTGTTTTCTACAGTAACTAATAATTTTTCACAGTGATTTGCTTGAAGTTTGTATTATTTATTGAAGATTTTTTGCATTATTTTTGTCGGAGATGATCTAAATCTTCTGTCTCACAGGTCCGCCGAAGTAATTTGTGGTTCTGTCTTTAAGTTCTGTCAAATAATGGCGGTAATAAAACTTCAAAATTCATAGATTAAAAACCATATTGAAAAAGGAAGATTTTCCTTCTTTAAAAATTACACGGAAGCATCACCCGATGCACCCACTGCCCGCCGCTGACTTCATGGGCACAGTAGGAGGCTTTATGACCTCCACCTGCCCCTTCCTAATAATCCTAATAGGCCTCGGCCATCAGATACGGGGTTGTCTGGTGGCGTCTAAAGAGGAGGTTGAAGGCGTAAAGACGCCTTCCTTGGTTTGGGGCTACGCACGCACTAATAGGCCAGTAGAATTAGCTTTTAAATCGGAAATAATTCCTACAAAAGATTTTATTGCTTTAATGGCTTTACTGGTTGCCCATTAAGATTCTCCTAGGTTTTCGATTTCGACGGAGTTGTGCTTAAGTGGTGGGAGCCCCCGAAAGGGGCGTTTTTTCGGTTTTCCGGTTATACCGCGTAAAGGACACCCTATCGAAAAGTGGTCTTCATGATGGTTGAAGGGCATTTATTCCTGTATTGAATAAGACCAAATTCATATGTTTTGGACAAACCGTTCTCGAGCTTATTTTCGACAAAATAGAAAATGTACGTATAATTAATAACCCTCTCTACGCCCAATAGCTAATCACCGCAGGCTCCAGAGCCTTGTAAAGGGCCGCCTTAACCAGCGTATCCCTGTCAAGGCTCGCGAGTTGGATTCGCCTATCCTTGTTCGTCCCAGCCGATCCTTAAGTAACTGCGGTTGCTACACCTCTTCCTTGCACTCTCCTGAACGACTCTGTGTTATCTACTATGGCTGCACCTCTTCCTTGCACCCTCCTGCACGACTGCATTGCTTAGCCGTATGTCTGGTCCAAGGTTCGACGCCAAAAATTCTTATTTAATGCAGAATTAAGTGCCCTTCAATAGTCATGAAGACCACTTTTCGATAGAGTAAGTCCTTTACGCGGTATAACCGGAAAACCGAAAAAACGCCCCTTTCGGGGGCCCCCACCACTTAAGCACAACTCCGTCGAAGTCGAAAACCTAGGAGAGTCTTTATGGGCAACCAATGAAGCCATTAAAGCAATAAAATCTTTTGTAGGAATTATTTCCGATTTGATTCATTTTTGTGTTTAATTCTACTGGCCTATAAGCGAGCCGAATGCAATGGCATTCGGATGTGGAATGTCACATCCTCAAAGGTCCGCAAATCGCAATTCTTGATGGCAAGTGATCGCCTTCTATGGGCCTCATAAAAAGACTCAAGGTCACCCAAAGGGCGATGGAGCGTACTATGCTCGGAGTTTCCCAGTAGGGTAGAATCAGAAATGAGGAGATCCGTAGGAGAACCAGAGTGACTGACATAGCCCGCAGAATAGCTTCGCCTTCTACACCTGAGTCAAAAAGTAATATTTAGTAAGGTCAATGTGTCTTGTTTTTTCACGTCTACCAACGAAGTGTTTTGTTTTTGGTGAACAATAATACTGCGGAACAAAAAAAATAAAAAAATCTGCGGCATCTATTTTGTTAATGGATTTTGTAAATACTTGTATTAGACATAAATGGTGTGCATTTACTTTCTTTGGATTGACTCTGGTTCTTGAGATAAACGAGACACAAGAAATCAATGAAAAAAATTAAACTACCCTCCCTAAACTTATAATTATTTGATTATACCCACTAAGTTTTATTTTCTACTCATGTATTAGTGTAGTTGTAGTTACAACAATTTAGTAATCAGCTACTAGACCTTGAAATTAACAGTTTGTGTCTTTTAAATTAATTTTTAAAGAGCTTTTTTGTCTCAAAAATATGAGTTCATTATGAAAACCTTGCGTTTACAATCCCAACAGTTTTTGTTAATATTTGGCTTCTAAACTTACAAAAGCAAAGAAATAAGATCACGGAGGTAGTGATAAAAACCTACCAAGCATACTGTCTTATAAAACTTCCATAAAATAATAAATATTGGGGGTCCAATATCGTCTGCAAGACTCGTGAAGACTCTTTGCCATACTGGAGTCAAGCTGGATGTAAAGGACTTCAATTTGGAAAGCCAAAGATGTGAACTGAGCTTTCTAATCACTAAAATGATAAAAATTCAGCCAAATTAAAGTCCTTTACGTCCTGAAACGTCCGTTTGAATACGGAAAAAATAAATTCGATTGACCGCAAATCCGTACTCTTATTAAGACACTGTATTGGTAAACCACATAACACAAGTTGAATCTGAAGCATGGCTAAGCTTTGTTTTAGTAATCAAACAATATTTGGGGAGTCATAGAGCACCAGACTTTTCAGAATTGGTTGTTTGAAAAATTTAACACATAAGGATTTAATTTGAGTATTTTTTTTTTAACAATAGCCATTTGGACACTTTCTCCCATAATCTGGGTGATTACAGTAAGGAATAAGCAGAACGGTTCTACCAGAACATCAGGATAGTGGAAGAATGATATCCACGGTCAATGGGACCGCCAGATGATGGCTGATTACTGTTGCCATAATTATGGAATTTTCCTGACCAAAACCATAACATAAAAGCTTACAGAAAAAGCTTTTTTTAGTTTTTTTTTCTATTATTTGATGAAAAGCAAATATATTTTTAACTTTTATATCGTTCTTAAATAGGATCTTAGTGTAAATATTTTTTTTATACAGATTGGTATTTTTATTTTGGTTTTTTTCATATAAATAGTTAATAGTATTTATCTCAAGATCTAGAGTCAATTTGACAAATCTAATATTTTTCTAGTATTCAGCACACTAGTCGCATACAGAATTGACTCTAAACTACCATGCCGCAAAATGACTGTTCCCCAGTTTAATCCGTACGCCCCTAGCTTAGGATCTACCTACGTTTATTTTGTAAATAAGTGAAATAACTTGTTTCTCTTTTTAAGTGAAATGCACTAGGCTCCGAAACTACTGGACCGATTTGAAAAAATCTTTCACCATTATTATCCCTATGTTCATAGGATAAGTACTTATATACTTTTTATAGGCGGTAAGAAGTATACCGGGGCAGCTAGTCCTACTAGTCCTATTAATCCTACTAATATTATAAATGCGAGTTTGTATGAATGTCTGGATGTTTGTTACTCTTTCACGCAAAAACTACTGAACAAATTTTGATGGAACTTAACAGTATTATTGTTTATAACCCAGAGAGATAGGCTATAATTTATGACGATCTGTGACAAACTAAATTTCACGCGGGTGAAGCCGCGGGCAAAAGCATGTATTATTAAATTTGTTAACGCTTTAACAACCAAGACTCATATGCACGCATGTGTGGGAATTTTTATTGATTTTGTAACTTTCTTAAATTTTTAAAAAAGTCAGGTACTACCACGATCATCATAAAAAGTAAAAATTAATTGTCTTCAATCAAAGTGTACGGTGGACGTTATTGGCTTTCAGTGAAGGGATAGTGTGAATTAAGTATAAAACAATGTTCTTTAATTACCTTTTATTATTATCACAGCAGATATTATTATAATTGTATATTTATAACATCGAGTATTGTATCGACATAGAAAAAGCTAGTTGATCTAACTTAACAAACATTGTTAGGATATATTATTTTTTCTGACACTGTTCAAAAAATCATTAATAATTCGTAGTGCCATATAAAAGACATCAACGCGTTTATCTACAATCGCGTAATTTGTAAAAGTTTTCTAATCTGAAAATGCTATCTTTATTATTAAAAACTATTGTAAAAATAGTAATTGTGAGTAGGTATGTATATATTTATATAATCAATAGTATAATATTTAGACTATCATAAGGTTTTTACATGTAGTTTATTTTAATAGTAGTGGGCTCTACCCTAAGCGCACCGACCCTGTAACTTACTTCATAATATTAATCTGTTACCTAATTTCAAGTGGCGAGATTCATCTGCATAAATGTTACCCATCCTGTGCGCGAACCGTTTGTCGTTTTGATAAACGGATATGAGCGCATTATGTCGTATGATCCAAATAAACAATTTTTTTCTCCTCTCTTCTTCTCCCCGTGTAGTGTATAAATATCAAGGCTGTTTTTAGACGGATATGAGCGTATGACCCAAATAAATAATTTCTTTCTTCTCTCTTGTTCTCTCCATGTAGTGCATAAATGTCAAGTTTGTTTTTAGACGGATATGAGCGCATATTTAGTTCTTTATGACCCAAATAAACATTTCTTTCTCCTGCCTTCTTCTCCCCGTGTAGTGTTTTGTATGTAATGTCAATTTCTTCTTCCTTTCTTTTTCTCCCCGTGTAGTGTAGTGTATGTAATGTCAATTTTAACTCCTCTCTTGTTCTCCCCCTGTAGTGTATTTAAACTTTAAAGTCGTATCTAATAGACCCTATACACTGAACTGTTCCACCCGTGACATTTACAGGGCATTTACAGCGCCACCGTCAATACCGGATCGATGGTTCCAATTTTTGCCATGTTGGAAACTATACAGTGTGTTTGGGATAGGGGGGTGGGCCCGCATATGGGGACATTTTTGTCGATAAAATTGACATCACAACTTCGCCTTAAATTTTATCGCTAGCCCTATCCCAAACACATTGTATAGTTGAAAGATGGCGGCGCCCCTCTGTCAATGAGTTTGGTGGGACAGTTCAGTGGTTCAGTGGTCATCTATAAGCTAATGTGAAACGTCGTCGAGTGAGAAGAGGCTCTGGCGGCGCGCGTAGTAGTCGGCCTCGCCCGTGAAGTAGAACTCGCGGTAGGAGCTGGCGATCATCTCGCGCAGCTCCTCTAAGTGCTCGGGGCCGCGTGTCTCGCACACCACTTTCACCTGGAAATATAACAGCCTGTGTTACGATTTTTTTTTATTCCTTCATACTATCTTTTATGATTTTGAGTCATCAAAACTGTACGAGACTATTTTAATACAGATGTAAGGTATGGTAGGCGACTACCCAGAAAAGTAGGTAGGTACTAGACATCTAAACTAAGCCCCGAGGACGAGGAAGACCCCGAATCACATAGATGGCCGTAGTAAATAAGGACCTTAAAGAGGCCCAAGTAAACAACGAGAGACCCAGGAGGACGCATGATAGGGAGTGCCGGCCCCAAATAAAATGGGAATGGGCCAGGCAAAGAAGAAGTAAGCTATTACGGTACGGTTGTGATTCTTTCACTGTGTGAAAGTGTGTTTCACCAAGTGGTATCCTTGGTACATTTTTTTCACAATTTTTGTATCATCAACGGTCATAAATAAGATCGAAGAACGAATCTTTATTTTACTCCAATGTAGCTGAAGTCACGTAGCATACTCACTCGGACGCTGAAGATGTCCCCGTAGACCCAGGCGCGCTCCTGCATGATGTCCTTGATGGACACGCCGATGGACGCGATGAGCTTGCACAGCTCCGCGATGCCGCCGGGCCGGTCGCTCACCGTCACCTAAAATTCATTTATTTTTTTCAAACTCTTTGCAGATTTAATCCAACATTAAACGAGCAAAATTTTGACAGTCTATAGGTCGAGCGTTTAACTCACTCAGTGCCTGCGAGGTATAGATGACCTACACTGAACTGTCCCACAAAACTCATTGACAGGGGGACGCCACTATCGTTCAACTATACAGGGTGGAATTTTGTAATGCCACCTGGAGGGAAAGTACTCTTAATACTACATAGAAAATTTTCTATCTACATAGAAAATTTTACTGAAAGAAAACATTCCTTTATTTTTGAAAAGAAAGGTTAACTGCATTCAAAGATTTTCAAAAATTTTCGAAAATTCACTTCCATACCATACAGTTTTCTGTACATAATTAAAATAATTTAAGATTTCATGGTTTTCCTTTCATTTGATTTATCAAGTTTGTTAGAGAGATTTCATCCTTATACTTAACCCTAACCACAGACCCTAACGATCGATGAAATAAAAATACAGGGTGCAATTTTTAACAGATTTTAATTGGTTCGATTCCCGGGTGTGTCAAGCAAATTTTTATAATCTTTGAATGCAGTTCTATTTCATTTCAAAAATAAAGGAATGTTTTCTTTGAGAAAAAAATTTTATCTACAATATTAAGAGTACTTTCCCTCCAGGTGGTATTACAAAATTCCATCCTGTATAGTTTCCAACATGGCAAAAATCGGAACCAGCGATCCGGTTTTGATGGTGGCGCCGCCCTATCAATGTCACGGGTGGGACAGTTCAATGTATTGGGTCTATTTAGGCATGGGAGTGGCATAGCATGGGGCCCTCCCATGTTTTTGTAACGTCAAATATCAGCAAGACTTCAGATCTCCTTCAGACTTATATTATATGCACTGCCATGTCATAATAATGTTAATGACACCCCTCTTGCTTCTCCCATACCTTAGGCACTAATTGAGTTAAGTGCTAGATCTACGTATAGCAACTTAAACACAAACAAAGTAACCTTGAACTTGACCAGCCGCTGCTCCGCCGCCAGCCCGCGCTCTAGGCAGCGGCCCAGGATCGTCGTGTCGATGTTACCACCGGAGAGGATGCACACCACTCTGCGATAGAGAACTTGGTTTTAGCGGGAGTGTTTACCTATATCAGAATTATTCCGACAGACATGCACACTGTACAGTAGAGATGAGAGAGGATGCACACCACTGCGATAGCGAGAACTTCACTTTAGTGGCAGTGATTACACTGAGACTATTTCGTCGTATTGATCCAGAGCACAGAATAAGATACTACGTAAACCGGATGATATACCTACACCATTCTCGCACGGCCAGAACATGGCTTTATTTATAAGCAGGCGATTATATTGAAACTATCTAATCTCATAATGTTACCTACCACCAGAGAGGATGAACCACTCTGCCATCTTGATTTTAGTGATAGCGATCTCTATAGTTATATCGCGAAGGCAACTCGTACGTCGTGTAAAAAGGCATTAAATAATAAGTTATCTAAATTATGTAGTTGAATTTGTAAATAATCGATAGCGCGTGTATGATAATGTAGGCCAGATAATGAGAGGAACTTGGAAATATATTATGAAATATTTATTTTTACAATCAAAAACACGTGACGTATTTAATGGGCGTGAATACTGAATGACCTTATTACAAAAACAAAATTATTTTACTACTATAGGTATTCACGTAGGCGTGGCCCCTTCATTTCTGCCACATTGTAGGCAGCATCAGCTCAGAGATTTCATGGGCTAACAAGGTGGTAGACTTTAGTATGACAACGTGGTAGAAGAAGCTTTTCCGTCCCCGATAGTTAAAAGGACGCATGTGACAAAAAGCCAAAATGGAGATAAAAAAAGTTTCAAATAATTTAAAAGGGTATTATTGTTGCTGTTAGATTACGCCTCTATAACTCGCACATACGGATCAGAAATTTGCGAGATCCGTAAATGAACTAAAGTCGCTGACATAGCCCAACGGATTAGGAAGCTGAAGTGGCAATGGGCAGGGCACATAGTACGTAGCACTGACGGCCGATGGGGCAGCAAGGTTCTGGAGTGGAGGCCACGTACCGGAAAGCGCAGCGTAGGAAGTCCACCCACAAGGTGGACCGACGACTTCATAAAGGTAGCGGGAAGACGCTGGATGCAGGCCGCCACCAACCGGCCTTGTGGAAATCATTGGGGGAGGCCTATGTTCAGCAGTGGACGTCCTATGGCTGAAATGATGATGAACTAAACGCCTCGTGGTCTAGTGGTAAGACCACCTGCTTCAGACGCAGAGGTCCCGGATTCGATTCCCAGTGGGGGCAGATTTTTCTGTTCGGTTTGGTTGGTGGTAGGGCTTGTTATACCTAAGTCCGCCTGGCTAGCTACCACCATCTTACATAAGTCTGTCGCCATAACAACAATGTTAACAGCATTGTTGTGTAAGTTAGAGGTAAGATAGCCAGTTCCTCCGTGGTTGAGGATTCCGGGTGAAGCCAGGCCTGGCTCACTCCGTGCGGTACATCCGATAATTACCTACAGCGAAGCGCCCCGCCGGCGGGTATTATATCAGTCGGGTGTCACGCGCGCGCCCGTCAGGACGCTGGCGTGCGTTGTAGTACCTACCTAATTCTATGATCGAAGTATTATTTAAAAATGGACATAAAGAGAAAGAAATATTATTGTGCGGCGTTCGGGTACGTGTTTAAATTCGAAAAGAAATCTACCGGATTTATCTTTTTTTTTCCCTTCCCAAAGATGCTGAAAGGTATGTTGACCATGTAGGTAATCAATAATTCTTAGGATAGTATAGGAACCTAACCTACCATGACTATTGCTCAGAATGCGTTCGTTCGTTTCAGCCAAAATAAATGACGTCCACTGCTGGACAAAGACCTCTTCCAAGGTTTTCCATAATGAATGCGTACTTACCTACATACGTACCTCATTACAAATAAGTAGATTAATTATTTTTTTACTAGACACTACTAGACAGCAACCCTAACAGCGTAAGAAGAGTTCAGAGGCACGCGATAGAAAGAGACAAAACTTGTAGGTGAATACAATTGTAGGTACGTAGTGCTGTGCGAGCTGAATTCCACTGTATCGCGTCGTAGCAAGACTCGCATTTATTTAAATCGTCTTGCGGAGTAATCCTTCTGTACCTGTACTATTACTTATTCTGTGGTGAAGCTCGCTTCCACCTTCGGCCTGATCATTATATTTACCATCAGGTAAGATACAGGCCAAGAGCTTCCTCGTTGTGGACAAAAAAAAACAACCTATCGGGGGCAGATTTGGTGTGCGGTCTTACTTCTTCCCGGCGAGCTCGGGCACCAGGCCGGCCATGATAGCGGCCACGCCGACGGCGCCGCCACCCTCCACCACGTACTTCTCTTGCTCCACTAGCCGCAGGATGGCGCGCGCGATCCAGTCTTCGTTCACTGTGATCTGGAAGTCCAGGAATAGATTTGATTTTAGCGTGGGGAGGTAGTTGGTTAATAGGAGATCACCTGAGCGTAACTATGATAGTAAATAAAAATCAAGAGCGAGCAGACGCGGAGACGGTTGCTTGATAGAGGATTTCTAGTAGAGTGATTAGTGTAGGTACACGTGAAATCGAAAAAAGAAATCCTAAAGTAGGCCAAATTTTGTGAATTGTGATTTTGTCATTTGTGCATTGTATGACATTGCTGCCATTCTTTAGAATAGGTAACATATTCCGTTCGTCCCGTGCGGGACCAAAGTTGTGTTAAAACTGTTTGTTAGTTAGTGTATTTTAAGTCTAGGAGACTTAAAATATACTTTAAAATACATAATTTTAAATACCATTCGATCAATAAGATCCTTAGCTGTGCGGTATGCGTTATACCCCACAGTGGGCACCGCCAGACCATCTGCCAGTGTGGACCGAATATCTACACTCGTTGGCTCTTCACATTTTATCGCGAGTTTCATACTGGGACATTTTTCAGTTTCCACGCCCTGAAAAAACAACAGACATTATTTACTTACTCATATGTGTAGGAAATAGATTCAGATAATTTTTAGTTTAAACTAAAAAATCTGTTGAATTGAATACTTGAAAGATTCGAATTGCCTAAGGTGGGAATCGAATCGAACCCACGATTGTCAGGTAGTAAACAACAAGGATAGTGAACTGATTTTTATTTAAAAAAATCCGTTTCATAGTAGTGTTATGATTTACGATCACGGTCAAGTGAAGCGTAGCACGATAGTGGTTGAACTCTATTCCGAGAAGTTCATTAATATCTAAAATGATTGGAGAATGGAGATGCAAACTGCAAAGAATGGTAATTGTATCAGAGCACAATGCATCCTAAATGTAATTGCTTATTCCATCGATAAGAACAGCGATATAAGCAAACTTCGCGATTGAAAAGATCGGTTACTACTTAGCACACGTAAGTAGCTGATAAAAGAGCAATTTGGTGAAAAGTTTAATGAACTAACATAAACATCGAGATAAGTAACTAGTATAAGGCACAACACTTAGCACGTGTGACCAATGATAGCGGTTATCTTTGACACTGAGATTCGTAGACTCGTTACGAATGATCCTGATCGCTTTTATTCATGATTACCCAATAAGTATTCATTGGTCAGTAGTCAGTAGCATAGTTGATGGGCTTAATCAATAACTGAACGTTCTTGCTTTATCTCACTACCGCCCATGCAGCTTAATTAAGAGCAGATATTAAGAACAGATACTCGATGTATGTTGTAAATGCGTAGTTCACGGATGTTATTAACTTACTACATATTTCGAAATAATGTTTTGACATCAAATCAAGGAAGTTCTGTTATCTCGTGAGGTTTGTGCAATACCTACACAAAGATGTTAAAATAATTTTAGTAGTTAGGTAAATACATAATATCAAATGTATTCCATTTAGGTAACTCGCATGACAGTACTTAGTAGGTAGAGGCATTACATCGAAATTAAGGTAAGTATTAAGTTGCGATGCAATGCGATGCAATGCAGCATAGGTTTTACTTTTAAGTTGTTTACAGATGTAACGTGTTATTCAGGTTTCAAGTCCGACCAGGGTTTATTTATTTTATTTTATTCGGAAAACCAACAGCAATACAATACAAATAATGGGACCTTAAATTATGTATCTGCTTAGCCATTTATAGGTAATCGCAAATGGAAGTCAAGATGCAAATAGACCATATGCCATAGCAGACATTTAAATAATTTACAAGTGAAAATTTAACAGTCAACAATACTTTTTAAGCGCCGCTGGAGTGGTGATGAAGCTGACAGAAGAAGTAAACTCACATAAATCAAGACGTGGGGCTTGAGGTGCTTGATGGCGGTGGCGACGCCGGCCAGCAGCCCGCCGCCGCCGACGGGCACCAGCACGGCGTCCACGCCGGGCACCTGCGACACGATCTCCAGCCCCACCGTGCCCTGTCCTGCCATGATGTGCGGGTGGTCGTAGCTGCAGACAACGATGCTGTTAACGCACCAGTTCAAGGCGCCAGGCGCGGATCCAGCCCTCAAAAAAGGTTGTGGGCACAGCCAACAAAAATTAGCAAAGTGAGAGTTGGATTGGAGTACGAACTCAATCACGCTCGATTTTTAAAGGCTCATCAGTCAGTCGTTTTTTTATCATCAGCCTATCGATCTTATCAATAGATCATAATTAAAACAAGCATAATTATGGTTGTGGGCATGCCCACAGAGCCCACAACGGTGGATCCGCGCCTGCGAGGCGCCATATACGGACGCGAATGCGTTTAGCAAGCTTTTCTGATCAAAACTGACATTTGGGCATCATGCATTGGAAAAGCTAAAGTAGAGCAACTTTTTGTGTAAAGTGCATTCGCCTCCGTAAATATTTGAAGTCTTACTGGTCTTACGTCTAAGTGAAAAAGATGACTTTTCGTCTCAGTTTTGTGGCCGCGGGAACCACTCCTTACCCGTTGATGTAAGTGAGGTCCTTCTCCTTAGCCAGAGTCATGGCGTGATACTTGGCTTCCTTCATGTCGTAGCCGTGGATGATGACGTTGGCGCCGTAGGAGCGGCACTTCTGTATCTTCATGATGGGCGCCACGTTGGGCATGACCACGGTGGCAGGTATGTCCAGCTGGTTGGCGTGGAAACTGATCGCCTGCGAGTGGTTGCCCAGCGAGGCTGAGATCACGCCGCGCTCTTTCACTTCCTTCGAGAGCAGAAGCAAGGCGTTGCGGGCACCTCGCTCTTTGAAACTGTTGAGTCACACGCCCCCTCGTTTTAAATTTTATTTTAAAAGTCTAAGTTAAATCTTCCCCATGGTTTTGGTTTGACCAAGCTCATTTTAATATTTTTGAAAGAATTTAACTTTTATCATGTTTTTTTTTTAAACATTGGCTGTTTATGATTTGCGCGAAAAACTTCTTGAACTCTCACAACATCTTCTTCTACTTTGAATGACATGATCTTATGCTGACGAAACTCTTCAGCTTATTTGCGAAGTCATTACGAGTGTGTGTATGCAACTAAGTAAGTATGTAATGCAAGTATGCAAAAAATGTAAGTAAGGTAATTGGCTTGTTTGGCCATTAAACTACATTTTGTAATCACAGTATGATGTCAACAACGTTGCGGTAGTCGCCTTCCGACATATATTATTAATAATGAAACAAGTTGATTAAGTGAATGTGAAGAAAGTTCAGGGGTACATACATGATTATAATTATCAGGACAAAAACTTTGTTGATATCGCAAGTACAAAGTACTTCGAACGAGGCTTACCTTCCTGTATGTTGTAGGAAATCATTTTTGAGGTACACATCCATACCGAAGGAGGAGGACATATGGGATTTCTGAAAAATATATTAATTACTTAGGTGTAGTTAATAGTAGTAGTTACCTATTTATATTTCTTGTGTTGACCAAATAACTTTAAAAAACAAGTTAACAATAATTTCACGATTTTGTTGCAGATAGGTAGGTACGTAGGTCAATACTCGTACCACCGACAGAGTACAAATTAATGTCGTGGGTTCGAAACTTTCAATTTTTGGTATTATTATATTGTATATACTTGGTGTATTTTATTATAGTTGTATTTTTTTTATTACAATGATGATACAAAGAAGACATTTTTATAGTAAAATAAAATTTAAACTTTTTGCGCAAATAGCTCTTAAAAAAAAGTAGATACAATGTACAAAGATTAAATAAACAATGAACATAATTTAATATAGAATTTCTTATCGGTGAAAGCGTTTTCTTCCAGACATCATACAAGTTATAAAACCAACTCCAACTTACCACGCATGGCGTTTTGACGATCCCACTTTGAATCCGAAAGGCTGCAGCCGAGACATCCTCAAATGATATCCTCTGAGGATTCTCCTTGTCGCACATCGGGTCGAACTCTACCGTCTGGAACACCATGGCTGGTTTCATTTATTGCTTCCCTTTAATGTTTCTTTACAACATATTCCGAATCACTCCCGAGTACTCTGGACCCCGTGACTTCTAGCGGTGGAGTGAGTCAATCAAGCGTTATCTACGTATAACTCAAGCTAATTATGATAGAAAATGATGAAGAGAGGTCAAAGTTTAAATCCAACTGTATGACGAAATTATACATATCCTACATTAGCAACAAAGCCCATCACAATTAATTCTATTAACAGAAAAATTTAATATTTACCGAAATATCACACTTATACAGCTCCATTTTCACTTAAGACTCTCTGAATAAACCGAACGATTTCACGTCGATACGCGTTATGAATGTTGTTTTTATACTCTGATAACCATGTGCTAAAATGATTGTATCAACTACGCAAATTATCTTTTATTTTGAACGAATTTTGTTTTGTTTTAATATCTTTTGTCTACACTATCCTAGCTGAGCGCGCGTGCTTTGTTTATGTTTGCGCTTTGCAAGCTGAGAGATTCAAATGATCAGTTGCGGAAATGTTCTTACTAAATTGAGGTATCTACCTACTTCTATAAGTTGAGTTCTTTCATTATAAAATTAGTGTGTAGGTACTAACCTGGACTCGTTCCATCGCGTTCTTATTCTACAGATCTAAGTAAGTTAATGTCTGACTTCAGCAGGTAATACATTACCACTCTTCATTAACTAATTAACCCTTATCTTTGCAGGCCATAGTACAAGAGCCAGAGTGAGTGAATTCTTGCTTAGTGAAAACTTTCAATATGTTCTTTCTTAGGTAGATCATGTTCTCCCGTCCTCTAAAAGTTGTGTGCTGAATATTTTTTTGATGGAATACCTATACCTACTTATCTAGGGTGTAGAAGAGAATCTGGAAGGAAGAGCCCAGTTTATTTATTATTTCCACTAATTACCTACTTACAATCACTGATGCTACAGTTAGGTCTATTACTTAGTTGTGTGATGGCCAGCAGTTTCAGGTGCGGGGATGTCTCAGGACGTCAGACCATGTGGTCCTGGCTATAATCCCGTCACCCCATATTGGAGAAGCCAGGGGCCCTGGATATTAGATTATGAAACTATAATAAATTATTTACTGAGAACAGGCAGCGGCCACGTCTATTGCGGGACTCTGAGTAGGTATTTGCCCAGATGCCCAATGGTAGAGGGGCCACTCCACACCTCATAATCAAGGGGTTTTAAGGGCATATTATTGGGTGCCAGAAGTGGCACCTACAAGCTACAAGTGTGAACTTATAAATTATAATTAACTTTTTTGTAGCTTTTACTCTGGTATTGTTCACATGGTATCCTGGTTTTATATACAATTTTATTTTGAAACTATTTTGTGGATTTAGTAAATTAGGTATTTTCTGGCTCATTCGATAAGTTCTGTGATTGCGATGTGGATTTTGTTATCACTATTCAATTGAACATAATTGAATGATCTAGACCCCATCACTAGTACCATAAACTTTGACATCAGTCTTTAGTCTTTGGTTGACTGACATTGACAGTTGACAGATGATGCGCGGTGACGCTTTACCGAAGAATCTTGGTTGTTATTGTTTTTGTGATTTTTCTTATTATCTAGTGAATAAGAAATCGCTGAACAAGAAAAAATAAATAATACATACAAATACCTTCCGATACATCTAAGAGTTCCAAAATATACCTGGCGACTAACCTCCAAAATGCCTTACGCGAATCAACCTTCTGTACACATTACAGAATTAACTGATGATAATGTGAAATATGTTGTTGAAGACACCGAATTAAGCGTAGCAAACAGCATGCGTCGCGTGTTTATTGCTGAAACACCAACAATGGCCATCGATTGGGTTCAGTTGGAAGCAAACTCTACAGTTCTCAGTGACGAATTCCTCGCTCACCGTATTGGTCTCATTCCCCTCATATCCGATGAAGTCGTAGACAAAATTCGTTATTCCAGAGATTGCATGTGCGTCGACTTCTGTACAGAGTGCAGCGTCGAATTTACTCTGGATGTGAAGTGCACTGATGACCAAACCAGACACGTGACGACTGCTGACTTGAAGTCGAGTGACCCACGAGTAGTGCCTGCCACGTCTCGCCACCGGGATGAAGATCAAGCAGACTATGGAGAGGCAGATGAGATTTTGATTATCAAGCTCCGAAAAGGCCAAGAGTTAAAGCTGAAGGCCTATGCAAAGAAAGGCTTTGGAAAGGAACATGCTAAATGGAATCCTACTGCTGGCGTTTCATTTGAGTATGACCCAGATAATATCATGAGGCACACTCTGTACCCCAAACCAGATGAATGGCCTAAGAGTGAACACACAGAACTTGATGAAGATCAGTATGAAGCAGAATTCAACTGGGAAGCCAAACCTAACAAATTTTTCTACAATGTTGAATCATCAGGATCTTTGAAACCTGAGAATATTGTCCTAATGGGTATTGTAGTTCTAAAAAATAAGTTGTTAAATCTCCAAATGCAACTGGCTCAAGAGGCACAAAATGATGCTTTAGCTATTAATTAAATTTAAGGACAGTAAACAATAAATATGAATTAAATCTAATGGTTTTGTTATTATTTTAAATGCCTGTGGTTCCATAAACCTACGGTTTAGTCACAGCAAAGAAAATGTTTAATATTATTAATTACAGTAATTACATTCAATATAGTACATACTGTAAAATGTGTAATCAAATACATATAAAACGAAAATTGCATCTAGGTATGTCATTGACAAGACAATACATATCTCTGTTCCCACCTAATCCTTTTTACAATTTACTCATGACTTTTCAGAAATAAATCTAAAACTCAAATCTGTCACATGTTATGACTTTTAAATCATAGGTGCATAATTTTAACTTTCAAATCCAAAATTATTGGTAAATCTAAATTATGATGTCGGAAAAAATTGAGAAACTAAAACAAAATGACCCCGGATGGAACGTGTTTGGAGATGGTATACAAACTGTAAAGCATTTAGAGGTATTTTTGCAGAATTTTAACTTGTGTCAAAGCTTGTGAAATTTAATTTAAGAAATAAGCAAATAAAAACTAATCTTATTATATTTCTTCAAAAGGGTGATGAACAGAGATCTGAATCCATAAGTAAAATTAAGTTAAAACTGCAAGATATCCAAGATGCTCATACAAGAATTAAAAATGATGTAGTCTTCACTCCAGTCATAGTAAGTTCCCAGACATTTATGAAGTGTCTGAAACTCTGAATGGATTACTTGGCCTATTGAGTACTTATTTAATATTTTTTTATAGGAAGCAAAATATGTAGGTAAAAACTTTTGCAATGTTTTCTTCAAGTGCGAAAATCTACAATATACTGGAAGGTAAGAAGTCACATAAGTACCTACCTACTCGTAAAATTGTTGTATGTATAATATTTCTTCCTTTTTATGTAAAGTTGTATTTATACTATAACTTTTTTTTATTGAAACCCAGTTTCAAAGCACGTGGAGCGTGTAACGTCCTCTCGAGTATGTCTCCATCAGACAAGAGTAGAGGCTGCACCATATCAGGTGGCCGCAACTATCTCTGTGCCATGACGTACTACGGGTTCAAGCAGTCTGTGCCGATGAACGTGGTGGTACCAAAGGACTGCCCACTGGCAGACAAACACAGATATAAGGAGAACTTCGCCATCGTCAAAGTGTACGGAAACGACATCAACGATGCCAGTCTCCATGCCTTGAGTTACTGCAATGAAATCGGCTCTAACTACATACATGGGTGGGTATAGTACGAGGAGTACATAGGTGGCAGACGATATGATATTTACGACAGATGGTATTACTTAGTTCGAAAGTTACTTCTTATAATATAATATGTAATATCGGTTCAACTGCTGAACTAATATTGATTGAATAAGTAAGCGGCTCTACCTTCCCATTCCAATAGGCTTCAATCACTGTCTTACCCTCATCTTTCTCTGGATGGTCTGGAAGATAGCGCCTCTAACGCTAAGACCGCCTAGTTAGTGCTGTTTCGATCTTGTATCTTTTATTTGTCATGGTTTAAAGTTTGAGTTTTGTAAGAAACGTATCTTGAATCTTGAAATTAGATAAGAAACTGAATTGGTCAGCATTGAATATTACTGGACATATTAAGTGGTATAAGTACGCGTGACTGTTGCTTGCTTGACCTCTGAAACCAGCCCTACGCGCGTATACACAAACATTACTATGTCTCCCAGTGCGCGTGGATGCACAGGGTCACACACGAACCAATCACAGAGCTCCTTTCAACGCAGTGCATTCGATTTGCAGATTCACTTAAGCAAGCATCGTTTATGAATACGGGCGTTAGCCATGTTTTTAAAATTTCTCTCAACAACCAGCACGGACCGCCTGGACTTGATCGCGGGCTACGGCACGGTGGGGCTAGAACTGCTGTCGCAGCTGGACAAGATCGACGCAATCATCTGCCCCGTCGGCAGCGGTGGTCTACTCGCCAGCACTGTCCTCGCGGTCAAGAGCCTCAAGCCTAATTGCTTGATTTATGTAGGCGCTTTTTTATACTTAGTAGACCACATAGGAACTTTTGAATTGATTCCTAGCTAAATGTGAAATCTCAATTCTCAACCACTGAGGCGCCGATGATATTACTTTCTTACGTAATTTGTAGAGCATTTTACTTATTTTCTACTCGTAACATACTTACTCGTAATAAGACCGCACACCGTTACGGCTTCCTGCATGACACAAAGGTTGACTGGCGGAGAAAGCTTTTATTTTGCATTAATTCCACCCTTTGTACATTCTAGTCCAATTAAGTTTTAAATAAATAAATAGTAGGTAACTACCTTACCTAATTACCTATAGTAGGTTAGGCATACTTATTTATCCTACCTACTTACTTTCAAAATTGCTACGACGCAGACAAGTAATAAGTATAGTAGACGAAGTTAGCTATAACTGATTTAATTTATTTACTCATTGATGTTCCTTCTTAGGGCGTGGAATGTACGTTAGCACCGACCATGACGAAAGCGATACAGGAGAAGAAGCCTGTGATGATTCAAATGACGCCTTCTATCGCCGACAGCCTCGGGAAAATCATCGCCAGCAATAACGCTTTCAATATCATCAAAGGATATTTGGATAAAATGGTCCGATTGTTTTAATTAAATTAAATATTTTCTGTTAAAATATGTAATTTTAAACTCTACTTTTATATGGCTAGATTACCATTGATGAAGTATGGATTTCCCGTGCGATGATCAATATCATGGAGCGTGAGAAAATGATGGTGGAAGGCGCAGCTGCCTGCCCCGTCGCTGCCATCATCGCGGGGAAAGTGCCTGAACTTCGTGGAAAAAAGTAGGTATACCTTATAAATATTGTCTTTACATCTCTACAAAATAAGATTTATTTTAGTTAGGAAATAATGAGTACCTTGGTCACTGAGGCGCCCTGAAAGGGAGCACAGAACACCACAAGTCCGATTTTTACAAAAACTCGTCCTAGACGGGAACACCAAGATCTGCATTTTAGACCGCACTCGAAAGCGTCTTCTTTACGATCGAACGTGTTTATGTTGTTTAGCGTGGTATGCATCCTTTCCGGCGGGAACCTGAACAGCAACCGCCTGGCGTGCGTGATCGCCCGCGGCATGGCGGCCGAGGGGCGGCTGGTGCGCTTCGCGGCCTCGCTGCCGGACGCGCCGGGCGCCATGGCCAAGCTGCTCAACAAGGTCACCGACAGCGGCGCCGACGTCAAGAGCTTCGTGCCGGAGCGCGCTTGGATGCGGCGGGACGTGTTCACTGTCACTGTGAGTATGCAGATGTTACATGACTGGACTTGAACAGCAACCGCCTGTCGTGTGTCGTGGACCGCGGCATGCCATACCGCTGGCTGATACCAGGATCGATTCCTGATGAGTCAAGAGAAAAAAATATACACTCGCGAACAAAAGTATGGAATCACCCCATTCGTTTTGAGTAATCTTTGTAGCTAAACGACTATAGTATGAAGATTAAATTATAAATGGTACAGGTTTAAAGGTTACATTACAAACTTTAACTTGATACCATAGATGCATAGATAGTCATTGAGTTCTTCAGATCGTTGGGAACAAAACACAAGAGGATGATTCCATACTTTTGCCCGTAAGTATATTTTGTTTTTATTAATTTCGCGTCTGGGTGTGCAGGGATAGGAGCAATCTCATTTTAACACATAAGTAAATATGGCAGCTGTAGGGTCTTATTTCAAGACAATTTTAGCACTAACACAGCTGAGTAGTAAACACTGTACACAGAACTCAGAGGAACCTCTACATGCTTTCAGGTAAATATGCTGATTGAGACGAGCGACATGAACCACGCAAGAGAGTTGGAGAAGAAGTTGGTGAAGGACTACCCACATTCGCAGTTTACGTTTCTATGAACCCTGGACATTGTCTTTATAATATTTGTGAAATAACTACGTTTTAAGAAAATTACTATTTATTAGCATTTTAAATACATTTTTGTGTTACAAAATGAAGTCTTTTATTTAATTCGTATGGTCTAACAGTACCTAGTACTAAAAACGGACAGTGAGCTAGGCTGGGATGGATAAGCATATGGATGATCACGTTTATCCTAAACATTCATCATGCTTCAAGTTCAAGACAAACCTCTTTCATCTTAGATAATGAGCTATTATTCAGTCAGGGAATATCTCGACGAACAATAGAATTTTAATCAGACTAACGAACAACAATTAATTTTTATTTATATAGATGACATATTTGATTTGATAATTTTTGTAAGGAATATTTTAATTGGCGACATTGATAGGTACTATTAATTTAATTTTACATTGACATTTTTTTTTTTTTAATCATTTGACATTTATATTATTGAATCCTATAATTTTTGCACGTCTGTGATCAGACTAAACACATCATGATCCTATTTTAATATTGTCACCCTGTATTACTGTGTTTTTAGCAAATAAACGTTTTGAATTTGAATTTTTGAATTTGAATTTGAATGGTTTAGCTCCGTAGACAATAATAAATCTCTGATATCATGCCTGATTTGATGTTGTCATTAATTTGTAATTCTGTCAAAAACTTTAGGCAAGTTTTTGGTCAATATAAATTCAAAATTCTAGTGTAAAAAGTAACCATTTCTCGCGCAACATGGTAAATATTTGTAAGATACTATTGTGTTTAGAATCTTATTACACATTGGCATATTATTAATCAATTTCATTTCCAGGATGAGTCCGAGTCAGCAAGTGGACCACACATTCTCTCGTTTTCTGAAATAAAGCAAGCAGCCGAGAGAATTGAAGGGGGTATCATACACACCCCTCTCTGTGTATGTTACCATAACATTTGATTTTATTTTGATGTTTCATCATCATCCATATTTGATAATATACTTAACTGCTATTTTCTATCCCAGGAAGCAAAATTGAGTAAGTTCATGGACTACAACTTATATCTGAAATGTGAAAATCTACAATATACCGGAAGGTAAAATACAGTTTATTTCAAGTCTAAAATCGAGAAGGTAAATTTAACTTGTTAAATTACTTATCTACTTACTTTTGCTTTCTACAGTTGTGCTGAACGCGGTATCCGTAACGCGCTTCTGGCGATCGGACAAGAAGGCAGCTCTCGCGGGGTCATAGTGCCTTCCAACGGGAACATGGCCATGGCAGCCGCTTACCATGGTGGAACATTGGGTATACCGGTAAGATCTTACATCAAAATCATCGACCATACATAACATCGAGTAAGCTATTGTTGTTTTGATCGTAAGCCGCCTCGAAGGACCAAAATTGATTAATGTAGAATAACATCGAGTTTATTTACGTTTCACCATTGGTTTTTGAACGTAACCCGGCTCGAAGGACCAAAATTATTGATGTGCATGAATAATGGTTTCGTAACTACTTACTTATTTTATGCCCGTTGTGACGTTATATTTGATGGTCAATGATATTCGTTACTTTCAGGTGACAGTGGTGTTGCCGGACCGCACGCCGCCGGCGCAGGCGCAGCGCTGCGCGGAGCTCGGCGCGGACGTGGTGCTCTGCGGCGAGACCTGCGACGACGCGGCCACCTACGCGAGGAAGGTGCACCATGATAGCAGGCAGATATTGTTAAGGTAAAAAGGTTTAAGACTTTCTAAAGTACCGATTAGGTAGGTACTTTCATCGTCCGCTACTTGCTGAAACTTTTAGATGTGCTCTGTTCTTAATGGGTGCACTTATTAGGTAGGTACTCACCTAACAAATTACTTACGTAGCCCTGTGTCTAATCGATTGAGGCACGATAGAAATAAATTTTATTGTTATGTGATCTTACACTTAAATTAGGGTTCCACGAGCTAATAATTTTCCTACTTGTAGAAACTGCGTCCTATGTGTACCTATTAATTACATAGGTGGGAAACGATAAATATCGATAAAATACAACATTTACATTTGTTCAACAAAGGTTCACTGGTAGAGGATGCCATGGCATTAAGTTGGCCTCTTGTCATTGACTTGCACTTGCACTTCATTTGTGCCATGAAGTTTTTACATAAAAAATAAATAAGTACGACCCCAACTTACCAATTTTCAGCCCAGACGACCCGCTCGTGATGGCCGGCCTGGGGACAGTAGGCGTCGAGATCGTCACGCAGCTGCCAGAGGTGGATGCTGTGATAGTACCAGTGGCTTCAGGAGCTTTGCTTGCGTCCGTACTCGTGGCCTGCAAGAAGCTGAAGTGCTCCTGCCTTGTTTACGTAAGTTACCGTACTTACCGTCGCGTCTGTGTACTTACTGTGTACGCCTTATAGGCGTCTGATAAACTTACGATTTTTCTTCCCCATACATCAATTTTTAGCAACGATTCGTAAATCTTAACTCGACAGCATCGTAAATCGTTTGCACCACACTAAAATGTGACTAGCATGCCGTATTTTTTAAAATTAAGTGCATCATCTTATTACCGAATTTATAGACCAAAGATAATTATTTCCAACAGGGTGCGGAATGCGCGAAGGTGCCGAAAATGATGAAAGCGCTACAGGCAGGACGACCAGTGTCGGTACCTGTGATGCCCAACCTAGCTGAAGGACTGAGCATCTCAACTGTTGGATCCAACGCTTTTGCTACTCTCAAAGGGCGGCTGGATAGAATGGTAAAAACATTACGACAATGCTAGCTTTCATTAGCTTTTTTCACAAAAACTATACAACTTTTTGTGACGACAGTTGGTGGTGGAGGAAGCATACGTAGCGCGAGCTATCATCAGTGTGCTGGAACGTGAAAGACTGGTGGCGGACGGCGCGGGAGTCTGCGCCATTGCAGCCGTCATGCAAGGACTTGTCCCTGAGCTGCGAGGGAAACGGTAACTTTTCATCTACTAATAAAAAACATTTACTTACTTACCTACTTATTACGCAGGTAGTGTTTTCACTTTCTCTTCCCTAACTCGGTATCATCACTGTTTTACTAAGATTGGACGAGCATCTTCAAGTTCACTCTCACGAATAAAGAAAATTATCCCAAACTTAAACACAAACAAAACCTATTCCTATCTTCTCACCGTGGCCGTCCTAGACTACAGAATTGCTCACTATCGCCTGTCAATGTTTGTAGCGCGGTGTGGGCTACAAACATTGACAGGTGATAAGCGGCGGCAACATTGACTCAGGGAAGCTGTCACGCACCATCCAGCGCGGTCTGGCCGCCACCGAAAGGCTGCGCGCTTCGCCGTGGCTATGCCCGACCAAAGAACTGCTCACTAAAACCTTTCAATGTTTATAGCGCGGTGTGCGTGATAAGCGGCGGCAACATCGACTCCGGGCGACTGTCTCGCACCATCCAGCGCGGTCTGGCCGCCACCGAAAAGCTGGCGCTTCGCCGTGGCTATGCCCAACCAAAGAATTGCTTACTAAAACCTGACAATGTTTGTAGCGCGGTGTGCGTGATAAGCGGCGGCAACATCGACTCAGGGCGACTATCGCGCACCATCCAGCGCGGGCTTGGAGCTACGGGAAGATTAGTGCGCTTCGCCGTGGCCGTGCCCGACCACAGAATTGCTCACTAAAACCTGTCAATGTTTGTAGTGCGGTGTGCGTAATATCATAAGCGGCGCGGCAACATTAACTCAGGGCAGCTGTCACGAACCATCCGGCGCCGGTCTGGGCGCCACCGAGAGTCTGTGTGCTTCGCCGTGGCTATGCCCGACCAAAGAACTGCTCACTAAAACCTGTCAATGTTTGTAGAGCGGTGTGCGTGATAAGCGGCGGCAACATCGACTCAGAGCGACTAGACTGTTGCGCACCATCCAGCGCGGGCTTGGAGCTACGGGGAGATTAATGCACTTCGCCGTGGCCGTGCTCGACCACAGAACTGCTCACAAAAACCTGTCAATGTTTGTAGAGCGGTGTGCGTGATAAGCGGCGGCAACATCGACTCCGGGCGACTATCGCGCACCATCCAGCGTGGTCTGGGAGCTACGGGGAGATTAGTGCGCTTCGCCGTGGCCGTGCCCGACCACAGAACTGCTCACTAAAACCTGTCAATGTTTATAGCGCGGTGTGCGTGATAAACGGCGGCAACATCGACTCCGGGCGACTAGACTGTTGCGCACCATCCAGCGCGGGCTTGGAGCTACGGGAAGATTAGTGCGCTTCGCCGTGGCCGTGCCCGACCACAGAACTGCTCACTAAAACCTTTCAATGTTTATAGCGCGGTGTGCGTGGTAAGCGGCGGCAACATCGACTCAGGGCGACTATCGCGCACCATCCAGCGTGGTCTGGGAGCCACCGGGAGGCTGGTGCGCTTCGCCGTGGCCGTGCCCGACCACAGAACTGCTCACTAAAACCTGTCAATGTTTGTAGTGCGGTGTGCGTAATATCATAAGCGGCGCGGCAACATTAACTCAGGGCAGCTGTCACGAACCATCCGGCGCCGGTCTGGGCGCCACCGAGAGTCTGTGTGCTTCGCCGTGGCTATGCCCGACCAAAGAACTGCTCACTAAAACCTGTCAATGTTTGTAGAGCGGTGTGCGTGATAAGCGGCGGCAACATCGACTCAGGGCGACTATCGCGCACCATCCAGCGTGGTCTGGGAGCTACGGGGAGATTAGTGCGCTTCGCCGTGGCCGTGCCCCACCACAGAACTGCTCACTAAAACCTGTCAATGTTTGTAGTGCGGTGTGCGTGGTAAGCGGCGGCAACATCGACTCAGGGCGACTAGACTGTCGCGCACCATCCAGCGTGGTCTGGGAGCTACGGGGAGATTAGTGCGCTTCGCCGTGGCCGTGCCCCACCACAGAACTGCTCACTAAAACCTGTCAATGTTTGTAGTGCGGTGTGCGTGGTAAGCGGCGGCAACATCGACTCAGGGCGACTATCGCGCACCATCCAGCGTGGTCTGGGAGCCACCGGGAGGCTGGTGCGCTTCGCCGTGGCCGTGCCTGACCACCGCGGCGGGCTGGAGCAGCTGGCCAAGACCATCGCCGACGAGAACGCCATGCTCAAGAGCCTGGTCACTGAGCAGATGTGGGTGCACAGCGACGTTGGAACCACTTGGGTGGGTATACTATACCGTATAGGCCTATCAATTAGTTGCTGTTACAGGTTTAATTTTTTTAACCGGTAACCTACACCTGCTCGGGCGTCGGCAACCCGGCAACCCATCGGGCGTCAAAAACCATAAAAAATAAAAATCCAGAGCACTCCTGTCTCAAAAGGTTGCCGACCAGTACCACTGGACAGATGAATAAGAGCGAAACTTTCTTTTATGTAAATGTCTGTTTCATGATACATTATTACTTTTGTGGATTGTGAATCAATAAGAGCAATGTCATACTACATATTTGAACCTAGAACCTGTTACATACATTAACAACTTTTACTATGATTTCAGGCGAATGTTGTAGTGGAGACTGCAAATGATGAACACGCAACAAATTTCAAAGAGCGTGTTCGTGACCAATACCCTTCTGCAAGGTTTGCTGTGGTGGACCTTGATGAAAAACATAAGATTGCACGGTAACAGAAACACTGCCCATCATGAGATTATTAATGTAACAGAAAATTACTCAAAATTAACTTTTAGCTATTAAATGACTTTGTATCTTTCAATATTCAGTATTGACAAGCTTGGTATTTAATGTTTGTAACTGTGCAAGTGAACCTAATTAACAGAAAATGTTATAGCAAGGTGTTATTGAAAAGGAAAATAAAAGTAAAACAACAAAATTTGGATTTTCTTTTATTTTTTAGACTTATCCATAACCTTACGCAACAGGGTCATCGCCCTTGGTGGCTCGCGTGTAGATCACCTGTCCGTGGTGTTGGACTACCTGCTTGATGAGGCCTGGAAACAAAAACAGTTTTGATATAGCATCTTTTTAATGACTATGGAAATGTTATGAAAAGAAACAAAGACATCAGACTCAATATATCAGTTTGTAACTGTCAGTGTTCATCTAGTAAAAAGAGATCATCACAAGAAAGGGAAAAGATAAGATAATAAGGTATAGCAGTCATATTCAGAACATAACAGATTTTTTTTATCCGCAACGAGGAAGCTCTTGATGAGAGACACGATGATGATGAGAAAGATGACGCTATGCACTGAAGTGAGCTAAAAATCTGATAAATAAAGCACTTAATGGTGATGATTTACATACCCTTTTCCCTAAGTTCGATGAGGGCTCGCCTCGCCAGAGATCCTCGGACCTTTAGCCTTTCAGAGACCACTGCGGGGGTGATCAGCTTGTACTGGGGCACTTCTTTGTACAGCTTCTCGTATGTTGGTTTGTCAAACAACACCTGGTTGTTCAGCTTGTCACGGACTTTTCCTTTGGACCACTTCTGCAATAGAACACAACCACAACACATTAGTTACTATTGAAAAACATTAATGAAAAGTTGATCTGATAGAAGTCAATGCCATCAGCCTCAATATATCAGATTTTACTCTCATAGTATTCAAGATAGGAAGTTTTAATCACATGGCATTGTTTATAATTATGTTGAGTTTTTAGTATTATGATCAAAGTAAATAATTGGGGCAATTAAGCTGCCTAGTACCACTTTCGATTACTGAAATAGTTTCCAATAGACTGAACAAAGAAATTAGGTTCATTTCCACTAAACTTTAGGGAGTAACTACCAAGCTGACAACACTCACATAACCTCTTTTTTAGACATGTCAAATTATTTACCTTCTTCTTGGCTTTGCCACCACCAGATCCTTCCTTCTTCTTCTGGGTCTTCTGTGGCTGCTTGGCCGAAGCCTTTGTGTCCTTTTTGGGCGGCTAAAATCACAAAAATATTCTTGAACGTCGGCACAACCACGAGGTAAACTAGTGGAAACACATGCTAATTTGGTGCTAGCGAAAGATAACATTTTAAATATGTAATTGTACTTGATTATAACTTTAAAATGCACTAAATTTATGTAATATTTAACGCGAAACACTATTTTTTACGAATTTCTCGACTTCGACAAATGCTACTCACCATGTTGAAACCGGAAAGAGACTAGACAAGCGAAATGACGGATAGCTTGTCGTTGTCTCTGGTTGCTTTTTGACAGGTAGAAACGTTCCAATACTAACTCGTATTAGTGTGGAATTTTGTTTATTAATCATAATATAAAACAAAAAAATGCAAATTAATCTGCCTAACTAATTTTCAGATGTTATTTTTTGTTTATTCAATAAGTTTGGGTGGCCAATTCATTTTATAATCTGAAATTCATTATACAAACCATGTAAGTGACAGACAATGAATAAATTGTTTCTTAGCGATTTCGAACGTTTACCGGAAACGGTGCCAATTGCCATAGACTGTATTTGAACATCCAATGTAATGCAGTAACGTTATTAATAATAATTAACGTTATCTGAATAACGTTGGGTTAATTCCGTCAGCTGTAGTATAGCATAATCACAGTAGATATATGAGCTAAAGCAGTACGGAAACTTAGCCCTTTCGGCGAGTTAAATACCTACACTTCAACTGAGTGTTAGGGTTGGCACTCTTAATCTTTATAAAATTAATAAGGTTCTGACTTACTTATTTATTAAAATGTTTATTTAGGTTTTTTAATTATCAAATACCTAATGGAATAAATCAATTGACTAAGTAGTTAACAAAAAAATAAAACGTTAATTAGGTTCTATAATGATCGAATACATAATCGAATAAATTAATTAAGTACTATTAGAGGCCGGTAGAAGATATTCTATTCTCATAAATAAAATACCGGATACTTACTTTCACATAGCTACTTATTGCCTCATTTTAAATACAGTTCATCACTTAGTACAAAAGTGCACGGAGCAAATTACTTTATCAAATAGAACACATAAATTGTTTAAAAGCGTAATTACGTAATTTAAAAAGAACTGTTACAAAATCAGATGGAAGCAGTTTATTTGAAAAGTAATATTTAATCATTTTTACAATTCAGAATTATTACGAAGTTTAAAAAATGAAAGTTCTGGTATGGAAGATGCAGAGTTCAAGCAGCCGTATACTACGCAATACACTCGTGACATATTTTTTTAAAAATAGGGTGACGGCACCAGTAATGGACATGGCACCAATTATGGACATTTTTTTCGTTGATCGAATTTATTAAGCAACTGTCGCAACATTTTGAACTGGCAACACTAAAATCACAATCAATAGATGTTTGGGCTATCATTTTGACACACGTCACCAAAATCGGCCACTTTGTTTTAAGATAGCTGTGAAGTGAAATCTCGTTGCGCACGGTGGTCATGAAAATCCGTTTTTACTATTGAAATCGTTAAGGAAGTGAGTACATATTTGTGCTTGGTGCTATCTTGTGTTGTGTTATAATGAGATTTGATGTTATTTGTACTGAATAATAATAAATAGCAAGTAAATTGAGCTAAGTTAAAAATGTCTTATCACAGCCATAAGTTTTTTCTGGGGTTTGTTCATTACTGGATTCGATATTTTATTAAATTCAGTAATGGACAAGTGTCCATGCTTAAGTTTTAAACTGATTTTTTAGTTTATTGTATTAAATTATTTAATTTGATGCACTAAACATTTGGGTTGAGTTGATTTTATAATTGCTCTTTATTTTCCAATGTTGGACGATGTCCATAACTGGGTATTTTTAGTTGTCCATAATTGGGTTCTTCGTTTTGTCTTAGATGGCACCAAAACAAAATTACACCCCCAAACATGGAGAGAGCATTATGGATGCCGTAAGGATGGGGGAAAAGATAAGCACGGCTGCCCTCCGGTTTGATGTTCCACGAATAACCTGGGTTACCTCCGCCATATCGAATAACAAATGATCGAAAGTAAAAATGTCAAACACGTTTCATCGAAAACTCAAAACATCGAACGATTAAAATACAGAATTTACAAAATGATCGAAATAATCTTCAAAAGATCTAAGGATTAAACTATCGAAAATTGATCTTATTGTATAGTTTAATAGGAAGATGGAGGTAAGGGTTCCTTGTTGTTGACTATGGTACCCTAGAAATTAAAAAAAAAATAGTTTTATTTATATTCATTATAATTATGACATTTAGTTTGAACTTCTTTACTGATTTTCGATATTTTAATAATTCGATATTCTGAACATTTGATCATTTGTAAATTCGATATTTTGATCGTTTAAAGTCTTGGGATGACGTTACCGAAGAAGGCATTCACAAATGGTTCGATGAAATAACGAGATACATAGAAGTTATAGGTTTAAAAGATGTTTTAGATGAACCCAGCCGAATATTTAATACCGACGGAAGCGCATTTTGTCGCCAGATGGTTGATTGAAAGTCTGATACTTGAAAATCGGAGACTGATCATGTTGAAAGTTCAAATAGCACTAATAAAAGTTGATTTGTGACATCATTTGTTTCATTCATGTGTTCAATACAAAAGTGTCCATTAATGGATGTTCATAATTGGGTCCATGTCCATGACTGGGTGTCCATTACTGAATTTTTGATGTCCATCAATGGTGATTTCGTAAATTTCAATTTATAATTTTTTTATTAATTATCTATTAAACGTACAGGATTTTTGGTTTTGTTTAAATGTTCCTCATGTATTTAAGTGCCGAAAAAAAAATCACCACTTTTGTATCGCCAAAAAACATCCCCTTTTTAAACGAAATTCGAATTTAGTGCGCTTAACATGTCCATGATTGGTTCCGTCACCCTACAGCGGAACGTGCATGCAATAAAATTATTATTAAAAACACAACGCGCGCGACACTCGCGACGGATGGACTGCGAGGTTCGCTTAGAGCTCGTGTAAAGCGTGCGTCTGTGTGCGTGAGTCTGATTTCGAGCGTTTGTATGAAGCTTCCGTACTGTTTGATTTATCTACTGTGGCATAATCGCAAACCAGTCGAAAAGCCCCTTTTTTGTATGGAGTTTTGACGGATTCGATTTGATCAAAAAATGCGTTTTGTCTAGGGGGGCTGCATCTGTATATGTTAGAGGCTGCCTGCTGTAGATCTAACGAGGCTGGTAGGCTGCATCATGAAAACCAATGAAGGCCGCGTTTATTAAGACCATTGTTAATTTTTTTTGTAGCTGGTGGTGGCTAGGATCCGTCGTCATTGATTTTTTTGGTACTTTCTTTTATCTAACTAAACCAAAAGTTTGATATTTAGAAAATGAATAGTTCTATAGATACAAATAGGATAAATAAAGAAGCGTATTAGCGTAGTGTAAAATGCCCAAGGATATTTATTTATTTTATTTAAATAAAATAAATATTATTTCATAACAATTTTTATAACAATAACATAGTAATAGCATTACATTTGTGACTGCAGCGATTCGTAATACGCCAGTTCTTCGTCCGTCACCGAGGGCCGGAATGATTCGACGCCTTGCCACAACTCCGACACCCCAAGTATCACCGAGTCAGGACTTAGCTCACTCTCTTTTACTAAACCTGAAACAAATGTTCAATTTTTAGTCTTTTTAAATATAATGGGTTCATGCATCTGTGTCGTCTGTTGGCATTTTAAGACTTGTGTATGTCGTACCTACATCTGTACCCTAAGCACGTATAAATCGAATTTCTTATACAACGGTAGCGACGCTGTTTTGTTTTACATACAAAAGAAACGATTGTTTCATGCTCCGGTTTCAGATCACTTTGTAGTCAGCGTTAAGAATTTACGTGCAGTGTGTAACAGGGTATTAGTAGCTTTATAGCTACTGTATAATAACACCGTACCTTTGTGCAATTTCTCGACCACGGCTCTCACGGCGGCCGAGCGTGCGGTGGACACCACGGACAGTAGGTCGGCGCCCGTGCAGCGCTCTGGTAGCGCCGCCGATACGTCCTCTAGTTTCACCTCGGGTCGGAGTTTGTGGCTGTAATGTAGAGAAGTATAAATAAATAATCGTCAGTAAGTTATCATTATGTATAGTCCACGCCAATAGAAACTGTCAATTTTTTAAACAAAAATTGTAATAAATAAAGGCGGAAAACATTGTTACCGAACTGTCTATGTATCTACATAGATTGCTGTTTATTAATTTATTTAATTAGGACAACCAACAAGACAGACACAAATTCAAGCAAAGGGGTTTACATACATAATTTTGTGTTAGGACTAGGTGCTATCTTAATTACAGGCTGCCACACAAGTGGACATTGACTGAATATGAAACTTAAACGTTAAGTAATGTTTTAAGGATATGGAGACAGTTTAATTTCTCATTGATTGATTTGATTTTTATAATATTGCTTTTACGAAATAGACTGACCCTATTGTTGTGGACTATAGGACTATAAACAAAATAATTTATGGTCAATGAAAATAATGAGCCTTACTTTCGACACAGCGCTTTCAAGACGCACGTCTTCTCATAGAGGCCGTTGTACGGCCCGACGTAGATGAGTTTGTCCAGGCGTCCTGGTCGGAGGAGCGACTGCTCTAGTAAGTCCGGCCGATTTGTAGCTCCCATTATGAATACGAAACTTGACGTATCTGCATCTGTAAGAAAAAAGAAATACATGTTTGTTGAAAATGCTTTGAGATATAGAAATGAGATCCCCCAGGCACGCTTAGATATCTAAGGTAGTATAGGGACGCATAATTTCTAAGGGGGCCGGTATAGCCGCCCCCTTGCTTGAATATTAGCTGCGAGTGCAGAGGTTTCTTCGCCTCTCTGATACCTAACATTATTGTGTACTGCGCAGTGTTACTGGTTGTTATGGAAAGCCTTGGGGTAGGCCTTTGTCTAGCAGTCATCATTCGGCTGAAACAAACTAACTGCGCAGCGGCTCGTGCGATGTTGCGAGCCACCGTAAAGTTTGCATCGGACTGTATCAATCTCCGGTCACCGAGCAGATAGAATTTCGTACAATGACCTCAAGCTACCCATCCTTATCGCGCGTAATTATATTGCTATCGCGCTCGCACACTAACTTCGGCCGCCCGTCGCACAGTGAGTGTGTCAGCGACCGGACTTTATAAAATGCTAATTACCGTCCCCGCTGGCGACCCCGTCCAGTTCAGCCAGCAGCTGGCTGACGACGCGATCGCTGGCGCCACCGGAGTCTCCCGCGGCTCCACGGCGCGGCGCCAGGGCATCCAGCTCGTCCAGGAACACTATGCACGGAGACGACGCGCGGGCTGACTCGAACACTGGAACATTCATTCAAATAGTTAAGGATCTTACACGTGATCAAGATACGGATGTCATGCTACGACGCGGCAACGTATCGAGGTACTGTCAGCACCAAATAGTAGTTCGTGAGACCCAAAGTGGCTAAAAAGTTCACAATACGTATTTATTACTATTGGAATAAGTTGTGTTGTCAATGTTTTGGCTACTTTGGGTGTCACTAACTATGTATTTGACGCCGACTGTACGAACATCATAAAAGTTCACAATACGACATCGAAACTCGGTAGGACACACGTCTGGAAGACATCGTTCCGCGTGATTAACTATGTAGGCTAACATTTTTTACCTTTATGTAGCAAAGGAAAGTGAAATTGGAAAAGGAAATGTATGACACAAACCTTTTCTAACATTCTCCTCAGATTGTCCAATGTACATGTTCAGCAATTCTGGACCTTTCACACTTAGAAAACTGACATTAAGTTCGGTACTGACTGCTTTTGCTACTAAAGTTTTTCCACAACCTGGTGGACCATACAATAGAATTCCTGAAAAGATAAATTCATATTGTTAAGAATAATAAGTTCTTAAAACTGTAAAATCTTGATTTAGTGATATATTAAACAGTTTATACCTGATCTTTTGAGACTAGAGTTTTTAAATAGGTGAGGGTATTTTATTGGGAATTCTATTGTCTTTAAAAGTTCTTTCTTTAATTTTTCTAAGCCTCCAATATCTTCCCAGTAGACCTTTGGTATTTTAGGAGCATCCAAATGGTGACTTTGCAAGCTCCTGATTGATTCTGCAAAAACATACAGTAAATTAATTGTTCTATATTAGCTTGTGTAAGCAATATGCAATGTTTTTATACAATTACCTAAAGCTGAATTAAAGTCCTCTTCTTGTAACAGTCTCAAATCTGGATTAGGTCTTATAGTCACATAAGCATTCTGTTGTTTCAAGTAGGACTCTCTCAATGCAAAATGAACTAAAGTATCCAAATCCCCATATTGAAAAGTTTCTGTCTTTGCTGCCACCCTTTGTATAACTTCTTTAGCATTTGCACTCAGAGACAACCCATCATCATCGATATCAAAAGAATTCAGACATTTCTTGGGTTTTTCACCATTAATATTAAGTTGCATCACAGATGTAAACCATTGCAGAACTTCTGCCCTCTGCTGTGGGTTTAATCTAGGAATATGGAATTTTTCTAGGAACAATCTTTGAATATTTGGTTTCAATTCCACCCTCTCAGTGACTGCAATAAATATGATTGGGTGTTTAGAGTAGTTCTGGTACAGCTCATTTATTATGTTGATGAAGTATTCCATCACTCTGCAGTCTTCATTGTTCTCAGGATCCACTGCAAATACCTGGGAAACAAGTTTATTGAAATTGTACTAGCTCTTTGGTTTAGCAGTGTTATCTAGATTTAGTAATGGTAGTTTACCTCAAAGTTATCTAATAACACTATCACAGGAGCTGAAGTTTTGGCTTTTTGGATTGTTGCATTGATTTTGCTTTCAGTCTGCTTGGCAGTAGAGCTTTGTAGAGAATTGCAGTCAACCGGCATACAATTCATTCCTACAAAAAAGTAAATAAATTTTATTAAATACTGGAGAGAGAGTAAAGTTTTGTGTAGGTCCCCTAATTACAAAATAGTCATGTTCATCATCACAGAATATTGATAAAGAACTTGTGTAGCTTATTTAAAAATTGTACCCTTCTTACCATTGTATTTGGCTAGAATTTTCACCAATAAATGCCTCCCAGATCCCATTGATCCTGTCAGAAGTAGCATTGGAATAATGGGGCTTGTCATGGATGAAGATAAATCATCTGAAAGCAAAATACGACTTGTAGTTAATATTATTTAAATTCAATTTAAAGTAGTACTTCAATCAAAAATCATTTTGTTACTTACTAAGCTCTCCAGTTAAGAACGGTGCAATAGTTTCTTGAATTTGCTTGAACTTTTCTTTCAAGCCAGAGGGACACATACTTAATAAAGCTGGTTCAGTGAGTTTAAAGAACTCATCTTTAGGCTTCAGTGTGTGCACATTCTCTCCTAAGCTTAGCTGGGTCACCCCTTTCACAATGAAATATGGCTTGATAACATTGTCTGCCACTTTTAAACTATCCTTTTTCTCATCCTCTGTTGCATTTGCACTATCCAGCTTTTTGCATTTGAAATACAGTTTACATGTATTTTCAACTAAATCCAAATATTTATAGTGATACTTTGTTGTGTTATTTGGTGTGAGATCTATACTGAACACATCATTCAGACTCACTAGCTTTGGTATCTCAAAGTAATTGCTTAAAACTTCTTTGATAAAATCATTAGATAAATCATAATCATTAACCACAAGGCTTACTTCAGCTGTAGCTGCAATTTTTGGTGCACATTCCAAAGATGGCACTGGGTGGAATGACACTTTTATATCACTGTAGTTCTTCAATCCAAACGAAGATATTAGACTGTATTGTTCATTTTCTGTGGTAAAGGCAACAGTATCACCCACAAGTTTTGACCCTACCACAGGCACTATTTTAATGTTGTCCAGTCTGTCGCATGATTTGTCACTCCATAGTTTTTTGTGGATTTCAGAGGTCATGAAGTTAAGGTTGTGTTTGAATAAACTGTCTGATTTATTATTTTTTCCTCCATATTTCTTCTTAGTTTCTGGGGTTAACTTTATTGCAAGCCAAAGAACTCCATTGTCTATATAGAATAAATTTTCACTACTTAGTTGTATAAATTCATCCCTTGAAATGACATAGCATTTGTGCAAGAGAACTGGTAGGTTATCATCCAAATAATCCTGAATTAGAAATCTGTGAGCATTTGTTGAAATTGTTTTTACAGCATATCCATTCATATCTTTCTGTCGAATCTTCTTATTATAGTTAATTCTATGCTTTATTGCAAGGAAGACTAGGAACGTTTGGTAGTTGAACTTTGGATAGATGATTTTCAGGCAAAATTTTATCACCCATAATTTTTTGGAAGTTTGTTCATTCATAGTAATTTGCCACCACCTTTATATGCATTCATTTATAAATCGTGAAATACAAGTCTTAGTATTGTTGGTTCTTGACCTACAAAAAACTTTCTAGCACTTAAAAATAGCAAGTAAAAAATTGTTTGTTGATCTCCAGTCGAAATCCACCATCAGAATTTTTAAATTGACACTGACAACTGACAATGTCATTTTTGACATTGACATTGTTTTTTTTTTATTTATGTTACAATCAAGGAACTAATAATTATACAATTAACGTGTTTGTAGTTTTGTCGCCAAATAAGTATTTGCCGGAACTCCACATTCTGTCAACATTAATTTCAAAATACAGCGCAAATAATCCGCTCTTCAACGTTTTTTACATTTTATCCAACATAATTTTCCACACAGATGTATTATGCTCACTGAGCCAAAATGGCTTTATATTTAACTTGGGCATCATTTAATAACATAAGAATGCTTCTAATGGCATGCATGCCGGTGGTAATATTTTATCTCATTTGGCTAGTCAATACTTCTGAAGGTATAAGAAGTGAAGAAGGAACTCTATTAGATCTCGTGTGCTGGCCAGACGGTAACGCAATACCAGTTATAATCGCTACGGGTTCTGTTATTGCGGTAGTTATTGAGGTAAGGTACAAGTATAGTGGGCAGAGTGGGCAGTTCCGGCTACCCTTATCCGTTTTTTCTTTCACTCTCATCAAACACATCTTTGCGACAGAACGAGACAACATGACCGGAAATGGATACTGTGAACCCTGTCTCTCTGTACCTACACTTTATTTTATAAAAATCTAGATTTGAATTCTTGATTCTAATCACAATACCGACGGCACGGTACAATACGCTTGTGTTCGATTTGTAGTGTTTACATTAGCTTCTCCTGAATGCAGAACATCTTTAAAACTTAATAATTTTCAGCTGTATGGCCTGTATCAATTGTTCAAGGCAGGTTTACCAAAGCGAGAATACAATGTGACGAATGGGCTGTATTATTACATTTGGTCCCTCATCGTAATGATCATAATTTTTCTTGCAATTATGTTTTATTCGGGGCTTCAATCGACTATTATTAGAGGTAAGAAACCGATTGCAGGCAATTGTTTTAAACCCGTTACAGATTTTAAAAGCTGTTAATTCAAATTTCCAGCTAAAATTAAAGGCGGTATCACTAAAGCAATGCTACGATACTCCAGTCACCTGCCATCGAAGGTCGCCATAGATCGGCTGCAGACTCGGTTCCACTGCTGCGGCCGCGTCAACTTCCAAGAGTGGTTCTACATTCCTTGGTACACAACAGCGGTATCCGTTGATTCAAAGGGTTTGTTAGTAGGCTGGTTGAATTTTTAAATTCCTGACGTGTGCGTACTTATTACTGATACATACTCTTATCGTTTGACAGAGCCAGGCGTAAGTTTGTCGCTGACAACGTGCCATACAGTTGTTGTTCATTGGACGCGCTATGGCCATGCATTCATCACGGTGTTACTAAAATGGGCGCTATTTACAAATACAATCCCGCAGTAAGTATTAGGGCCCCAGTTTTGTAAAATATCCCCAGTGTCTCCTCAAAACTATAATTAGTGTGTTCGAGGTAATGCTTACAGAAACAACTCACTATATGGAAAGATGGTTGTGAAGAAAAGTTGATAAGCGAAATGATGGCTGTTTCATGGAGATTTAACGCGGTGATGTCACTGATCATCATTGCTATGGTTAGATTTATTGGAATAAATTGTGCTATTGTGCAAGACCAAGGGGCACATAATCTTTATTGATTACAGATACTGCAGGTGATTGCAGTCCGGTACCTACACACGGCGTATAGGAACGGGCTACATGCTGGGAACCCAATATTATGCAAAGCATACCTTCTCCGTTCCCTCACGGACACGGAGTCTCAGCCTAAGGGTACCGCGAAGAAAAAGGTCACTTTCATTGCTTGTTGCTTTTAAATTATTTCACAAAAGTAACACTCGTTGATCACATGGAAATAGCAAGAGAAACTCAGCAAAAAGAAGATCGTAATGTTGCCAAAATATAGCGCGTTATATTTTTTAGAAGGGCCATGATTTTTCGGAGCTTCTGCATTTATCGCTATGTTAAAACACTGCTTTGACACATGAAGTTGCACGATTTATAGTTTGCTATACACTTAAGTATAACCCTACTGCCCCTTCCTATGAATAATAATTTAATTTTATCAGGTTTTCCGAAAAAGAAAAACCCGGCAAGTCCGGACGCTGCAGTGGGTGACGGCTCCGTACCGGCCGGCTCCGCGGCGCGCCACGTCATCCGCCTCCGATGCCAACAGTTCGGACGAGCTATTGAAGCCCATATACGAATAAACTTAGGGGCCATCCATAAAGTACGTCACACGAATTTCATGATTTTTTGACCCCCCCTCCGTCCTTGTCACAGGTGGTCACATTTCTGAGACCCCCCCCTCCCTAGTGTGACGTCACATGTTCTGCAATTTCACATCGAAAAATTATTAAATTAACAGCAGTTCCGAAATTAGTTTTATTTCCATTTAAATTAAGTACTTTTTTTTTTATGAAATCAACATTATATAAAATATTTGAAACAATTGAAATGTGATGTCACGAAACTTAAGACCCCTNACGTCACATGTTCTGCAATTTCACATCGAAAAATTATTAAATTAACAGCAGTTCCGAAATTAGTTTTATTTCCATTTAAATTAAGTACTTTTTTTTTTATGAAATCAACATTATATAAAATATTTGAAACAATTGAAATGTGATGTCACGAAACTTAAGACCCCTCCCACCCCTTGTCACACCATGTCACACTTTGTCAACCCCCTCCCCCCCTCTTTACGTGTGACGTACTTTATGGATGACCCCTTATGGTCGAAGTCAATATTTTAAGAAGTAATATTACACTGGGACTTCGGGACTCTTCCTCCTTAGAAGTGCCTTCCTAGTTGCGGGTTGCCGTCCTCGGAACCATTCGCAAAAAGTTCGTAACGCGGTCAAGTTTGTAGATCCTGGCTATGTATGAGTTAGGTACAACAATGATGTGTACGACTAATAAACTGTTGTTAAAAACTTGAACTTTTAATATTTAAGTTTCATAAACGTGGGACGTACACTTTGGGTACCTAGGTTCTAAAAATTTCAAGGCACTTTAAGGCCGGCAATACACGGACAACTCGAGCAGTTAGTCAGTGATCAACATACACGGACCGCTCTTGCAGTAAAGAGTCAACAGCTTGAAGCTGCCAGTGATAACTGCTCGAGCAGTTGGTATTAACTGCTCAACAAATCACAAGCGCGCGCGCCGTGGAATGAAGAAAGTGGGCGGAGGTAACTGTCGACAGCTCGAGTAGTCAGTGTATGGCTGGCGACTGCTTGACCGCGTGGTGCAAAGGGTATTTTTAAATCCCTCTTGCACCACCAACGATGAAAATTCACCGTGCTGTCGACCCCGAATCAGTTGCAATTGCTCGAGCGTTTCGTGTATGTGCGTCCATAGAACTCTGCAGTTCACTGTGCAGTCGCAGCTTGAAGCTGTCGACCCTGACTGCTTCAAGCGGTCCGTGTATTGCCGGTCTAACTCCGCGAATGTGTACCCACCTATGCCCTCAAACAAAAAAAAAAGAGTTACTGTCTGTACAGGAAGCGACAGCTAAAGATGACCTTAGATCTTAAATTATGAACAAGAAAAACAAATGTTTAAATAGAATCTTTATATTGTATTGAAAATGTTTTCAAGCACCAATTTTTACCGTAATACAGTAAATATAGCAACTATCCTACAAGATATAACTTAATAATAATGTAAATTACTATTTGCAACGCAAATGCAAACTTATTAAGAAAAACTAATTTGGAATAAATTAAATAGATTTTTAATAAAATATGATTATGAAATGCAAATCAGTACTCATTTACATGACTAATTAAATAGACTATAGATCGTGTACATAATGGACAGGTTGGAAATTAATTAAAATAATTAAGAACACATTTCCAGCTAACGTTTTGTTTTCATTTCTAGGGAATAAGGATATTTGGTTCAAGTATTATAATCTAAAGAATTTGCCAATCTGTCCCTTGCACCCACCTAATAAAGAAACATAAAATATTAATATAATCGTTTAAATATTATGATTATAGCTACCTAAACATTGTTGTCGCTTTGATAGTGACTACAAACATAGTTGACAAAAGTGGTGAAGATTCTGTTGTGCCATTTTCTTAGCTAAACTTAGACCTATAAATAAATCAAATGTTAAAATTACTCATTACATTTCTGTTCATAAAAATATTGCTTTCTTACTTACCAACAACAGAATTTCCACCAGTAAATACAGTCAAATGAAATAGATAAATAAACGAAAAAATAAATGTACCGGTACTATTTATCGGAAGTGGTAAACTTGTGTATTTTGTCCGCTTCTGTGACCTCCTTGATGCGATGGAGGTTGTCCCACCACAGCTTGAGCCGGTGCCGGCGGATCATGTTGAACCACGGCGTGATGGGGCCCTCGAGAGTTGGTAGAAACCTGAAAGCATACAATTGGTAAAAACGCTTTCAAAACTACAAGTCAATGCTTCAAATTTTTAATTGTCCGGCTTGAAGGATCAATAAGAATAAATGTGATTGACTCTCGCGAGGTATCAAGGTATCTCCATAGGTATAAAAACTGTCATGAGTTAATTCTTAAGATTATTTATCCGGCTCGAAGGACCAATGAAGAAAGAATAGATTTTTATTATGATTTTTTGTTTGTCGCGGGCTATTTATTAGTAGCCTCAGCCTCTGCTACATTCTAAACAATATCTTTTCATGTAAACAATAACTCTGTTAATATGCTATTCAGAATGTATTAATCAGCAGCCAATTATTATTTTTCTTGTAATATCATTAAAAGTCTATACTAATAATTACCCTATTATTGTTTTTATCTGCCCTTTATTTACAATATTCGTTAGATACTAATTGTGTATGTAAACAAAACAACAATGTACCTAATCTCAACCTCTACTCATCCGTGATTTCTGGCTAATACTTTGTTTAGAAGGAAAAAACCAAGAGGCGTGATATTGAAACAAAATTGTAGCACAAAAGCGTATTGGAATTGCAACTTTTGTGCTCCAAAACCTTGAAAAGACATAAAAGTGATAAGGTGTCAGTAAACACAACAAAATGTACAACACTCACGCGTTAAACTCGTTCTTGGGCACGAAGCAGTACTCGGATATCTCGTCGGAATTGGGCTTGACCTTGACGTCGGCCTGGAAGAACAGCACGTGGTCGATCTCGTGCTCCCCCCACACGCCGTCTCCGGGGTCGTGGTAATGCACGCGCGTCATGTACGTGAACAGTTCAGGGTCCATCTGAAAATGAAAATATTTATTGCCAGAATCAAACAATACAATAATTAAAAGACAGACCTCTACACTAGGCATTGCCTGTCCTGTGGGGGAAAGAATAACGATTTATCTGCGGGACAATCACATCCGTGTTGTTAGACAACATTCAGGGCCGTAAAATATAAGGCTGGGTTGCACCACCTTACTTTAACTTAAACAAAGGTAAAAAATCTGTCTATACAAACACACCGTTTATTGTTATAGTGATGGTTAAAGATAGGTGGTGCAACTTAGCTTAAGAATCTCTTTTAAGAATAACTTCAAGCTCTTGATTTATTGGAGTTTGTTTCATATTTGGAGCAATAATAGGCAAAAATGTATGTGCATGCGTCTATAAAAAACTATCATTTTTTATGTGCTCTAAAGTCTAAGCAGTTAAGGTTAATACCTACTGAACAATTCTAATAAATTAAATTACATTAAAATAATTTGTATTCATAGCACAAAAAAACAATAACTAATCAACATACGTCATTTAGGGGTATGCCTAGCTCATGGTTTAGTCGGCGTCTTGCAGCTGTGATCACTTCCTCAGGCTTGTCGTCGATGTACAACGGGTGACTGCAGCATGCGTTTGTGTAGTAGTCTGGATATGTTACCTGATAACCAAATAAGCATCAACATTGGACATATGGATCTAATATCACTGTTTTCAACTGAACATCACCAGATATTTAATTTTTGAAGAGTATGAAACAAAGATCTAGCAAATGGCCAAAAATAACCAAAGTACAGACAACTTTCCAAGTCACCAAGCCAACATCAGTACAAATTGAAATGCAGACTTTAAGAAGATAATTAACTTACTTTTTGGCTTGCTCTTCTTTGCAACAGCATGTCTCCTCTTTTGTTAAACACAAACACGCTAAATGCTCTGTGAAGCAGCACATTGCCGTCGGGGCCCACTTTGTGACATTCCCTCTTTGTAGCTGTGCCGATAAAGTTGTCTTTATCGTCCACCAGGAGACAGATATCTTTGTCCAAGTATTCGGCCTAGCAAAAATACAAGTATATTAGGTATGATAGCCTGTTTTCATCATCAATCATTTTAAGTGACTCATATGGAAACAAAATTCCTTTTATGTGTTACCATAGGGGTCGCTTAAAAGTTAGGGATTGACGGTGAAAACGGGCATTAGAACAAGATAAATTTATTTGAAAATTGAGGATCATTCTTGGAAACAATTAATTTGTTATTTGTATAATACCTGCACAGGATCAACATTTTCAGTTGCTTCAGGTTGTGGCTTCACAGGTTCAGAGGCAAAACAGCGTTTTTCCACACGAAGTGTTTTCCATAGTGCTCTGGATAGGTTTCTCACCAGCATCTTGAAAGAATGAACAATTTATTATGAGCCAAGTATTTTAGTTTGGCTTGCTTTTCCTTGCATTATCATAACTATAGCATGGAAAGAAATCAAGATTGTATAATAATATGTTATGACTTTTTGAATATTTTTTAGATATGGATCATGTTCTTTTATACTTTTTATGTAAATGTGAACAATACATATTTGAAATCAGCCTCTTTTTGAATTTAAATATTGTCCACAGATCACTATCAAGAGACATTCAAGTTGTTTACTGGCTCAGAATGGCTGATAACAAAAAATATTGCTTAACAAAACACTTCGAGTAAACAAATCGTTTTATTACTCATTATTTGCTACTTTCAGTTCATTTAACACAAGGTTTCTGATAAATTGTTATAGAAAGTGATCTCAATTATACACTTTTGGATGATTATTATTTAAATTAGTTTTCTTTATTCCATAAGTCTGAAGGATAACCACAACTAAATAAACATTGTTTTACTTCCAAGTTATGATCTTTGTAAGCATTTTGATAGAATGATGTTAAATAATGAAGTTTATGGTTTCATTATCACTTGTTCAGTTTTCGTAAATTGGAGAACAGGAGCATTTGTGCTGGTTTAAGGACCATGAGTGCGAGATGCAAAACAAATTCATCTATACTATAAAAGTAAGGATTTCTATTGAAATTAATGTTACATGACACAAAAAAAATTAACTAAAACAAAACAGTATTACTACGCACCACAAACAAGTAATAATCTTTAAGTATATAGTAGATATAGTCAATATCACTTGCCTTGGCTGATCCTGAATTTTAATAGTGTAAATAATAGTATTTATTCGTATTTACTGATATTAATCTTCTCAGTGTTCACCGCAGGATTCTAAATATTTTTGACAGTTCTTGGGGTGACGTCCGTGACGTTGACGTTTTTGATCGATAGTGCGGTACCGGTAAAGGTAGTAAAGTTGTTTCAATTGAACTAAATCGGAATGTTCAAATAATCTATAATTATATTCTGAGGCTTTCATATAATAAAGAAATCTACAAAGAAGACAGGTTTATAAATTAAATGGTTGATAAATTGAACACTAATTTGATAAAATTTGGTTAAAGCGATCAGACAAACCGCCTAAATTGTGCTGTCTCTTTTGTGTGTTTTTTCTTTATACTTGTTTTGCGTGGTTTTAATAAAATGTTCATTTATTTATCTATTTATTGGTCACTAGAATAATTTAATAATTTCTTTAAATATGTCTGTATGTTTTCAATAAATAATTTCGATGAATGAATTGGCTGAATAGACTTGATCCAAAAGTAATTAAAAAAAAAAACAGATTGAGAGCGGGTTTTGTTTTGCCGCGCTTTAAAAGTTTTGTGTATTATGCCTGACACTTTTTTGTTGCGAGTGTTTTTTTTTTCTATTTGTTCGCTCGTTACACGCACTTGTTGAGCGTCATATTAAACTTTAAGCAGCCTAAGAACAGAGTAAAATAAGTGCGTGTAGTTACATTAATGTAACTTCTCTCATCATTTCCCACCTACAGATGGTTTGTCCCAATTTGGAAAACCTTTGGGACTCCCAAAGGTTTGTTCACTTAAAAAATTAAGTACTCACCTACTAACAAATTTACTTCTCACTTAAATTAATCTAAAAATATTTTACCTACTTCTATTTGTGGATGTCGAATTACTCGTATAGTAAGTACTTAAACAACTATCGCAGAAAATAAAAAAATGAAAAATCTTCTAAATACGAATAGGTACTCAAGATCCATCAATAAGCACCGGACAGATGCGACGAGTCATAATGGAGAGATGATAAAATCTGTCCTTTCTATTAGTTTCGGTCGGTCGTTTTCTATTTTTACTGAAACTGCAGGAAGTGTGTGTGGCGACCAAAATAACTTAGTTTACGGAGCGGCTGCTGCATTATAGCACTGCAATCCGACTCCCCCAATTCAATTTGTAGATAACTAAATAATATTTTATTCTAACGTAAACGTTAATCTTATGGTTTTGTAGGTACATTCGAATAGTATGAAGTAAGCGCGGAGTCATAAGTTTACCTTAAATAGGTATTTAGTACCTACTTATTATTGTTTACCTTCGTTAATGTGAGTACTAAGTATGTCCAATGTTAAGTTAGGAATAAGAGTGCGTCCATTTACTGACAGGTAAGTAAACATTATTTATTACAAAGTTTGCATACTCGTACATAGTGTTAGCTGCGACACGTGCGTGTCGTTTAATTTTATCTATCCTTTCTCTTACAGAGAGCTTCGAAGTGAAAAAGATCGCATTTCCGTGGTTAGCATTGTCGATAATAATACCGTTACTATCACAAATGTAAAAGTAAGTTTTGTTCTCACAAAGTATACCTACCTACTTACTTGATTGTTTCTTGATACTTAATGTAGTTGTGTGTCTCAATAAAGACTACAAGCTTAATTTAATACTATTTTTTTTAATTATTGGGCACGCGACAAAGAATGGTCTGTGAATCTTTGAACAACCATTTAATGGGAAAAGCTCTATAATTATTTATTTATTTATTAGGGACATCAACAGCTTATATCTCATGTGTTTGCTCAGGTAAGCGTGTCAGGCGCCGGCGACAGCCGCGAGCGCGTGCGTCGCTACTACGCGGATTACGCGTTCAATAGCGCTTTGCCCGCTACTCATCCGGATTATGCCTCGCAAGAAAAGGTTTTATAAATTATAATTTGCTACATAAAAAAAATAACAGCAATATTGACTGCAATAGTAACCCAAAAGGATTAATTACTTAACTTTAACTAAGTCTGTTAATGAGAATAGAATTTTACAACTTAGTATGAGGCGCCAAAGCATTTATTTTATAATTTGATATCATTTCATAAACTGGGTTATGTACTCGTAATTGGCATTTTTTCTGCTTTCAGTGCATTTTTGACCCTTGCTAATATCCTATTTAAAATTATTGATTTCTTTGACATCTTTGACCCTTACCTTTTGACTCTTGCTAATTTCTTATTTCAAATTATTGCGTCTAAAGTTATAATTTAAAACACTTTCAGGTATTCAACTCAATAGGCCGCCAAGTAATCGAGAGCGTCACCCGCGGTAATTCGACATGCGTGTTAGCGTATGGACAGAGCGCTACGGGCAAGACCCATACCATGATGGGAACCGACGCCGATCCGGGTCTGGTGCCAAGGATATGCAGGGCGTTGGCTGAGGTGCAGCCTTTTGATATCACTGTCAGGTAAGTACTAAGTAGGTATTGCTTGCTAAGGAATTGTTAGCGTCTACTTCAGTTCTATAGAGGTGCTGGCATATGACTAGAGCGCGACAGGCAAGATCCATACCATGATGGGAACCGAAGCAGACCCGGGGCTGGTGCCGAGGATATGCAGGGCTTTGGCTGAGGTGCAGCCCATCGACATTACTGTCAGGTAAGTAGGTATTGCATTAATAGGTAAGTAATAGGATAGTTTGCGTCTGCTGCAGTTCTACAGAAGTACAGAGTGCTGGTACCTATGGAAGGAGCGCGTCGTGCAAGACATAACACGATTACAAAGTTAGCCCAGAATTAATGCCAAGCATTTGTCTCTGGTTGATGTTAGTACGAGTAGAAACTAGAGATGAAACGGATAGTTGTTTGGCCGGATACCGGATACCGGATATCCGGCGAGCTGCTAGGCCGGATAGCCGGATATCCGGCGGCCGGATAGTTGTCCCATTGTCATGTTGCATGTCGTAACGAGTTTAGCGCTGCACAGGTGCTTCGAACGCCATCAGTAGGTCTAGTAGACTAGACAAGTCACACTTTTCGAAAATCGAATTCGTTCGAATAGAATGTCAGATTTTGCCACTCGTATAAGGGGCAGATCAATTCGGGCGATTTCGGTTGCCATCGTGAGTATGTGATTGAATAGCGGAAATTCAATTAGGTAGTTTACTTGCTGCGTAATCTGAATGAACTGCTTTATACAGGGTGACTTTGAAATCGTTGGCATTCTTTTTAAAATAAGACTACTCATGATTTCCCAAATATGAGTCATATCAAATGAATTAAAATTTCAATATTTGAAATCTTGTACAGACGACAGCACATCAATCTTCATATTGTGGCATCTTATTTCAATGTATTAAGTGTTTAGGATGATGTGCTGTTGACTGTACAATAGTTTTAAACTCTTTTTAAGAGCACCATGTACCATGAGTAGTCTTAAATTAAAAGGATGCCAACGATTTCAAAGTCACCCTGTATGTCATCAGACCATCAGTCAAAATAAAGATCGCATATTTTATTTGGCAATATTTCGACATTAAAATATATTTACTATTTATGTATTCGTCATTAGAGTGAATAGCCCAGAAAAGAAATTAGTTTTTTGAAAGGCCTTATGTATATATGGCTTTTTTGTAACTTTGGACTTTACATAAAAATCGTCATTATTTTAAGCCATTTTATTGATATTTGACTCAAAGATTAATTCATTAGAAAGATTGTTTCATTTTATTATAGGAAATTTTCGTAGTTTTTTTAATAGTAAATTTAGGCCGGATATCCGGCCTACCGGATAGTTGCCGGATATCCGTTTCATCTCTAGTAGAAACTGCTTTATGCATGCATAATGCAAATAAAGATTTATTTTGTTCATTTTTGTATAATTGCATATTAATGAACTCTACTATTATTACTTAAACTTCATGCCATCTTTTTGTATGAAGTAACACGTTACTTCCTATGCTGTCCTTATTGATAAGTGCCTATATCAAAAAAATATATCCCAGTCGCCTACAAAAGGTATCAAATAGATCAAGTAAGGTAAACGGCTACTAGTTCGTGATAGTACGTAAGTTCGTAAGTTTTTTTTCTAGCTCAAATAATAAGCAAATGGAATATTATTTATAAAAATTCTTCATTACTACAAAAATTCTATTNTGGCGTAACAAACGCAGTTTTCTCTACAGAGTCTGTCGCTACAGGAATCTGGTGAAATCCCGATGCCATATCCAGGATAGTAAAGTACTTGGCTTTCGACAATTTACTAATATGGTCATCAATCAAAGGGAGTGGGAAGTGATCACGGACAGTGTTTTTATTTAATTCTCTATAATCAACACAGAGTCTATCAGTTCCATCCTTTTTACGTACCAATAGAATAGGACTTGCGAACGGGGAATTGCTATCACGGATAATATTGTTATCCTTTAAGTCCTTAATTATCGCTTTGACATGTTCACGTTCTCCTGGAGCTAACCGATATGGTCGCCTTTGAACGATTTTATCTGGGTTCTTTAAACGTATATTCAGTTCACCAGTGGTGACTTGAGAGACTTTATTGCCAGACGTGAACATATCAGAGCATGAGTTAAGAACATCATGTAATTGTTGCTTACATAGAGAGTCAATATTGTTGCCAATATTCAGAGTGATTGGATCAGAATTGTGAACAACATTTATGTGGTATGAATCGCGAGAGATACATGTATCTTCTTTTGTAAAGACGACCTGAATACCAGGCGTTTCGAATAGGTTCTGTCCAAGTAAAACATCATACTGAATGAACTGATCAGGTACAAGTACAAACTCTAATTCAAGGGTCAAGCCATCAATACAGATCTCACAAATCTTTTTACGCGATGAATAAAATGAGTTGTTTCCAACACCTTTTAACATTGTGGTCTCATATAACATTTTGCCCTTAACGGAATCACCTATGCTGTCCCTAATTAGTGAACATTCGGCCCCACTATCCAACAGGCACGNCGCCACAAAGCTGCCCTGCGGGGTCGCTACTCACCAACAGCTCGCCACAAAGCTGCCCTGCGGGGTCGCTACTCAGCTCGTTTATTCCCTTGGTAAGTATGACAAATGTAATATAGTATACCCGACCATAAATTTTGGCAGAAACCATATCAACCATAATCAGTACAATGTTTAAAAAAGAAAGAATCATGTACGTCTGCTTTCGCTGCGGCTTCAGCTGGGTTTATCATAAAGGATTACTCTTTGAAATAAAAAAGTACCTTCTAGCACACTTCTACTACCTGCTGATGGATTCTTATCTCAGTGACAGACAGTTTTAAATCAAACTCGGTGACAAAATCTTCTCTTTTTAGCTGCAGAGCTGGAGTACCCCAGGACTCTGTATTTGGTCCGATACTCTATAACATCTACTAGTAAAGTAGCCCAGACAAAAAGCATATTAAAAAAAACCTAATGAACAAAGGTCAAACAAGGTCACGCCGCCGACGCCGCCGCCGCCGAGGTCAAAAAGTCGGCGCGCCGCCGCCGGGCAATTTTATATCGGCGCCCACCTCTAGTTAATATATCATATTTTTTACATCTCCAAATTGCTGGAAAAGTTGCAATTTTTGTTTCCCATTTATATCAAAAGTCATATTTATTATGTTTTAAAATGGACCTCTGAAAGCTGTAATACCGTTCGCTTACACCACCCATGCTTATTCAGTCACGGGACAGTTTATATGTGAAACATTTTTGTAAAACGACGTACTATAATTTTGCAATAGCAATTCTTATAATATTAAAGTGAAACCAATAAGTTAAGTAAATACTCGTAGATACCACCATAACCACCAAGTGTCATTAATGAAAGAAAGTTTGATCAATAAAATCATCAGTCAACAAAATGGCGGAAAATATGCAAGTTATTCCACTTACCAATATTGGGTCAGAGGGATTGGCGTTGAAATTTCATAATTTTGATCAAGTCTAGAACACTATCACCACGCACAAATACACACACGATAATTAACACTAATTAATTAAAGCACAAATAAAAAAAAAATAAACTAAAATCAGCCGTCAGCGCTCCGAGCGACAGCTTTTTGACACTACAAAATGAATACCCACTTTGCTTTCAATTTATGAAAATTGTGTTTAGTTCCATTTTTGAATTTTTGTCAAAGGCATAAAATGCATACTGCCTCGTACGTTCTTCGGTCTCGGTACAAACAATCTGACACATCCAAATTGATTAATTTAAAAAAAGAACGAAACGCAAAGGCATTGACATTGCATACAGCCTTTCTTGCGCCCACGCTTTTTAGTTGCGCGCAGTTTTCGTAATTTGAAAAAAGAATAGAATCAAGTCAAAAATAAAGTAATGTCACATAGCCGGCTGATGAGAAACGGACTAAGAACAGCAGGCAACTGTTGCGGAGCAAACTGTAAATGTGATGAGCACGAGCTTGTTTACCCGGGTCATGGATATTTACAGTTGTTTTACCATTGACTTTACATTAAACGTAATCGCTAGCGAGTGCGTAAAAAATCTATAATTCCCTTTACAATAATTTGTCATATATTTTTATAATTTTAAACTCATGGTAGTCACAAATTTTGTGTACAGTTGGCCGACCGTTTGGAGTAGGAGTAGTTCGCGTACCAGACTACCAATCCAGAGGTCACGGGTTCGATCCCCGCACACCTACAAACATTTGTGTGCATGAACATATTATAAATGTTTTATTGGTCTGATGCCCGTTTTCACCATCGATCCCTTAAGCGTTTGCTAACTAAATATCACTTTGGTTAAACGATCGCCTAAACTGCCCACTAACCTAAGTTCGTTTTCACCATGCTATAGTAAACCTAAGTAGGGACTCTTTTGTCAGGTGGCGTTTCTTCGTGCGCCTAGTGACGTTTGAAAAACCGGTACTTTCCGATAAAATATTTGATTGGGAATATCTTACGTATTTCACAGAAACAAATAAAATAAAAGTAAAACTAAGAAATAGTTGACCAAAACTGATGTTTTTTTGTATTTTTGAGTTATTATTAAAGACNTTTAAATGTAAGTTATGAAACAAATATTAACATCGCCAGATAACCAGAATCAAGCCAAAAAGATAATAGTAACCAACAGTTCAGTAATAAAGGAAAATAGAAAGAACGCATTTGATATGATGAGACCAAGGTCACACTCAATTACTAATGTTTCAAAAAACTCCAAGTAGCAACTAAACATTAGCAACCAGAGACAGAACGACCCCAATCCGGCTGGTCCCCGTGGGGTTGCACGACCACCACCCCCCCATAGAAATACATCCCTACATCAAAATAGAAATTACAATAAGATTTACGTTGCAACGTTAAACGTTAGAACTTTAATGTCGGATAACAGACTACAAGAATTAGAAGAAGCTATAACACATATAAAATGGGATGTCATAGGTCTTTGTGAAGTAAGAAGAATAGGAGAGGAGATAAGAGAATATGAGAAATACATTTTTTATTTTTATGGTATACAAAAAGGTATACATGGAATGGGATTTCTAGTAAAAAAATACTTAAAAGATAAAATAATTAGCTTCCAAGCAATATCAGATCGAATCGCCGTACTCAACATTCAATTAACAGATTCTAAACATCCATGGTCAATTATACAAGTACATGCACCCACAGAACAAGACACAA